ACAATCCCCATGAAATTGTCCTATTTGCTGACGACACAAATATCTTTCTGTTCTCACAAAGACCTTAACTCATTAAGAAATATCTTAAATCAAGAAATTGATAAATTAAGTCCAATAAGCTTTCTCTTAAAAAAAAAGAAGACTCATTTCATGTATTTTAAACACCATTCTCATAAAGGGACCCACTAGTATATATTAAGAACGATGATATGATAATTTGATTTGATTTATTTACCAACAGCAATACATTTCATACAATAATTTACATATACAAGAAGAGAAACTATTGGTTGGTAAAAGGGGCCAAAGAGAGAGAGGAAGATTAAGTCCAAGTTTTGGGTGTAATTATGGATGAAACTTGACATGGAATAAGAATCTACACCAAGTTACAATGAGCATTTCCAAAAGCATTGGGATAGTTTCCAAGTTAAAGTTTCTTCTCCCCATCCAAACTTTTTCTTATTATATATGTATAATACGCTAGTACTCCCATACATAAAATATTGCAACATCGTATGGGCTAAATTGGGTTCGACTAAAATCAATTATATTTTTGAATTACAAAAGGGAGCTATCCTTATTTGTACAGGATCACTTTTTTTCTTAAATTAGTGCCAAAATTGACGCAAATTTTAGATTTCCCTTTGTAGGTGACCCCTTTTTCAGAAAGTGCCCTTTTTCGTTGGTGCCCTCACCCCCGCCCACTTTGAAAGACGCTCCGCCGCACATGATTGGACCCAACGCAGTATACTTCGCTTGCTATGCTCTACTTGAACACTCAGATTTCAATAATATAAAGCGGATTGACGCCCCTGCCCAGAAGGGCGTGTACATGCGATTGCAGTGTGCTTCGAGCACTCGTTGGCTTCGACCCCGCCCCTCCCCCTTAAAAAATCCTGGATCCGCCGCTTAGAAATGTATAGTTTTACCCATTTCCTCTTAAGTATAAATTGTTGATCGCTCGCAAAATTTAAAGTTTAATTTTCATAATCTGTTACTGTGCGATAGGTCGTACGACGTTGGTGTCCCCATCGCAATTCTTTCAAATAAAAAATCCACGTAAGAGGCATTTTGAAAGTTTAAAGAATAGTCCATCAAATTCCAGGAAACTGGGTGTTCTTTTTCAGGAAACTCTATTTTAACGAGTGAAAGCACTGGTGGCTCTTCTTTATCAGATCTAGACCTAAAACAAGCATCATGATCATCATTATACAAGTATTATAATGATGGTACTATATGAGAACTGGAAAACCGATCAAACCGATCAACATTGCTAAATTTTGTTTCAGACGTAGACAATCTATTCCTAAATTTACAGTTAATGTCACAAAATTGCAAATAAATTCATAATGTTTGATGAAACTTATCATTTCCTTTTGAAAATAACAATTGTTATATATTGCTTGTTTATGATCCACTGTCAAAAAAATACTTACTGTATTTTATATTACTATTGTTGTCGAAAACTGTGAACTTGCAAAAGAAATGCAGAAGAAAATCAAATCAAATCAAAATCAAATAATAAGGCTTGTTACAGGGTTTTTTTTAAAGAGCCGTCAATGCTTCCACTCGTTTTTATAGATAGAGTGTCCTGAAAAAGACACCCAATTTCCTGGAATTTGATGGATGATGAAATTATGTGATATGATGAGGAATTTCACTTGTCGGGATTTCTTACATTTCTATCATGATACCCCCTCCCACCCCCTGCCAATCGCCTCATTTTGAATTTCTGAACATATGATCAGACGATAGAAATCTCGCGAAATAAATGTAATTTTGTAAGGATGTTCTAGATCACTCAATGTTCGTGGATCTGACAAAAGGGTATATATCATCCGTGGTGCATGGGTTTGAAAAAAGGGTATGTTCTTAAACGAGCGAAAAAATTTCCCAAAAAGGGGTCATAGATTCACAATGTCCGCAAACATGTGAATCAGACAATCAATGAATGCGCTCGTTTTGCAAAAATAGGGTACTTTTTGTGAAAGTGTACACGATAAGCCCAATTTTTATATATCAAGTTCATCAAAAGTTAATAGTGCGGACCTTTTAAGATACTATGTCCCTTTGGCAGCCAACATCAAATTTTGTAGAACTTTGCAGGAATCATGAATATGTCATGTTTGTCCTATCTGTGAAATTTAAACGTCAGCAGTGTCCTAACATTCAAATTATGCAAGGAAACCCGTTTACTTGTTAGACTTCACTGTCAGACACTATTAAGAGACTGTCGGACACTATTGAGTGACTGATTGGCTTTTTTTCTTCTTTGGTAATAACATACACACAATAAGCTGTAAAGGGTACATGAGCATTTGTCTACATCAATAACCCACTTCTTGTAATCGCCAAAATTAAACTGATTGAATCTTTGCGCAGCATAAAGCTTACGACCATTCGATACAATAGTCTGAAAATCCGACTATTACTTACTGGCTCTATTGCTCCTAAGTCGATTCGACAACTTATAGTCGTTATTTTCCCACGCAAAGACATTTTTAAGCCCCCCCCCCCCATTCTTTTTTAAGGGAAGTTCTAAATTAGTATTATCTTTCAAATGCCGTTGGAATTTAACCTTTTCATTTTTTTGGCCTGCAAATGGGACATAGTACCTTTAATGAAACTAGGAGTTTCTCTTTAGGTGCATTAAAAAAGGAATTTGAAATATATTGTGATATATATAGTTCTACTGTTATGCATTAAAAAGTAAATATATCCATTTGTTTATTATGTGTCAGACGCGAATAGAAATTGTGAAAAGTTTTTGAGAAATGATGATTCCGTAGTACTTAATAATTATTGTTTATTGACAGGTTTTAGAATCGTCAAAACGATGGTAAAAGGTCTCAGTTTCGCTGAAAATCAAATACAGTGAAAGGCATTGGACACAGATTTGTAAACATTTAATACATATACATACGGAAGGAATGACTATTTTGTTTTAATCTGTTGGTCGTCAAGTCTGATTATGTAGAGAATGGGAAAACTCAAGTTTTTTTCATTCTTCATCTTAGTCAGACATCAATCTCCCCTTTAAAATGCAACCATACGAAAATGACTGACAGAAATAAATTGCTGGAAACATGAAAAGTCATCTACTTCGTTTTAATGTTCGATTATTCGAATATTATAAAAACATACAAAAATAACCATGCTCTATATACCACATGAGAATCACTATAATAACCAAGACAGTAAATTTCTTACAATGACGTAACAATTAAAAGCATCCTTTTGGGGGGATGAAAATAATGAGGTATATATTTTGATTTGTAAAATAAAAATCAAAGAGTTCATGCTCAATATTTTGGAAATGTAACAAGGAACGTGTCAGAAGGGGCAAAATCTGTCTTTCACATTTATCAACTGAAACTTTAATGCTTTTTTCAGACTTGGCATCTTAAAACATAGCATATATTTTATCCATGACCACTGTAAACATTTGATATCAGTACATACAAACATATCATTAAGATGCCGTGTAGATGTTTTACTTAAAATTGCACACTTGTTTATTATATTTATTTTAAAATAATTTAGAATGTAACAAATTTAATACCAATTGAATTTGACTGGATATTTTTTTTTACGGATAATGCATCATACTACCACTCAATTTGGGTTTACTGTCTCTCTCTCTCTTTCAAAACCTTTCTCAATTTTAATTGTTGAACAATACGTTGATGTCAGTTGATATATGATTTTTGGTCCTGTGAAGTCCAATGTACCTTATAAATATGTTTAAATCTTATTTTACATATTTGTCATTATTATACGACATCGATTTATTAGTATTAAACTTGGTGGTACTTGTATTCAACCTTTTGTACAGGGTATTAAATTTAATTATTAATAATTATTGTCAATTTTATATTGAATTAAAGTGCCGTGTAAACGTTTTACTTAAATTACACATTTGCTTATTATATGAATTTCAAAATAATATAGAATGTAACAAATTTAATACCAATTGAATTTGACTGGATATATTTTTAGGAATAATGCATTATTTCCATCACTCAATTTGGGTTTACTGTCTCTCTCTTTCTTTCATTATCTTTCTTAATTTTATTTGTTGAACAATACGTTGATGTCAGTTGATATATGATTATTGGTCCTGTGAAGTCCTATGTACCTTATAATTATGTTTAAATGCGATTGCTTTTGAGTGTGTTTTTTTCCTTCTTTTCATATCTATGTATTTAAAGTGTCAATTTATACAGTTTTATTGTACAAAGTATATATACATATAACTATATTGTGAACCATTAATATGCCTGCCTTTTTTACTGTATGAAATCCAACTCATGGTTGCAATAAATTAATAAATAAATTAATGATTTAATAATAAGATTGGAGAGCCTCTTTAAGGGGGAACTTCTTTCAATTCTGTTCTATAGGCCCTGTAATATAAAACAAATTACGATTAATTGTTCGCCTCTAAAGTTAATCTTAACTCCTCAGAGAACTTTACAATAGGGTAACTTACAATTGCGATCATGTTATGGATATATAATAAGATTCAGTTGCTTGCAGCTGGAGTAGAAATACAAAAGCCTTTTATGTTTGATAGTAATAACATCGATTTTTGCGTGACAGGACCCAGAAATGTTAATAGCCGTATGATTTTAGCCAACGATTAATTTACCAATATTTTTCTGTAATAGATACCAAATCAAGGTAGCTGTTATACTTCCTTCTTCAAAACCCTGGTAAATCTTACTAGTACATACACCTTTAATACACAAGTCAATGAAAAGAAGAATTTTATCTGACTAAATTACAATAAGAAACCCGGTCCCATACTAAGACAGGCAGTTTGATAACCGCTAGAATAGCCTAACCTATACAAGATATGCTCACCTCATAAATCAGTGTAAGACTCTGATGACAAACATTTAAAATCTTATGAAAAACTCGAAAAACAAAAGAATCTCTGCTAAATATACGCATAAAAAACAAATTGAAATATGATAATCGTTCATTAAACATTTAAAAAAAAAATCACATCTCTTAGAATTCAATTTTCCCCGTGTTATATCAACCTTTTTTTTGTGGTGAGGGTCAGTGCCTTTGATCAAGGAAGCCTGGCCAACCCGGCTTGAGTTGGGCACAATATGGCTAGTACTGCTTTGTCGGGCAAGCACAAAACCATAGAATGTACGCCATGTTGTGACCAACTGAAACCAAGTTGGCCAAACTCGGTAAAGAAGAATGGACTGTTGGGTGAAGATAAGAATAAGAAGATTGGAAAGGAGAATCCAAAGATAGAAAGAGGAAGGAACAAGGCGAAATGGAATGAAGTAAAAGTAGATACACATCATGTGACGATGGGAGGAACTCGAATAATGCTATTACACTATCAATAATGATCAATAAAAAACATGGGGGAAATACAGAAAAGACTCAACAAACAAACAACAAGTCAGATAAAAAGACGAATGTTTCTGATATCCAAATAATTAAGCTAAGGGGGAAACGGCGTGATAACTTGGTTTTAGTGTCATGACATTATACCGGTCTGCGACCATTGAAAAATTCAATTTTCACAATTTTACTCGAATTAGTAAAGATATTGCTCAATTCATATGTAGTCCTACCGTTGACTGTATCTGTTAGGCATCACTTGAAAGTAAATTAGAAGTTTAATAGAATAGGATTATCGATAGGAGGAAATGATGCAAAACTAGGAATTTATATTTCAAGTTTCCAACCTATTTATCGTAGATCAATGTTGGATGTTGCTTTGTGGTCGTGGGATGTTGCCTTTTGTTCCTTTTCTATCGTAGAATGAATTCGTTGCGATGGTGATCGGGATATGCCCTGGCAACCGGGTTCGATAATGGGTATTCTAGAGCCAAACGACCCTGATTGGCTGAATATTCCGGGGCTAGACGAAAGCGATTGGGATATTTCACGGCAAAAGGATGGCGATCTGGATATACAAGGGCTGAACGGTGGTGACCGGGATATTCAAGAGGCAAATGATATTGTACGGGGTATGAAAGGGCCAAACGAGGGCGACTTGGATATCCCAAGCGATGTCGGCCAAATTCTAGATCGTGCCCCTGATCGAAATGCTGACTGGGTGGTTCGTCGAACCCGTACACGGCGTTCGAAACAGTTCCTATTGGACCTCTATGGTTTCGGTATTGCGGCCTGTCTAAGCTCAAAGGATACTTGTAACGGTAGTGATCATTATGGATTTGCCGCGTGTCTGTTTTCTTTGATTTATTTGCTGATATCTGACAGCAGATGAATAAGAAGAGCAACGCGACGAAGAGGACGAAAATGACACCAATGACGATTGAGATAATGACGATGGTGATCATAGAATCGGTTTTTTCAACTTGGTCTGTAAGAAACAAACAAAAATGATAAGTTACAGAAATATACAATAAAAATTAAGAGAAAAAGCACAAAGACACAAAAGAATTGTCGATGATTACTTCCAGTGGCTTCCAATGATTGGATGTAATGCCTTGCCTCACCCTTCGCCTTACAAGAGGGCTTGCTTTCGAGCACCATGTAACTCCATGTACCCAACCACTACAGCCATCACTTTACCCCCCCCCCCCCCCCCCTAGGCTGGTACATCAAATACACTCAGATAAAAAAAAGTGACACCCACACTATTTGGTGATGGAGAAACGCACACAGCTATATTTCTACATAGGCCTATAACGGTGTGAAGTCCACCCCCTCCATCGAAAGGCTTATGCACACACACACACACACGCGCGCGCGCACACCCACACACACACACACACACACTCACACACACAAAAAAACGCACGTACGCACACACACGCACACACATTATTCAACAACAATAAGTCGTGAGTATAATTTTTTTTTTAAATTACTGCATACCCCACTGCCCTGTATATCACTATTTTACCTTTCTCACACACCCTTCCCGGGCCCGCACCAGTAGGTGAGATATCTGTGTACTCCAGAGGACAAGCGCAGGAGAAAGTTCCAGGCTCGTTGGTGCAAGCCGCCACCAGGGAGCAGTCATTCAGCTCGGCGGAGATGCATTCATTCTGGTCTGAGATGGAGAGAGAGGGTGGTGACAGAGAGAGGAGTTGACAGAGAGAAAGAGAGTGGAAGATATAGAACGTGAGAAACAGAATGAGAGGAGGAAATATTTTAAATAATCACCAAACAATAAAAATATAGTCACAAGTTGCTTAATGTTGACTTAGAGTGTTAAACCTGTATTATTTCTTTGTAGAATTAATATGTGTAAATATCAACATATCAAATACAGAGCATATTTGAGGTGATTGGTACCCTTTAATGAAGAAACATCGATAACCTTTCGTGCTTAGTTGCTTACCCTCAATGATCATGCTATTCGGGTCCACACCAACTATATCCTGACCCGCAATGAGGGTCCCGTCGCCAAGGCCTTCCATGACCGCGGTTGTGATTGCAACTTTTGCCGTTCCGTCCACGACGAACAGGTCAAACTCTGCGATGATACTACCGGCACGGAACGAGGTAAAAGACACATCCAATATATCCGGGATTGCAGAGAGGAGCTTGGGAATAAACAGATATGAAAAATGTGATAGAACAAATTGGATTAACAGCTTTATCTTAGAATAAGAAAGGATATTCGTATTAGTCAGCATTTCCACATTATAGTTGATAGGTTGCACGTCTAGCTAACCTTGAGCCACAGGATCAGGCCTCTTCAAAAGTGATATGACATTTACATCAGGCAGAAATTTCATTAAGATGTAGGGTGGTGGGGTTAGAGTTAGAAATGTTTGGTGCAATATTTTTTCTTCTTTTCTTTCAATTCCGGTTGCTTTCTCACGAGTATAGAGGCAAATCATCCTCAGTCCCGTATATTTTTTGTCACTATCCTGTGTTATGTTTTACATCTTCAAAACATTATTATTCTAAATCTATCATCATGATAATCACAAAAAGATAGTCAAGCGGGAATTGGAGGAGAGAAGGAGGAGGGCAGGGGGGAGGTTACAGTTTTAGACATTACCGTGCCTCGTAGCTGTTGGGCTAATTGTTGAAACCCGTCCCTTAAGCTATCGGCCAGAGCAGACGTGTAGAACAGGGGCGATCCGTTGAGAGATATGAACCTAAGCGAACCTTTATAGATTCCAATCGCTTGAGTAATGACAATTAAAAAAAATACAATGTCAAACAAAACAAACACATATCAGAATATATAGAATCACATAGGTATTCAATAATATATTAATCTATATGTAATCCACAAATATAAAATATAATATATATCAATATAATATATCAATTCAAGATATCCGGGGTAAGAATATGACTGATGTACCTTAAGGAAGAAACGTTTCGTGGCTCACGAGGCTACGCTGGGTAGGCAAGACTTAGAATTATTATTACTATTCTTATTATTATTAATATTATCATTCATATTATAATTATTATCATTATTATTCTTTGTATCTTTATTATGATTATTGTTATCATTTCTATCAAAATCATTTTCACTATACTATTATTATCATAATTATCGTCATCATCATCATCGTCATCATCATCATCATCATCATCGCTATTGATAAGTCCTCCAAACGACCATTATCAAACTCAACCGGCTCTAAAGGCCCAGACTCGTCGATATTATTTAGCCACCAACAAATAACAAAATAATGAACATAGAAGAATGAAAGAAATGAAAGAAAGAATGAAATATATATATATATATACACAGATAAGAAGAGGGAGAGAGAGAGAGAGAGAGAGAGAGAGGGGGAGTGCGGGTGGGGAAAGTGCGCGTGGTGTCTAACATGATCTTACCCTGGCATATTCCATTTCCTCTGCGGTAACCCTGCTTGCAAGTACACAACCCAGATATACTGCAGAACTCGTGATTTATTGTAGAGCATCGGTCTTCAGTTATACAGGACTCCAACACTAACATAGAAAGAGATAGAGAGTGAGTGTGTGTGAGAGAGAGAGATTGTATTTCTTCCCATTGCAAGTACCACAGTTTCCAATATAATTGAGAAAAGGGGTAATTTTGTTTTGAAATCATTTTGTGTGTGAGAGCCAGGAAGAGAATGATTACTCGAAATTGCAAGTTATCGTGTGACTGTATAGTAAAATTCATCAATTAGACTTTTTAAGACTTTTCTATAGATTATCCGATTTTGATCAATATCTTTTATCTAAATTTTTACTTTTCTACAAAGCGTTTTGCTTTATCATGACAACCAAGTAACATGAATGAAAATGATCTTAATAAAAAATGTGATCGATGGTAATTGCATAATTTTGCCAAAACAAAAGCATATTGTTGATAGAAATCAATAACTCATGTTGTAATACATGTATGAGAACTGTTCAGAAAATATGATGATAATGTAAAAAGATACTTACTTGTTTCACAGTTCTGTCCTTCATAGCCTGGAGCACACTCACATGTAAATCTGTCTTTGAAGTTCCTACATGTACCGCCATTGAAGCATGGTTGTGAGATGCACTCGTTGATATCTGATTTTATGGGGGAAATTCATTGAATATTTGATAATGTGCATCAGGACCCTGTCTAACAAAGAGTTGATATCAATCGCAACTATTTACATAAGAGATAGAAGACTGCAAACTTGCGATTGATTAGAAGACTTGCGATTGATTTGGATCAATCGCAACTCTTTGTAAGACAGGGCCCAGGTCTTTTTTAAAATCTATAGTGGCTTTTTTTTTTTGCTCCCGAAAATTTTCGCTCATTGGGGGGGGGGGGGGGTAGATATTAGCATTAACTTTCTCTTTTTGGCCCTCGAAAATTTGAAAAATCGCACCCCCCCCCCCTTGTGCGCCAGGGGAGGGGGCCCATCTCCACAAAAGGGTAAAATTAACGTGTTTTTACCGATTTTTTTCCCCAGGGGGGAAGGGGTGGGCCCTCCTAGCCCCCCCCCCCCTGGATCCGCGACTGCCTCCTACATACATTCTCTATTGTAGGAGCTAGCTCCATAAATTTGACGATAAAGAACGCGCGTGCGCGTGTCACAACTATAGGTCAAAACATTGACAAATCCCTCTCTATACGCTATAGAGAGCAGCATCCTTTAGGCACCTCTCTTGCAATAGCCTATAAGCGTTAGTTTTGGCGATAGTGGAAAAATATTATTGATTATCACTGCCTACCTGCACATAATCTTCCAGAGCTCCCAGTAGCGTCTACATATCCTGAGAGACAAACACAGTTATATCCACCGACTGTGTTCGTGCATCGGGCGAACGGAGAGCATTCATTTAAGGATGAATTACTGCATTCGTCGATATCTAAATGAATAAAGAACGTGATCATAAAGACTGTCAAAACTCAACTAAAGTTTTTTCTTCAATAGCTCATGTATTACCTTCTTAAAATAATAATATGTCTATTTATATAGCGCAACTATTATCTGCATAAACTTTGCTGCACTTGATAAGGTTTCATATTATTACCCCGGCTGTGGTTGAGTCGCCATGAAAATGCGCTAAATCATTCAAGGAAATTCATCCTACCGGGTACCTATTTACTTCACCTTGGTAGAGAGTTAAAAATGTAGATTAATGTATTTCCAAAGGACACTAGTGCTGAGACTGGACTCGCGAACAATGTGATCCACAGTCCGGTGATGTGTCCACTAGACCAGGACACCCCTACTACGTGGAATAAAAACTACGGTACATAACTAGCGAAGGGGTAAGGCCTATCCAATGCCAATCCCAGCGAGAATGGAGCAGAAAATATGAATCTAGTATCAAGCAAAAACAAAAATGACAAAACAAAACAATGTAGATAGTCAGTGGAGATATATCTTTGGCCAAGTTAGCTTCTGAATCTTTCAATCTGCATCATTATCTTACCAATACAGACCGTTCCTTGCCCATCCGTCGGATCCCCCTGATCTCCAAAGCCAGGCAAACAGGAGCACTGGTAGGAACCAATCGTGTTGTTGCAAGTAGAATATACAGAGCAAGCGGAGTATTCCATTTCATCGCATTCATCCAAATCTGAGACAGAAAGATGGGTTTTCTATATGTCATTGGAGCGTTTATTAAATAACTCTTTAGGGGTTTGTAGGGGTGTCGTGGTCGAGTGGATTTGTTAGCGGACTGTGGATCACAAGGTCCTTGGTTCAAGTCCCACCGCGGTACTAATGCCCTTTGGCAAGACATTGATCTACATTTGCCACTCTCCACCCAGGTGTTAAATGGGTACCCGGTAGGATGCGAAAGCTAATGTGGTTTGATTAGCAATGGCGCTTGTAAAATGGCGACTGGATGGAATGCTCCCCAAGGAGTGGAGAATGTGCATACCTTGTGTGCGGGTAAGCATGAATCCGATGACCGGGGTAATAATATGTGCTGCGCCTAGAAACAAAGTATGAGGCGCATTATAAATGTGAGCTATTATTATTATTATTATTTAAAAAACACAATCGCGAAAAATCAACCCCAGGCAATTTCATTACAATGACGTATTGCCTAGTCCGGGCCAAACAATAGGGTATATTTGGAAAGTTACCCCTGGAATTGATGTGTCCAACAATCATGGAAAAGAGGTCTACGTTATAAAAAAGTAGGACAAATATTAGGACCTACATCAATGGAAACCGGTTTTCATTATCTACAGGTTTTATTTTCATAATTCTGCTTTAATTCCTAACTAATAACATACGTAACTAAGAAATAATGCCCCCAAAAGCAGAATATTGATCGTGATTTCGAACCCTAAACCTTCAAGTTTCCAGACTCGCTAACCACAGAGCCCTGGCCCATCGCTTACCTTGAACAACGATAGAGCTAACATTCACGGTGTAAGATGTGTATCCAGACGACAGATCTTCGGCGGCAAACAAATAAGAATCCGTCATAAGATCATAAATCATTACGTCATCCGGAGTACTACCTGCATCGAGAACGATGTCTATCTCTACTCCGAGACTCCCATTGAAGGACTTGATTTCGACACTGAATACGGAGTCAACAAAGATCTCCCATCTTGATAACCGGTGAAAAATCTGAAGGAATTAAGCGGGCAAATAATGAGCATTCCATTCATGGCATTTTTAATAGTTAACATTAGGTTTGATTTTTTTTTTCCCGTCTTTATATGACAAATTCAAGGAAAATCGGAAAATAATTAGCATTTGTAGCGTTTTTTATAGTACAATCAAAAGTGAATTTGCCTTTCTCTATGAACTCGGCTGTGTTACGGCGATCCGGTCCGGCATGCTGTTCACTTCCACATGGGGACCGCTCTACGTTGTTCAAACATTCCTCGACCCACATAACCAACTTTGTGAAAGGCCTAACTTAGTACCAATATTACCTGTATAGTCTACACTTGTCTATGACTCCCGTTTCTGAATAAAACATGAAATCAACTGCCTTCAGAACTCCTGTTCAGATTACGAAACATATTATTGTCTTTTTCGCATATTTCAAATTGTGAGGCTCACGTCTTTGCGATCGTGCGCTTTGCTTTCTTAGTACTCTCATCACACTTTGAAATAGTATGTCTAAATCTTCAACCGGGAAGTAAAATTAGTACCGACATTCATTTTTATTCAATCTCTATCCGCATTTAAAGGCATTGTTTAACAATGTTAAATCTGAGATGCATCGTGTAAGTGTTATTGATGTCTGTGATATGGTATAATATTGAAGCCCTAAAAAAGGTTGTACGTCAAAATGATCACGAAGTGCCTCAAAAAGTAAAACTCTTTGAGTGACCGGTTTTACCATAATCATTTTCCCCTAAAGACTGTAGTGTTATAATAGCCGTTAGCAAAACGAAAAATGAAATTTCGATTTCCAGTCATAAATATCTTGATATCAGACAGGCGATCGGCTTGTAAAAGCCATGGGATTCCTGATTGACCTTAAGTTATAATTATGATTGCAGCATGAGCTAAATGCAGGATTTCGTTTCAGAATTTCAGGCAATGTTACCGAGTCATTAAAACGAATATTTAAACAGCATATTGAATTTTAATGGTAAAAAGCATTTACATGCCTGGTAAACAGTAGATGAAACTGCATATTTCTTTGAACACTTTAATTCTGCATTTCCAAAAAATAATGCATAATACCGTAAATGCAGCGTTTGGAAGTGGCAGATTTCTGTTTAAGCTATGTTTGTGTGTATGTGTAGTGGTGGTTATCTTACCTGACTGCTAAAAAAGCACAATGCTTGTTAGTAAGCAACCATAAGACCCGACGGCTTTAGGTCCACTCCGAGAGACCTGGTAAATAGGATTAATGCCTAATACCAAAGGGCACACGCGCATCGCCTTGGTTCCGAACCCGGGTCGCCGGATTACGACACCACTGCTCTACCAACTGAGCTATCTCGCCTCCTAAAAGTAAAGCGTTAAACATCTGATTGATTGATTGATTTTTTTATTTTGTTGAATTAAAATGTAATAAGATGGATGTTTTCATACCGCATACTCTAGTTCTCCTCTGATTATTTCATCACTTGATTTGAAAGTGTCAGGGTATATTGCAAGAGACCCGTTGACCTCTGTAATTTGAAACCACATGTCGAATCGTCTCGGAACTGGAAGAAAAAAGATCATTAATTGCAATATATATTACAAGTAACAGCAACAACATGAAAAATAATAAAAATAATAATCATAATAATCAGAATAATCAGAATGGTATAATAATGGTAATACTCATAATAATACTAATGTAAAATTTACCCATGAAGCCTGTCATGGCGAACCTTCGACTAAGAATTGAGGACATCCAAAAGGTCTATTAAATAACCCTTCCTTTGTTTCAATGTCACCTTGTCCGACTTTATGAGAATCCTAAATTTCAACGATATTATTTTTATATTTATATGCGTTGGTGTAGATATTTTTACACCTATAGTGATTATTATGTTATAAAACCAAAACCGAGTAGCTATATAATTCCAACAGGCATTATATAATTGTCTACCTATCAAATGAAGTTGTATTTTCATGTGATAATACTTACTTTGACAACCTTCTTCTGTTCTGATCCGACCGTGTCCACAGCTGCACAGCCCATCTTTGCAAACCTCATTCTTTGCACATTGATTTGATGTGGAACAAACGGTTTTACCTGCGATATAGAGGAAAATCAGTTCCAGTGTCTTTTCTTCGTGTCAATGGAGTCCAAAATATTAAGGTCTATTAAAATTCGTTGAAGACATTGATATAACTACTACCTGATTGCTCTGTATTTTAATCTGAATAATATCTTAAGCATTTGAGGAATCAACCTAACTGTCATCCGCTCACTTCACCTCGGCGGAGAGTGGTATATGTGGATTAATGTATTGCCAGAGAATATTAGTGTCTTTGCAGGGATTTGAACCACGTATTACTAGCCACATAGTCCGGTGATTTATCCTCTATACCTAGACACTCCCACTGCTAGTCTTTACATGCATCAATGCATCAAACTTTGGTTTTTATGCTCTCTTCAACGTACCGTAATCGCAGTGGCGCCCTGCATATTCTGCGGTGCATGTACAGAAATAGCCCGTTATTATATCCGAGCAAGTCGCTCCATTGTTGCAAGGGTCACTGTCACATTCGTTGATTTCTGTGGGGGTAATAGGACAATTTATCATGTCACAAAGGCTTATCAAATATCTACTTGTTTTTATGCAATTATACCTCTTAATTTATGAAGATGAATGTATAAATTTTATCTGTTGGACAGATCAGGTGATAATTATATCACACAACGTGAAAAGAGTTTTTTAATTAGAGATAAGGTTCTGTTCATTCCATTAAACTGTGAAGAAGAAATTATATCTTTTAGTTGATGAAGATGAATGTTAAACTTTAATTTGCCATGTTACCAGTTAGCACATCAGGTGCCCGGTAAAAGGTCGCGTAGTGTGGGCGCTGTAAAAAAAAGGGGGGGGGAACCGAGAAAAACGCTTTTGAAGTTTTAACACCTACTTCAAGTGCTAAGAACGACGATGTTTCATTGTTCCATGTAGCCAAAACTATTCTTAGAGAAAGATATTTACCTTATTTATTTTATTCTCAAATTGCATTACGTTTTGCTGGAAACAAAAAAGCCCGAACGCGCAATTTAACTCCCAGCAAAAGGTTATGTAGCGCTACGCGAGGTTTTGCCGGGCAGCGTAATTTTTCCCCCACTTGAGCTTTTCTAAAAACTTTTTTTGTTGTTGGTACTTTCCTAAAAACTTTGTGCAATATATTTAACTAATTACCATGTGGATATTGTAAATCGATCATTTACTTCTAATGAACAAACTTATCTTCTATTTATTTCAAAGTTGAGTTTTTAATTTGAAATATAATCTTTTGCAATTTCGCATTTTGTCTTTAGATGTTTACAATGGTTTTAAAATAATCGCTAAACTCCTGATGTAATTTGAACAACCCATTTTTCTGAAACTCACATTTGAACTCTTTGGTTTTCTGTTTATATATTTCATATTTTATTTTTAATTTATGCCAATCTATGTTCAATGTAATTGATATGTATAACTTTGTAATTTTGCGTGTTTTTATCTGTGAACTGTATCGCAATCCAGCCTTTTACGGCTGCGAAGATATTTTTTAATAAACCTTGAATTGAACTTAAATTGAGGTCCCTTATTAGAAAGGAAAAAGGGCACGTATCATTGTCAAAATGGAAATTATCAAAGGTGAAAACGGGGCACTTCGTACACCCTCAAAAAGAGGCACTAACCAGGGAGGAAAAGTCAGCCATGAAAATAGAAAATGGGTCTTTGTCGACGGAAAAAGGGCCGCATCAGATTTTGATAGGGGCATTTATAAGAGGTGAAAAGGGGCATTTATAAGAAGTAATAAGTTCCTTATTAGAAAGGAAAAGGTGCACGTATCATTGTTAAAATGAAACTTATCAGAGGTGAAAAGAGGCACTTATCGCACCTGAAAAGGGGCAATGACCAGATATGAAATGGGGCACTTATAATAAAGGAAAATGTGCATTTGTTGAAATAAACTGGGCAATGACCAGATATTAAAGGGGCATTTATCGGAGGTGAGGGGTGTACTTATCTGAAGTGAAAAGGAGTAACTTCTCGTACCTGAAATGGGTCATTTACCAGAGAAGGCGCACTTATGAGAAGGGGAAGGGGCTCTTTTTTGAATTGAGAACTTATCATTAGGACAAGGAGCACATGTGAAAATATAATTATAAAATATATAATTATTAAAAGGGGAAGGGGCACTTCTTACAAAGGAAAAGGGGAACTTGTCAAAGTTAAAGAGGCCTCTCTCTCAGATTTAAATAGGGCAATTATCAGAGGTGAAGGGGGCACTTATCAAAAGTGAAAAGAGGCACTTCACATACCTGAAAAGGGGCACTTACTAGAGATTAAAAAGGGCACTTATGAGAATGGAATATTGACAATTATTGCAAATGAAAATGGGAACTTGTCTAAATAAAAGGGGCAATTATCAGAGTTGAACAGGGGAAGGGGCACTTTTGCAAATTAATAGGGCACTTGTCAAAGTAAAAGGGGCACTATTCCTATGTCAAAAGGGGCACTTCTTACAAAGTTAAAGTGGCACTTTTCGAGTGCATGAAAAAGTGGGGGGCACTGTGCCCCCCCCTGCCCCCCGGGAGGGCCGACTCTGCACAGCGTGAATTTAAAAAAAACATATATAAATTAGAGATAAGGTTCTGATCATGCCATTAAATTGCGAAGAAGAAATAACTGAAAGAAAAGGTTGATAATGTAGCCCTTAGAATTGGTGTGTACAGTGAAGTGAAGTCAAATATAAAGGATCCGTTATTTGGAACAACTTTCAAGAATCACTCAAATGATGTCCAACATTATCTAGTTTTAAGCACATTTAAACCAAAACAAATAACAAGTTACAATATACTTATTTAGCTTTCATTAATTCTGTCTGTCCTGTGTAGTATGTCTCAGTTAATGTAATGTCTTCATTGTCAATATTTGCATTAATGAAGATTTTACTTATGGGTTTGTAGAAAAAAGGGACCAGCCTTTGCCTTTGCTAGTCCCTCACATCCCTACTCTACCATTAATTATTTTTACTGTTACTTTTGTTGTTGTATTTGTTCTTATATCATGACATATTTTATATATATTGCATTTTATATTATTGTATTTGAATTTTATATAGATGTAAATTTGTTATTGGATGTGAAATAAACTGAACTTGAACTTGAATATTTTGAATAAAAGGGGATTAGAAGAGCAATCTTTTGGAAATATTTTTCTATGATATTGTTTCACTCAACTATAAAAAGAATTAAAAAGCTCGCAAATCCTTGTTCACCTTCCCCAATATCAACCTTCTCTTAATCATCCAAGTTGAAAACATCATTTACATCAGTCAGGCTCTATCGATCTCTGTGGGGCATTTTAATTCTTCCTCACGATGTATAATAGGCCTATAACAGTTGCCATCTAAAAATCTTTATTATCATAGGAGAACTTAAAAATATAGACCAGTTTTGGAAACGCCCCCCTCTCAAAAGATGAAATGGAAGCTCTTATTACCAATCAGGTGATAGAAAATCTTTGGACTAATACGTGATGATATAAATTTTGCCGGGAAACCGACTACTAATCGATATATTTGGTAAATTATTATATCAATCTGGACCGGATAGATATCGCGCACGTGTCGTGTAGTCCCATATACATCTTTCTGTGTACAGTGCTTGTAACTTTACCAAGACTGGGCCAAATTTCTTATCATTTTGATGATTCAAGAACCTTGCAGTACACACCAATACTTATAAGGTAGATGATTAACCTATTCTGGTCGATTCCACAACGTTTTTGACATTCCGATCGCATGACCAGAACTGGACTTTACCTTTAACCTTTTTTAAAATGTAATTCGTCGAATAGTCTCATACAAAATACTTCTGCTTCGCTGCCTAATATCTATTGCATAAGATGCCCGGCTGTATTTAGACGTGAAACGCTTTTGAATAAAATCTTCCTTTTTTTTCCTGTCCAATTATGAAGAATAAACTCAAATTAAATTAAATCAGATCAAATCAAATCAAAATTTTGAGGGTGCATCGCCTGCAAGATAAACAAACTCTTTCTCAAGCAAAAATCTTAATAATATTTTTTGTGTTTTTCACTAACCTTTGTCACATGTTTGTCGCCTGTAATCATTGGTTTGTAGTCTACCCAGAGGCTATATATATAGAAGACAGTCACAGATAAGAAAAGCAAATACCCAATTATATATTATTTAAAAAAGTGTGTACACAAAAAAATGAGATGCAAGGTAAACTTTCAACACGATTGCAGACACTTCCAAACTTCAACCTTAGGCACTTTCAATAGCCTTATACATCACATATTGAAATGTGAAATATTACGTAATCTGAGGAGTATTTCTCTTGATATTATAATAGGGTATAGAGATTGCCCTTAAGTGGGTTTCTTGAAAGCCTTTCTAATCATGTTATACTTTCCCTTCATAATTTGCCTCTCGATATTTAAGATATGAAATTTATAACGAATACTCGAATAATCGAATACACAGTGTTATGTTCCCAAATGCGCATCTTTCTATATTTTGGTGACAGCATCTTTCAACAATGTACATATTTCTTACAAATATTTTGGACTTTGGAAACCTTTGTCTATGTTCTACTTTATTGTAAGTGAAATAAACACTTATAGCTTAGACAGATACCGAGATGTGATTGGTCCAGAGCTCGTCACGTCATATTGATTGCGAGGATCGTAATTGTTATATTTTCCTGGCCGGTCACATTGACTAGCTGGTGAAATGAATATATTTTTAATCAATGCATGTCGCCCTCTTGAGGACATAAGGTATTTTTTTCTCGATTTTTTTTTTCCTCGGAATTTTTTTTTTCGTCTATTTTTTTCTTCTCTATTTTCGTTCTACATTTGTTTTTTTCGAAAATAAATAGAAAACAATTTCGGGCAAAAAAAAAAGGACCCCCCAAAAAAAATTGATATTCAAAGCAAAGGCTAATATAACAGATATTGACTGGCAGAGGGTATATAACATTCTTCGGACCTGAAGGGAGTTATATTCTTCCTCGTGACCATATTATAACTATAAATATATAGCCACTTGGGAAAATATAACTCCCTTCAGCGGTCAAAAGAATGTTTTATATACCCCTCTTTAGAAATCTAGCCCTCTGATTGGACAACATTGCAGTCGTTATTTTAGACATTCCCGCCTACCAGTCAATAGTCTTTTGAAAAGTGCCCTCATACCCGCCTACCGGTCATTAGCCCTTTTAAAGATGCCCGTTGCCCCGGGTAACAGGCCGCATAAATGAATTGTGCTCAGATCCCCATTGGTTTACGTGTTAAAAATTTCTCTGTGCGAGCGCGGACACCATACAGTGATTTTTGTCTGCGATTCCCAAATGATTGAAACCTTCAGTCATTTTTGCAGCGAAGATAAACAGACAGTTTCTCAGATTTTCCGTGATGTTTTAACCAATCTTTACTCAATTAAAGGATAAGGTAAAAATTCTTGGTAGATTTTAGTTTCAATTCGGCAAATAAAAGAAGTATCGACTGCTTTAATATTCGAGGTTTGGCTGTACCCAGGCGCGCCGAGGGGTCATGACAGGATGTGCGCACGTTCCCGAGAGCCTGTAAAAACAGCCAGGCCTCTCAAAGCAGTCGATATCTCTTTACTAGTACACCCCCTGTCAGTCAATATCTGTATACTATTTTATATTACGATGTAATGTGACTGTGACATGACCTGGGATTGAAAAGTTTACTTGTTCTTTCTTGTAGTTACTACTATGATTTTGAATTTGGAGGAGTCATATACTTGTCCATAAGCATAACCAATGAAGTCTCAATTCTCCCGCTTTGAAACACATCAATTATTTGGTTTGTAAGTTGGTAAACAAAGAGATAACATTTGATTCAACTTACGAAAATTGTTGGGCAATGATCATCGAACATAAACGCACCACCAACACTAGATATATCCGTCTCGTTGAAGCCGGGAAGAGAATCAAAATACTGAAGTAGAATAAAATAATTTAGAAAAAAGAAGCATTATGATTATTCCTTTGTGCCATTTCAAATGTATTATTTTCCGCATGATTGATGGATCATTCGGAAGTCATATACTGATACAACATTATGATTTAATGTTCCAAATCGTAACACGATATGAGAAAGATCAAACCGTCACACCATGTTACTTGCCTTAATCACCGTGACACCAATACACATTTGATTTCATTCATTGGAATAATGCATTATCATCTTTTTTATCCGTTTTCATTTTAAGCCAATAACTGGAAAACTAACAGATATAGTGTTATCATATACAGTAATAATAACAATTATAACAACAACAGCGATTAGTACAGGATTTCCCGGCGAAATTCGCGAGTTTGTCATTCAAATTCATTTACTTTGCATTTAAGTTCAATTTTCAATTTTTGGTATTCAATTTAGAATTTTGGTCGAAGGTTTTCATAGATCTGTCATTTAATTTAAAAACTGCTCAACTAGCATTCAAATTAATCGTCACTTGTCGAGGCGTCTTTTTTATCATTCAAATTAACACCTGTCATTCGTATTCGAATTATGTTTATTCAAGTTAGGAATGTTAGGGGGAAGAAGTACAACCCAGAAAAAAAGAAAAAGAATGAACTATAAAAAATGTGTAATATACGAGAAATGTATATGGACCATCAATTTAAGTGCACAAAGTGCTAATTGGAATGCTACAAATGAATTCGAATGCTAAAAGTATACCTTCGCGATGTCAGAAATCGTTTTGCGCCAAATCGAATGACCAAATAGCGAAAAAAGCACATTATTCATTAATTTGAATAAAACATACATAGATTCTAACGAAAACTTCATAGATTTGAAACTAGAAAAAGGAATATAAACCCAAGGTATATCTGACAGCAATAAAACCGTCGAATTTGAACGCAAGACAAATTAATTTAAATGACAAACTCGCGAATTTGGCCGGAAAATCCTATATTAACCCAGAAATTGCCAGGTACCCATTTACACCTGCGTGGAGAGTTGACATATGGATTAATGTCTTGTCAAAAGAATTAAGTGCCGGGCTGGGTTCCGAACCCTCAACCCTCATACAAATTAAAATCTTCTCCGACATTGAATTCTAAATCCTTGTTGGTACCTGATATTGATCCGGCAGTGGTTCATCGTGCTTTATGTTAGAACAGAAGGCAGCATTGCTTTCAACGTCACAGAGCAGTTCAAGGGAATTTTCGCAGTACGGGCTTAGAGACAACCCTCTTCATGACAGACCACGAAAAAGAAAGTAAAAAGAAATCCAATGACTAGCAATAAATAAATTGAAACAAGAAGTGTTCAATATATTGAAGGGCCTGTAATCTCTGTAAAAAAAAATCTCTTCAGTTTCTCAGTTTTGTTCACAAGAAGTATGATACTAATTAAGAGGTATTTTGGATTAAGTACAAATATATTTAAATTGCTCTGGTTTGCTTGTAGTTACATGTACATATATAACTAGGTTGAATTTGAATTCAGTATACGAAGGCCCAATCAAAAAAGCAAAACTGGTTGCTTGACATAGTTATACTTCTTTATTTATGTATCAAATTTTATCATTAGTATGAAGTAATATATTCGACATTGTTGTGCGTATCGATATGTTTCTCTATTTTTCTCATAAAATACCACATTAAACTATAAGTATTATTTATCAGTCGCTTCTTGTTCTTGTATTGGTTTCCTACTCAAGTTTCTTCCCCACCTGTTTCTCTGAGTGTCCATCCACCATTTACAACTCTTGTTGACAAAGCCACACCCGAGGTCACGACCCCAAGTGAATGGGTCAGCGAGGTCATAGTTCACCTTATACCATCCGGTATCTTCGAGGAATGCCAAAGTGAAACGAGAGAATGTTCGCCCATTAGTTAAAGCCGGCCCCATCGACTCGGTCTAACAAACAAAAGGTAAACAATAAGTGCTAGTTATTAATTTAACCTTTACCCTTTATCATTAAGCTGATTAAGTTGGGCAGAGACACCATAACAAAGGTGCCAATGGAGGTTTTGCAGCACGGGGGTTGGCAGAACATAGGTTTGTATAAACATAGCGGTATCGGAACATACGGATGTCAGCAATTAAGGGTGTCGGTCTTGGAACCTACATGTAGGAGTGTCGAACATGAGGGTATTTAAACGTAGGGGAAACGGGACACAGGAGTAACGGAACTTAGAAATGTCGAATTGGCGGAACTGACAGGGGTCTCGGAACATTGGGATGTCAATTTCAGAAAATAGGGGTCTCGGGACATGGTGCAAAAATGTAACAGATACAAAAGCTGTAACATCTTCAACATTTTGATCGAAATTTAGATTATCATCATCCAATGTAATACATAATTTTACAGTTTAAAACGAAAAATGACATCTAAACAATCCTACCGGCATCAATCGGGACTCAAAATGACTGAGAGCACTTCCAGATGGAAACCTTCCATAATCGTCCTCCAGTTCGACTCCCTCAATGGTATCACATCCGTAGTATTCACGAGCTTCTTTCTACAATGATGAAAACATATATATATCTATATTTTTTATCCTTTGATCTGAGCAGCATGTGTGTGTGTTTGTACGTGTATACATCCATGTGTTTATGCATATATCATTTAGTTCATATATACGTATATGAAGAGTTTCATTACAAAAGGAGCTAAATCCACTTTGGGTACTTCTGAGTAAATCGCCTTTTTTATTTCTCCACTTTCCCTTTAGCCATGTACCTTCATGTTCATATATATGTTAATGGTGTCACCCTGGACTAATAATATATGATAAGAACAAATCTACCAGATATTTCTGATTTTTACCATGTCTAATTAATGACTCATTTTTTTTCATTGCACATGTCCGTCTAATGACGCCGTAAGGTAAATATGTATATATATATATATATATATATATATAGGCGTGAAGAAAATGGTCTAGGAACACCCGTTGTCATGTCAGAGTTGAGAATTCTCGCACTTTTATATATATATATATATATATATATATATATATATATATGTGTGTGTGTGTGTATGTATGTGCAGATGTGCGCGTGTGCGTATGTGTGTGTGAGTATGTGTGTGGGTGGGTGAGTATGTTTGTGTGATGGAGGGGGCAGGGAGGGGGCAGGGAGGGGGCAGGGAGGGGGCAGGGAGGGGGCAGGATTGTTCCAGTAAAATTACCTACAGATTTGTTTAAGTTTGTTTTGTAATATATATTAGTGAATAACATTTACAATTGACATATTATGTTTAGGTACTTATACGTTTACTTTGTTGCTAAGTTATATTATACTGCAAATAAGTTTGTGTTTAATTATGTTTATGTAAAAGCATCAATATTGAACACTTTTATTTTATTCAATTGTATGTTATGGTTTGTATTACTCATTTGGAGAAATAAAACAAAATTGTTTTTTTATTTAAAGTGTGTGCGTGTGTGTGCGTATGCGTGTGTTTGTGTGTGTGTATTGTTCAAGAACAATTTATGATTATTTTATCAAAGCACTGCAACAAACGTAAGATTTGCAGGTAAGGGATGGGAAAAATGATTATGATTTTATAGATAAAGAATTAAAAGAAATATTTGTTAGACCAAGAATTACTATACTCATTAGAAAACAACGTGAATTTCAATTTAAATTTTTGCATGGAGCCATAAACACTAATGAGCATCTTCATAGATTTGGTTTTGTTGGTGATAATTTATGTTCGTTTTGTAAGCAGGAAATAGAAACATACAAACATTTATTTTTATCTTGCGGGAGCGTTCAAAGTAAATGGCAGGCTTTAATACAACTTTTTGAGTTAGATGAAATGAAAGATTTAGAATGGCGAGATATATTTGTTGGGTTGGTAGGTAGTTCATACAGAATACAAATGTGTAATACTATCATTTTCATGGTGAAGTATTTTACATTTACTTCAAGATCGGGGGGGGGGCGAGTACTAACTTTAGAAAAGATGAAAAAAAGCATTTTTAAGTATAGGGATGAGGAAAAGAAAATAGCAATTAAAGTGGGAAAGCTGGGATCACATTTCTTAAAGTGGGAGCAGCTTAAGATTAATTAAGATTTGTTTTCTTCTCCACCGTGAGCCTGTTAAAAGCGTAACTCTATTTTGCGGCCTGGATAACTTATTTAGCATATTTTTCTTGAATTGAGAATGTTGGCAGACATCCACTGAGTGAGTAGTGTGTGTGGGGTGGGGGTGGGGTGGGTTGGTGGGTGAGTATGTGTGTGGGTGGGTGAGTATGTTTGTGTGATGGAGGGTGAGTATGTTTGTGTGATGGAGGGGGCAGGGAGGGGGCAGGGAGGGGGCAGGATTGTTCCAGTAAAATTACCTACAGATTTGTTTAAGTTTGTTTTGTAATATAGTACAATTGACATATTATGTTTAGGCACTTATACGTTTACTTTGTTGCTAAGTTATATTATACTGCAAATAAGTTTGTGTTTAATTATGTTTATGTAAAAGCATCAATATTGAACACGTTTATTTTATTCAATTGTATGTTATGGTTTGTATTACTCATTTGGAGAAATAAAACAAAATTGTTTAAAAAAAAAGTATACTGCGCAGGTCAAAGATAATACTCATCACACAATCATTTTAAACGAAATTGCATTGTCTAGAAGTATTGCTATTGGATGATTATGTAGTGAATAGGAACGTCAATGTGTAATGTGGTATTTGAAGCAATTTAATCTTAACAAATTGACGAAATCTTAATAAAGAAAAATGTACATTTCTTAGAGAAAGGCGTCTTTAAACATACATCCAATCATGATGTCTAAGGAACAATTATAGGTGAATATTTTCTTCGGATGAAATGGAAATAAAGGATTACGGTTATCATCTCAATCATCAGCAGCACCATCATCGTATTCATATTCATAATGATAATTATCAACATAATCATTATTACGATCATCAGTATGAATACCACCATCATCACCGTCAACAACATCAACATTATCAACAACGTCATTATAAATACCACTCACATCATCAAGTATAGATATTATTATTATCCTCCTTTCCCTCCTCCTCCTGCTTATCCTCATCCTCATTCTTATGACAGAGATCCTAATCGTCTACTTAGCCGTCTTCGTAATCAGAATGACAGTATTTCTGTGATAATTTGGAGTATGATTTTGTTTAAACTTACCACAAGGTTAGGTGTTACCATGATCGTCACGTTTCGTTCTATTTGACCCCCACGGATATCCCAATCTAGGGTTTTGGTTCGAGCTACACGGTCACTCCATTGAAGGTATCCCCCACTGTAAAAAGTATGCAAAAAGGTATTATCAAATGAAGCAATATTATTTCAGCCATGATGTGTATGTGTTACTGAAAAGCAGTCCAAGCATATACATATGAATTTGCTGTATTCGTAGGTGAAACAAACGGTGCTCATTATAATCATCATCATCATCATCATCATTTAAGATCCATTAAACTTTGAGTAGGTCGATTTCATGCCTAAATGAAAACTATGTATTCATCTTTAATATTCATATGAATTAATTCATTTATTTGTTTCTACTCTCTTTTAGTGTTTCTTTTCAACATCCAAATGATAAGGTCATGAACAGCAGGAAGTGGGCGGGGTGACGGAATCATAAAAACCAAGAGCTTGTTTGGGATGAAAAGTATTGGATTAATATGATTATTGAAAATCAATCCGTGCCTTTGTATAATATCTCGTATGCAGTGGCGTACGCAGGATTTTTTTAAAGAGGGGGGGGGGGGGGTTTAAAATCGGGCCCAAAATTTTGCAACCACTCAGCCAGCCGCTGAATAAGCGGGGGGGGGGGGGTTAGCGGACACTTTTTTTTTTTTTGGAGTCCCAAAAAAATCACAACGACTCAGCCAGCCGAGGAATAAGCGGGAGGGGGGGGGGGGGGGGGGGGGGGGGGGGGGGTAAGAGGACACTTTTTTTTTTTTTTTTTTTGGGGGGGGGTCTCGAAATTTGGAAATTTGACATTTCGTTCCATTGGGGGGAAGTAAGGTCACCTTTTTGGGGTCAGCCATTGGCATAATTTTTTTTTCTTTAATTACACAAAAAAAAATAATAACAATAAAAAAAAAGGGGGGGGGGGGTTTCCAAAAAAAACATACACAAAACATACATATAAAAAAAATTCAAGGGGGGGTTAAAACCCAACCCCCCCCCCCCCCCCTTCCCCTGCGTACGCGCCTGCTCGTATGGCTGTAGGCCATGGGACTAACAGACAGAAGAGACAAAAAGGGTCATTCTGGCGGGCCTTTCTGGAAAAAAGATACGCGAGGGTTCACGAGTCGATCTCCCAGGTCTTCTGACAGAACGAATCTAAGGGTTCATAAGACTGGCACTGACCTTTAAATAAGGAATGTCAGTCTTCGGAAATTAAGTGAATGTGCCTTCAACAATAACATATGAAAAATAACAACAACACCAACAACAACAAGACGACTACGACTGCGTCTCCTACACTGTATATGCCTCTGCCATAAATTCAGTATAGAAATTGATGGAATTAATCGTAACATATCACAATGAAAACAAAAAGCCTATACTTAGATTTCGAGTGATGACTATGATCTTGACCTACTAGCCCCACAATTTAATTGGCTCATCGTCATATAGAAGATACCATCCCCATGTTCAGATATTGCGATAGCGGCAAGGCTAAAAAAACCTTTAATTTCAGAAATTAACCTCTGTTACCTTTGACCTATAACCTTAAAACCTCTAATTGTTCTTAAGATATCGCGATAACAAGGATAAAACCTGTAATTTCAGAAATTTTCCTCTGTGACCTTTGGCCTAATAACACAAAATCTGATCAGATCGTTTTCCTATGGTCATACATATTATCACCAAGTTTGGGCCTCATATCTCTTGTGGTTCTAGAGGTGTTTAGATAATGAGGCTAAAACCTGAAATTTCAGAAATTGACCTCTGTCACCTTTGACCTAATAACACAAAATATAATCAGATCGTCTTCATATGGTGATACATATTACATGTATCACCAGGTTTGAGCATCATATCTCCCTTGGTTCTTGAGATATCGCGATAACGAGACCAAGTTGATTTCATTGACCTTTGACCTAGTCACTTCAACATCTAACCAAATCTAATTTCTATTGTGATACATACTATCATAAAACTTGAATTTCTCGAGCGGTTCTAAAGATATCGTGTTAACGAGCAAGTGGGACGGACAACCCGAAAATATAATGCCTCCGGTAGATACAATTTTCAAAAATGACGCCATTGTGTCGGGGGAGTGGTCGAAGGGGATCATACCTCTTCTTTTTTTTTTTTTACTATTCCATGGTGTTCGAATGTTCTTCTTCAAAAAAGGAATACATGCGTATTCATCGGTTGGAGCCTATGAATACACCTCTACTTATTAATATTCCAGCCTTTGATTTCTCAGAAAATCTCTAAATTGATCAACAAATGATAATTACCATCCATTTTCCACAGATCTCACGCTTGTTGGGATACGCCCTTCGAAAACAGGTAATACGGTCACGTGGCTTGATGACGCATTTGATGTCATTGCGGGCATGTCCGATTTGATAATTTCATAATAAGGAATGACAAAATTGCTAGAAACGTACTGGGATTATCAAGTGCATATTATTTTTTGGATAAATGTCTTCTTTTAAAAAAAATAATATCATAGTTTGCCTTTTTAAAGACGTTTTAATGTCTAAATCACCCTCCTTTCACCGGAGAGGCTCCTGCAGTGACGTCATATTCTATTGCGCAATACAGCTCCGAAACTGGGATTTTTTGCTGAGCGTTCTGAGTTGTCATTTTTAAAGCTAGACTCAAGAATTATTGATGATTTCTAAGAAACATGTACGGAATCTCCGTCAAAAATTATTCTACAATTTGTTTTCGTTTTTAGCCCGTTTTGGTTCGAGTGGCCCTTTAAGCTAAGCCACAGACAGACAAACTGGCAGACTGTTTTTTTTAAATAATAAATTTGGACATTTTTAAAGAACATATACTTGTTGACGTTACCTGTTAAATTCAGTGGGGAAGCCATCGTCCCCAAGGGGGGTCAAGGGGTCCCCATTTTGATCCCGGAAAAGAGCATACAAGCTTGGTGAGAAACCCTGTAAGAATACGAAACGAAACAATGTTTAAGTGGAGTTCTGGTCGTGCGATTGCATTGTGAAAGAAACTATGTGGGATCGATTCGAAAGGGTTGACCACTTAGCATATAAGTATTCGGTGTGTATTGCAAGGTTCTGGAATCATAAAAATGATAAGAAATTTGGCCCAGTCTTGGTAGAGCTACAAGCAATGTACAATGAAATATGAACATGGGATTACACAAAAATGTGGCATAAAAATCCGTCCCGATTATTATGCTGCTACATGCCATATTTAGAATATTAAGGCATTTGAAGAACCATGCTTTTCAGGGAACATTTTTTATCTGATGATCTTCCCCACTTGCATGATAACAATGATAACGATCATTACGTGCGGACTGATAAACATTAGCTAAACAAACTTTGTTTTACAAAGGTGGTAGGGTGAGTAACATAACTTTCTTTGGACCTCCGAAGGGAGTTATATTTTCCAAGTGGTTATATTTTTTATGAAGCGCGCATCGCTGAGGGGAATGAGCACGAGAGATCATATCACTCTCTATCTAATATTACTTACTAGTGCATGGTAGATTTCATGTTGTACTAACACTTGGAGATCTTCTCGTATTGTTGTGGCACCTGGACAAATGTTGATGAACCCTGCAATAGGCCTTAGAGTCGGAGAGCAATAAAATAGTAACACATAAATCCTACATCAACATGATAAAAATAGTGCATTACTATCACTATGGTAGCATAACAACGGTGTTTTACAGAGGGGTCCCTATAGACATATAAGACATGTAAATATAGTACAGGAATAAGGATAACTTACCCCCAAAAAGAACTTACAATAATGACAAGATCGAATTGAAGTAAAACAAAAAAAAAAGAAGAGAAAAAAAAATTATGTATATTTTTGGTTTAAATAGCTTACATAATAATAATAGGATACCTAAACAGTTACAAGAAGTCTAAAAGAACCAGTTTCAAGTAATTTTGTGGTATGAGCTTAGGAAGAAATAAATAACAGGTAAAATCAGTGCTGGAAATGAATGCCCGACTGTAGCTCAGTCAAAAATGCAATTTAAAGAAGTATATTTTAAAGATAAAGACCAGTTATAGTCATGTAGCATTGTGAAAGAAACGGTATGGAATCGATCAGAAAAGGTTGATCATCTAGCATATAAGTATTGGTGTGTACTGCAAGGTTCTGAAATCATCAAAATGATAAGAAATTTGGCCCAGTCTTGGTGAAGTTACGCACTGTACACAAAAAGATGTGCTTGGGACTACGTGACACGTGCGCGATATCTATCAGGTCCAAGTAGATATAATAATTTAGCAAATATATCAATTAGTAGGCGGTTTCTCGGCAAAATGTGTATCATCACTTATTAGTCAAAACATATTCTTTCACATGATTGATAATAAGAGCATCCATTACATTTTTTGAGAGGGGGCGTTTCAAAATCTGGTCTCTACCTTTTAAGATACTATATCCCTTTTGCAGCCAACATCAAATTCTATAGAACTTTGCAAGAATTATAAATATGTCATGTATGTCCTATCTGTGAAATGTAAACGTTAGCAGTGTCCTAGTATACAAATTATGCAAGGAAACCCGTTTACTTGCTAGACTTCACTGTCAGACACTATTGAGTGACTGACTGCCTATTTTTTCTTCTTTGGTAATAACTTACATAAAATGAGCTGTAAAGGGTACATGAGCATTTGTCTACATCAATAACCCACTTCTTATAATGGCCAAAATTTAACTGATTGAATCTTTGCGCAGCATAAAACGTACGACCAATCGATATAGTGGTCTGAAAAATCAGGCAATTACCTACTGGCTCTATAGCTCTATAGTCGATTCGACAACTAATAGTCGTTATTTTCCCACTTAAAAACATTTTCAAGCCCCCCCCCCTTTTTTTTTTAGGGAAGTTCTAAATCAGTATTGTCTTTCAAATGCCGTTGGAATTTAACCTTTTCAGTTTTTTGGCCTGCAAATGGGACATAGTACCTTTAAGGAGAGTTTTTATAATAATAGTAATAATAATAATAATAATAATAATAATAATAATACTCAGTTTTTATAAAGCGCTTAATACTATCATTAAGCGCTTCCAAACTTGGAGATTATTACCCCGACTTTAGCTGCGCTGCCATTACGGCGCTGTAGCATTTCAAAGAATTAATTCCTGCCATGAATCTTATAAGCAGGCATAAGTAAATGACTGCTCCTCGTAAAACTCGGTACGAACAACTGGACATTTATATATCACCTATTTATTTGGCTCATAAAAGTTTCATTAAAGATATAAAAATGCGATAAAAAATGAGGGAGAGGGAGAAAGGGGGCAGGGGGAGGCGAAAGAGAGAGAGGGAAACAAGGAGAGAGGGAGGGGGAAGGGAGAGAGAGAGAGAGAGAGGGGGGAGGGGGTGGAAAGGGGGAATCCAACTCAAACCAAGAAGTGTGACGTCTTACTGGCCAAGTTGTCAAGGTGGCTGGTTCCAAATAATTTCGTGCTAAAGAATGGTGCAGGGATTACACCAGCCCCCATTTAAACACTGACTTTGCCCTGCCCGAGCCCGTTGCTTGAATGATTTCGCGGTGAAACCCACGCGCATGCTGCGTTGTTTAGAACCGCAGTAACCTAGACAACGAACGAATATGACGTCAGCACTTGGGTACTATAAAGTGGTGTAGTGTGACGTCATCAAAAATCTATTTTTAGAATTTCTCAATTTTCGCTTCATTTTCTGGAAGTCATAGAGTATAAAAAATAATCTCCAAATATCGAAAAATCAATTGAATATATTAAGTATTGGCTGAAATATGACCATCTGAATAAATAATTGTCCTATGGGAAAACAGTAGAGCACCATAACACTAAGTTCCCATAGGACTTATATTTATTCAGATGCTCTTTTGGAAAATGAAGAACAAATTGAGAAATTCTAAAAATAGATTCTTATGACGTCACAGCTTCGGTACTTTATATAGCCCTACCTATTCAGTGTCGGGTCAAGATAGCACGCACTAGCAAAGCCGATGACGCCTCCCTGGCAGGGACCACCGGCAATGGCGGTGACGTAGAGAACGTAATGAACGTCGCTCACGCCTCTCTCGGCGGGTCCTCCTGGTTCGGGCACGCAGTCGTACTCTGTCCCGTTCTCATCCCGCTTGCATGTGGAGCACGGCTATATAAATTAAAGGGTATAATTATAACAATCAAAGTAATTATAATGATAATTATAATTTTACAAATAATAATAACACAGTAATAGTGATACTACTAGTAATACTACTACTACTAATAATAATATTCATAATAATAATAATGATGATAATAATTTTAATACTACTACTACTACTACTAATAATAATAATAATAAGAATAATAATATTCATAATAACAAAAAATAATAACAATAATAACATTAATAATGATAACGATAATAATAATGAGAAGACGACGAAGAAGAAGAAGAAGAAGAAGAAGAAGAAGAAGAAGAATGAAAACAATAATAATAATAATTGTTTTTACCAAGGAAAGCGTCATTAGCTTATGTGCTGTTCTTCCTGAGGGCCCTGCAATTATTTTCACCCCTGCGATTGCACCTTGCCAAAGTACAATATAGTGCCGGGCTGAGATTCGAATTCTCAACCCCTGTATTGAGTGTCATGTGAATGAACCACTATACCACGACACCTTTCACATGAAGGTCATGAATAGTCTTTTCAACTTTTTTTTAAAGCTGCAATATCTAATGCAATCGATACAAGTTCCCGAATTAACTTGATATAATTTTGTAATATTTATTTTAATTGATAAATATATGAGGTTGCGAAAGGAAGTGAAAACTTCTGCATTTTATGGAAATAGATCTTTTCAATCATGGGAGCAATATGGGCTGCAGTAAAACAATTACGATTTACAGCATCTTGACTTTGCATCTCAGATCTAAATAGACAGGCCTATAATCCTATTCGTTAATGTTTAGAATAAAACTAAAGTTTAATTTTGTATTAATTCATTTTGACCCATACGAAAGGTTATTTTCACCGGTCAGCTTTACCTTTAGTTTTTTTTCTCAAATTTGATATTTTCAATAGAAAGCAATCAAGTCCTTTTGGTCTGGATCTGTTTAATGCTATCCCCAAAAGGGTCTGGATCTGTCTATGCCCCACGATACTAGCACATTCTGCTATAACCCCTCGGCGCGCCGGGTTCCCTTGAGCATATAAAACAGCCAGGCCTCTCTGTTTAATGCTATCCCCAAAAGGGTCTGGATCTGTCTATGCCCCATGATACTAGCACATTCTGCTATAACCCCTCGGCGCGCCGGGTTCCCTTGAGCATATATAACAGCCAGGCCTCTCAAAGCAGTCGATATCTCTATAATATGATATGATGTATTTTATATCCTAATAATAATAATAATAGTTAGTTCTTATATAGCGCTTTTCAGGACCGAATGCCCTCTCAAAGCGCTTTACAGATATATATATATATTATTACCCCGGTCATCGGATTCAGGCCAACCCGCACACTATGTATGCACATTCTCCACTCCCTGGGGAGCATTCCAGCTAGGCGTCATTTTTACAATCGCACACTTGCTAATCTAAGCACATTAGCTTTCGCATCCTACCGGGTACCCATTTAACACATGGGTGGAGAGTGGCAAATGTAGATCAATGTCTTGCCAAAAGACATTAGTGCCGCGGTGGGACTTGAACCGTGGACTTTGTGATCCACAGTCCGGTGACTCATCCACGACACCTCCTAGGCCTACCATATGCCCTAGTAGTAGTGATGACTAAGTGTAGAGGTGCTCGTATTTAAAAAACAATAATTATAGGTTACATCTGACAATTACTTAAACATTTTTGTTCATCAAAGTTTATAATTATTGTCATTTAACTTAACATTCTAAAAGCATCACAGCGATATAAGGGGCAAATTGAATAGAAGAATTTTCCAGACGTGCAAGCAAAAGGTGTCGTCTACGTTCAGCTTTTAGGAAGCTTGTTTACTCCAATTTTTTTGACATGCCCCTAAAAAGAGGGCACACTGTGGGCGTCATGTAGGCCCGTTCTCGCCCTGGGGGGGGGGGGGGGGCTGCAAGGGCTCTACGTCCACCACGGTGTTAATACAATCACTTACTTGTAGATGATGTTCGGGCAACGTAGCTGTACCACAAGTCGTCACGTAGTCGGCACATGTACAATTGACCACTGTTCCATTGTAGTTTACATACGAACCAGTCCGACACGGCCTGTTATTTGATAGAAATAGTAGAATATCTATGTTAGGAAACTATATATTTTTCAGTTTGTTTGTTGGGGTTTTTATTTTAAGAGAGATTGAGAGATAGAGGGATTACTTGAGAATGCCTCATTCAGATATGAAGCGGCAAAACCATGAAGTTGTATAAATAAACAAACAATAATATGCGGAGAAAAGTTACCTGTCGAAAATGTAGTCCTGCGATTCTTGCTTCACTTGGAGTTGTCGGGATATCAGGTCCACTGTCTCTCGGGTTAAATTCTAGATTTCACAAATGGAAAATAGATCTTGGTTGAATGTCATGTACTATCATAACTGTACAATAATCTGTTTTATAGCGCTAAATACGAAAGACCGTCTCTAGTGCTTTACAAATATGATTAATCTGTTCATCGGATCTATTCACGCACCCTCTCCACTCCATTAGGAGTATTCCTACCATAAACATATGCCCTCAAGGTGACCATATTATAGTCACCATGAGGGCATATGGCAATTACTAACATAAAGGCTTTGGTCACTCTATACCAGGTTCCGGGTCTGTCTATATAACGCGATTAGTATTTGCCTTAAAGCCCGACGCATATCGGATAGGCTAATATAAAGGATTCCATGACATTTGCTCCGGCGACAATTGCTCCGCTGTAAATTTCATACACTAATCGAATGGCTAACTTCAACCCTGGATTCAACACTATACCCTACCCTAAACCTATCCCTAAACCTAAAATAAAACCCTATTGAAACCCTAACCCTAACCCTACGTCTTAGACGAAATAAAGCCCGGAGCAATTGTCGCAGGAGCAAATGTCGTGTCACCCTAATAAGAGATAGGAGACTGCAAACTTGCGATTGGTTGAAAGTTTTGCGAAAGGTTTGGATCGATCGTAACTCTTTGTAAGAAGGGGCCCTGGTATAAAAAAAAAATATTGATAGTAAAGTTATAAATGCTTTAAAATTGACTAAACATTTCTGACAGAAATTAGATAAAGCGACCACGAGGACCGACCGCGTCTTTAGCCAGCCATCCTAGGTGCGTGTGTTACTCCGCCCATACGTCTCACGCACACGATCGGCAGGGGCACTTCCGAAACAATGGCTAAGGCCATTTAGAAAAAAAATACATGTTTAGCGTCCCCGTCCGCTTCCTTTTTGTTAAAATGGATCTATTTCTGATGTTTAAAAAAAATGATTTAAAAAAATCCGGCGGCCATCTTGAAAATTAGCCCGACTGTCAGGGAAAATGTACCGACCGGCCATTTTGAAAAGAAAAAAAACGGCCTCCCCCTTCCTAATTTTCAAAAAAGCAGGACGCTAAACATGTTTTTTTTTTTTTTTTTTTTTTGGCCTAAGCACACATACGTCAATTCAATAAGCCTATTCAAGGCCCTCACATTTTACGAACTTTCTCTCTTTTGGTGAATCTTTCATATTGGCTCATAGCTATGTAGGAAGTTATTAACGCCCATTTAGATCACAAATCGATGTAGTTTGGGTTTAATTCTCCTTTGAATATGAAACGAGAATGCGACTTATTAAAAGGTGCCTTGATTAAGACGAGAAGGTTAGAATGCGACTTATTAAAGCTCGTCAAGGTGCCTTGTTTAAGAAAGAAGGCGAGAAGGTGACTTGTTTAAGTCGCCAAGGTGCCATGTTTAAGTCGACAAGGCGAGAAGGTGACTTCAACTTAGGCAAGTGTACTAATCGCTTATGGAGACAGACATCGGTGCGGGCGTCACCCCCCCCCCCCCCTCCCCACTCAGTGTTATTTATGGTACGCGTATGCATGTTCCCTCCTTTTGAACAGTTTAATTTTCTTTTATGTACATTGTTTTGTTCGTAGAAAATCTACGAACCCCCTGTAAAGCTCTTTCACGAATATTTATGTAACACGGAACAAAATAGGCCAACGAGCGATGAGGAACTTGGAGATGATATTTGATTGGTTGAATAAAAGGGATCGATCACCAAATAAAGCTAGTCTTAAGAATCATGCGAAATACGCGCGTCACACATTATATGAATAATAATGAGTTCACTAGTGATGATAGGCGCTCGGGCTGACGCCCGCGCCGATGTCTGTCTTCATAACGCGATTAGTATTTGCCTTAAAGCCCGACGCATATCGGATAGGCTAATCTCTTATGTACATAAGTTGCGATTAATATCAACTCTTTGTAAGACGGGACCCTGTTATATATTTTTTCTCCAGTTAACCGCTGACACGTCACAACTAGGCAGGGAAACAGGCTTAGGCCGTGAAAATGGCGACTCCCTATGTGGTACACTACCTGTCGACGCGTGTCATATAGTTAATAAAACCGCCTCTGAAGGCTCGAATGAGAGAGTTTTTTTTTATCAAACATGTTTTCAATATTACTCTGTACAGAATTATGAGACTTAGAGTGGCTGAGTTTAGTTCTCTTTTAAGCTCCCGTAGAAATGCCATACAATCACTTACCATGATGGAGACGCTCATCGATGAATTCGTGACTGACTCGTCGTACACCACTTCAAACTTCATTTGTTGGTACGTGCTGCTCCGAGACCGACTGGTCGATGATCGATGAGTGGGTATCCCTGGTTTGAGCTTTGCAAAACAAAACAAGATAGTAAAGGAAAGGACAAAATAAATATATATTATTATATCCCTCATGTATAGTTGTTTGCATTGCGATTGTACAGAGCACGAAAAATGTATAGATAAGTACTATCTACCTGAGATAGTACTTATTGTAAAGTAATTTTTTGCTGCTACCCCACTTGCCCACCCTTGCCCATTGAATACGCATAGCAAAGTAGGTTACGCGAAATGTCAATGTCAAATGAGCGCGCATCGACTGTATTACATGTATGCATGTTGCGCTTTGTAAAATCTAGCTGAAGCTAAACTGTCTGCAAAATCAGTTGTTTTAATATGTAAAATTCACTTTAAATAGACCTTATTGCCGATGTGGGATATAAAACAAATATTTACCTCCTTTACTCGGGCACTGGATACAAACTATCATCGCCTTGGTGATCTCGGGGCTACCATCTTCCATCGCCTTGCGGCTCGGGAAGATAGTAGCCCCGAGATCACCTCGGCGATGGTAGTTTGCACCATTACCCTCGTAGTCGATTAATATTTGCTTAATATAAATGTCATATTCTGTGTATGCCATATTACTATATGCTGCCGCGTACGATTAGCGAACAAAAAACAACTAAAAAACATACACACAGACAAAAAAATTAGCCACTACGCATATCACTAATTTCTTGTCACTCTCACATAACGCTTCAAAGATCGTTCAGTCGCTGACGCAGTGCCTTAAAGGACGTCACATTGCCTTAAAAGATCATCAGGGCCACATTGCAAAACACGCTTTTCTTTTTTCAAATAAAATCTTTATTCTACTTTTTTAAAGCATAACACAGTATAAAAACAGATTTAAAACAGTTTAAATTCTTGCTATGTATAAGTCATATAGTTGTCTTGTTATGTTTTGTGCTGGAAGCCGGAGGACCGTACCTGCTCATATACTTTTTCTTTATAGAGTATTTAAGCCCTTCTGGCTTTCAGCACACGACACCATGTTTTTGTCTTATGTTTTACATATTACATGTTACACCAATGGAAAACAAATTTCTGTATTATATATGGACAATAAAATGTACAAAATGATGGATACACACATTGGACGAAGAAAGGTACACTGAAAAGCAAAATTCTAGTATCTAGATAAGTTGGACGTGCCTCCATCCATCAAGAATTTAAATAAACCTATGCATAGATTGTTTGTTCAACTTCATAATGATATTTCACTTTTTTTGAAAACATGGAAATGATAAGGATCCCTTAAAATCCCCACTGCACCACTTATAGCTACTTGCGCCCTCTATGTAGCAAACAATGTCCAGTGGCCGTTGGTCCTCCATGGTCCTCTTTTTCTTATGTTAATTGAGAGCTGATTTGATGAGATAACCACCTGTCAGTAACCATGTAGGGAGGTCTAAACCCTCCTAGCCAAACTAGTACATATAGGCCTGAGAACATCTATTAAAAAAATTATGATATTTTGCATACAACATAACGAAATTAAAAGAGGAACAATTTCCTCCTGGGATGCCAAAGATGAAAGTATCTCATATGTTTTCATATTCACATATTTTCCCGTAAACATACTACCAACATCAGACCGCCCTGACATGGTCCTTTTTCGCCCACATGAAAAAGAAATATTCATCTTTGAATTGACAGTTCCATTTGAGAATAACATGTCGAATAGCCATAGTTACAAGGTTACTAAGTACACACCCCTGGTTAATAACCTGAAACGCTCAGGTTATAATTGTACACTATGGTGCGTAGAAATTGGATCAAGTGGATACATTTCTGAAGAAAATAGAGCAGCATTAAAAGGAATGTTAAAACTGATAATGGTATCAAAACAAATTAAGCATGTCTGTCAGACGCTTAGCCGACTAGCCTTAGTTACATCTTACGGAATCTACAAGCTCAGAAATGAACCACAGTGGACTGATACGGGGTAAATGTCCGTCCCTGACTCCCAGGTGCTTAAATAGTCACCCCCTCCCCTGAACATGTTGAAGAACCCATCCTATTTAGAGGGTCATTGCATTTTGTATACAATTAATCATACAAGGAGGAATAACAGTGCATGTACGAAGAAGATGTACTTTCATTTCATTATTTTTCTTCAAAATATGTATAACTATAATACGACAATGCTCGAATGATGTCTACAACGATGCAATACCTGTTATGAACATATATATCATGCAATTTTACTATGAACAAATCTAGAAATGTTATATTTAAGAAACCATTTAGTATTTAAATACTCCATGTATATCATTTTACGTTCGGTGTAATTAATATTTATCCGAGTATATAGGAAAATAAGTAAGCCACAAAATGATGGTGTAAATAATCATGACCCACATTCGTAAAACAAACTAGTATTATTATCAAAATCATGGTAATAAAATACATGCCAGAGAAACTATTACATTGTCGCAAAATCAAGCATAATGCACTTATTCATGGCTACATTTCTACCATTTATACTGGTATTTAAGATCGCCAAAGATAGAATCGGATTGCCTATTACCGTTGAGGAATCTCAACTTCGTACTTCTCTTTCCATTATGTTGTTAACCATTTTCTATATATGCTTTATATGTTTCCTATGTTGTACATGTTGTACTTGTCTTGTATACCCTGCCAGTGACACGGTTGTGTATTGTATACTACATTGTGTCATGGACCTGGGTTCAAATGTTTATACTTCTTTGTTTATTACGCTGAATAAAGACGAAACATATATAAATTAAAAGAGGAACAATTTCCTCCTGGGATGCCAAAGATGAAAGTATTTTACATGTTTACTAAAGTTCTTTTATTTTTATTTGTGGATTTCCAGGTAAAATTTGATGCTGTAAACGATGGTATCGACCCCAAGTTTAATGTTTTAGGGGCCAGCATTGTTTTTGTGCATTTCAGAACAAATATTTGGGCTGAAAATGTTCGTTTGGTGACGAAAACCCACTTGGAAAAATAAATGAAATATGGTATAGGTTGACAGCCATAGAAGACCACAGGGGCCCTGAATTTGTTACAAAAAGAGCCCCCCCCCCCCCCCCCCCCAAAAAAAAAATCAGCTAATTTAGCTCTAAAACATTTTATGGGGTAATAGGAGCACATCAAATCTCTTTTTCGAAAAGAAACAGAATACAATGATACACGGTGTGTTTAAGGCTTATGTAGCCAAATGTTTCCTGGGAAATGGATTTGTGCTAATCATAATTCTCGCTCCTGCGTATAGCATTATCTGCAATTCTTAATTACGCCCGACAGTTACAAATTTTGAAAAATATAAAAGCAGTAATCATACTTATTAATTAAAACTAAGATACCAGCATTGGCAAACACCAGCTCTTGGAGAAATTCTTTCGGAAAGGCTTTGCACGTTGCAAAACACAAGTAGCTTCTTTTTCCAAGCCATGATTGTTTGCTAATGTCAGTATTTTTTAAAGAATTTCCCGTAATAAACATGTACTGAAGTCTGAAGGTATACATTTCTGATGAATGTACATCTTATGTTATTTAGGCAAAATGACATTTTCTAATTTTTGGTCTTATTAATCCATTGACTACTGATCCCCATAGACTTAACAGAGGGTCCACCAGGTTCCAGTAAGCAATGGGTTAAGAGTGAAGAGTGATTCTCGTTTTGACCAGAAGGTCATAAGACTAAGAAAACCCGGCAAATTCGATGGCAAAACTAGAGTGCCACTCACGTTGGCTTGTTTTCAGCTACAATGTGTATATGTGGTAGCTAAGGAAGAATTGCCATCTCATGCGTTGTAATTCTATACCCAGAACTTTAAACCTGTCTTTTTCTGAAAAAAAGAGGGTCGTGGTAAAACTTTTACGAGACGATAAATATTTCATTTCAGGATACGATTGTATGCTGTAGGCTGTGATTGAGTTAAGTGTATCGAGGTCTGAATACAAAGGCCCTTTTCCTCCACTGGAGAGTTGTTGATTTGAGCATCCGAGATTTGTCCTTCGGGTGAAAATTTTGAATTACTGTAGTTTACAGTGATATCAAAAAAGCATGAAATTGCCAAATATTAAAGGATTTAAACGAGACAAATGATGGGCACAAATTAACAAAACAATACATTTGTTTAAACCTCTTAAAAAATTGTTTGTAAATAGGTGTACGCCTTGTCCTGCATCCTTTCTGTGTCCTGTTCGAAAGAAAAATAATTTACTAGACCAGGGAGGCGTACTCTAATTACATCTAATAACATCTAATAATCATAGAAGTGTTCGTATTTTGGGTACCTGAAACCCAAAATGTTTCATTTTATTTTTTTACCATCATCATCATTTTATTCTGCCTCCGCTATTTCGGAGATCAGCGATCCCATGGGCCGCAAAGACATAACTAAAATGGTCCGTTACAAGAGCACAAGAGTGAAGCTAACGAGTAACATCAAGGCAATGGACTGATAGCAGTCGATCGAGATAAGTGCATTTTATATACATAGAGCAAAGTAATAGACAGTAGACTTCTATACGAAGTAGAGATTTGATGTGCTCCTATAACCCCATAAAAACAGTTTAAATAGTCCTCTTGAATGTGTAGAGTAGCTGATTCTTTTTGTCCTTTTGTAACAAATTCCGATCTCCTCTGGTCTTCGAGTCTGTGGATCTTAGCATATAGCATATTTCATTTTATTGTTCATGGTGGGTTTTCTACACCAGCAGCCAATACATTTGTTCTAAAATGCATAAAAACAATGGTATGCCCTTTAAACATCAAATGTGCACATTTCATCAAAGATCAGACCATGGCATCGTTTTCAGCATCAAATTTTATCTAGGATTCCGCTTTAACTTAAAAGTGAACAACATTTCCCTGTTGGAGCCGTCTGTGCACCTAACTAAAAGCAAGTCTTTTGTACGAAGCCTACACTGCTATAGTCATTTATAAAAAAATATATATATTCATAAAATAGTGCGTGGCAAAAATAGTCATCAGTGACTAATAAACCAGTTCACGGTTAGCACATTACTGCAATGACCCCGAATATCGGCAGATCTTCAAAACATGAAGAGGTCCCACTTTGTACATTTTGAAATAATCACTCCTACAGCAATGGTTGTTGTTGTTTTAGTCTTAAGGGCGTGTGCCATTAAATTATGAATATTTACGCCGAATTCAAGTTTTATTTATAATTTTAAATGGAAGCAGAAAAAAGGAGAAAAGAAAAATCGACGCTGTTCAATTTTTCGCATTTTGCGGAGATTCCAGACAGGCTGTCTACATAAAATCATTTGACCGTTTTGTGCGTATTTTCTGGAGGTGCTATATCAATAGTCTTTGTTTCCCCTTTGCAAAGAATACTTCCACCTGTGTATCATGGAGTGCACTGAATGTGCATGAATGAATAATGTTACATAACTTTCATGAGCACGTATCCATTATTTCGTCTCCTTGTATTTCTAAATTTGTTCTGCAATGACCTTTATCTGCTCATGCTCAGACTGCAACCGTAAACTGGCTTATAATTTGGCAAACAATATCAAATCAAGAAAGAAGAAAGAAGAAACATAATGGTGTAGGGGTTTATTTTGAACTCTTAAACTCCCCTTCATATCCATGATTCATCCATTACATACTAGTGATAGATCATCCCTCATTCGCATTCACCCTTCTCATCCACTATCCTTTCATCTATCTATCTCTCTCTCTCTCTCTCTGTGATTGGTTTCAATGTTCACCTGATGCAGTCAAGCTTAAAGTATAATTTACATATCTATCAATATTTAATATATACCCTTTGTTTATGTACTTTGTGATGTTGATTTATACTTGTATGTGACTTAATGAATATTAATTTGTTTCTTCTACTTTGCATGAAATGTATGTGGAATGCTACACAGAATGCAGTAATGCTTTTATACATTAAAACCTGGTCAGTTAGCCAGTAGTTACCAATATTACAACATGTCTGCTGGGCTGCCTCTGTGTACTTTAGAGTTTTAGGAATGTTTTAGAACCGCAACCCTACAATAGCGTAAGACATTACATAGAGTCAAAGAGTGGGTTTATAGCCTTACCATTTTTAGCTCAACTTTTGGAACAACGCATCTCGACGCATCGCCGTCCATAGGCATTGGTTCACTGAGACCAGGGAACTCCATGCTGAGACCAAAGTCAAAAACGAACGCCAAACACAACAAGGTGATCACACGCCCCTCCATGATTATGTTTAAAAGGACAATGTGTAGAAAGACACATCACCAGAATTATTCCATGTTGTAAGACTGCTGCAGAAGCTTGTTTTTAAAATGGCATTCCGTCCTTCTAAATCGGCCTAATCCGTCAATCGTGTCCTTATTGTGAAGGAAAGGTTATCAGGCTTTATTTTTTGCACGCCGTAATGATTGTAATCAGGGGCGTACGCAGGATTTTTTCAAGGGGGGGGGGGGGGGGGGTTTTAAAATATTTTGCTCCCGAAAATTTGAAAATCGCGCCGGCCGAAAAGTCGCTCAGTGGGGGGGGGGGGGGGGGGGGGGGGGGGGGGGGGGGGGGGGGGGGGGGGGGGGGGGGGGGGGGGGGGGGGGGGGGGGGGGGGGGAAGCGGACATTTTTTTTTTTTTTTGGTGTCTCGAAATTTTAAAATTTGACATTTTCTTCGTTGGGGGGGGGGGTAAGGTCACCTTATTTAGGTTTGCCGTGGGTATAATTTTTTTTTTTTTTTTTTTTTTAATTTAAAAAAAAAAAAAAAAAAAAAAAAAAAAAAAGGGGAAGGGGGGGGGGGGGGGGGGGAGGGGGTTTAAGTTTTTTTAGGGGGGTTTACATACATAAAAATACCAAAGGGGGGGTTTGAACCCCAAAACCCCCCCCCCCCCCCCCCCCCCCCCCCCCCCCCCCCTGCGTACGCCCCTGATTGTAATAAAAGGCTAAGTACTGGTTATAAGGCTTATAAATCGATTCTATTTGTCCTACAAAAACTGTAAAGGTCCTTGAAAAAAACTGGGAACAATATTGTTACTCAAATGGTAGTCACATGTTAACTCAACCGTACATTATTCGTTTAAGTCCTATGGGGTATCAAATGATACACACTCTTCTGTCCGACTTTCTATATGTATGGCTTTATACCGTTCATGTGATTAAACTGCAACAGAAACTACGTAGAAGTTATTAACTCTCGTAGACTCTCATCTACCGAAAAGAAAATGTATGTGGCTGCTCTGAAAAACGGGGAATAATCTCCCAATCGATACAGGAAACTTTCATTGGTTGGGGGAAATTGTAACATGTAGTTTAAGCTTCTCGTAGGCTAGCTTTCGTCCACTCTTATATGGACCTTCACAAGCCAAGTGGTTATTCAATGGAGCGAAGATAGGTGACAATGAAAAGCCAGAGTCCCTATTCAGTGAAGAATGTATTCTTTTATCCAGATGGATTCTTTCAGCTTTCTTGATCTGGACCCTGTTTCATAAAACTTGATATCAATAACAAGTTACAAGCTACTGTTATAAGCTACTGTTATCATGGCATCTGATTGGCTGAGAGCAAACTTGATATCAATAACAAGTTACAAGCTACTGTTATAAGCTACTGTTATCATGGCATCTGATTGGCTGAGAGCAAATTTGTCATAGAAATTTAGGATTTGTTATAGATAACAAGTTTTATGAAACAGGCCCAGAACCAATGTTGTGTTCAGTATCAAGGGCGTGTTCTTTCTTTCGATCGAACTTTCAAGTTTCAGTGTTCTTCCTGTTTCTCCAACAGAGGAATAATAAATTGACCAAATCAGCCTGTGTGTTTTATCCTGTATAGATTTATCTAAAAGGCCCACTGCACTACTTGTAGCTACTTGCGCCCTCTCTATATTAAACAATGCCTAACCGGTGACCATTGGTTCCCCCATGACCCTCTTTTTCTTATGTTAACTGAGAGCTGAGTTGATGAGATAGCCGCCTGTCCAGTGACCTTGCAGGGCAGTTTAATCCCTCCTATAAACTAGTACTGATAAGCTTTAAAGTTAATACAGTGTTTTGGTATGGGGTCATGAATTTGGTTCAGATGAACATATTGGAAGCATATTCGATTTACAATATTCAATGATCATTGTTATGTTGTATAGCTCCCTCTCAAGACTGATATTACTTTAGCTTCAGAGCAATGTTTCCTGACTAAAATCGACCGATTTGCTATTCCCGTTTGGAAATTATATATCAAAACTGCATATTCGGAAATTTCCATGGTCGCAGCTATCGTGAAACGGTCTTAATTAAGTGCTTTTTGAAATATATTAATTACCCGGAACACCGGTACATTTTGATCATTCAATTTCCTGGAAGCAGAACAGTTTTAGGGGCTAAATTTGGTAGTGCTTATAATATATCCGCAGGGGCATCCAAATAGTTTTTTAATTTTTAAAGAATTACTATCCATCCAATTTTCAAAATTTCCCAAAACCTTGCATTACCTTTAAGGGATGAACACGCCTGCTCCTTTGGGTATGTGTGCTTCTGAAGGCAACACGAATGCCGTTATTGTTATTTGAAGGCACGTTTCAGACGCGATGATATTAGGGACTTTTAGATACGTGTGACGTCCATTCAAGGCAGTGCATTAAAAGGACGTCGATCGTGGCAATCCCCATTGTCTTCGTGCGAATCTAAAAGTCCCTACTGTATCGACAAAGGGCAAGAATACTCGATTATTATTTCCCTTTGGGGTCTTGGATCTTATTCCGTACTTTACTCTTTGTCTAGTCCATGTTGGATGATATCAGCACCTTGTCAATGTGAGTTCTGTTTGTAGTGCACCATTGTCTGATGTCACGTTGTATGCTCTCAGGTAGAGTGAGCTGGTAACTCCTACTGTTGTGCTGAGGGGGTGGGTGATCTGATTCAAAGTTCAAATATAATCGGTGTGTGGAGGGCGTCCTGTACACAGAGATGGATACTGAAAGGTCATCCTTCACATTGACCTTTGTGTCGAGAAAGTTCAGTAACCTCTCTGCCTCTTCCTCAACAGTAAACTTTATGCACTGATCGATGCTATTGATGTAATTTCTAATCCATCAATGTGATCCTTATCAATGATGACAAAAGTGTCATCAACGTATCTCCACCATACTCTAGGGGGTGGGGAGTATGATAAAATAGCTCTTCCTCCATATGTTCTAGGTAAATGTCACATACAACTGGTGAGATGGGTGAACCCATAGGAGTTCCATGAGTTTGTTGATAGAGAACATCTTCTTTTTTAAATAACTTTTTGGACCCTCCGACAGGCCATTTTATTGAAAATAAATCTCTGAATAACATATTTGAATACATGTACAAATGAATATCATATAAACCTTCAAAATATTAAAGAAATATATCATGAATAAAATAAACGATGACTGAAAGCGAAAACATATTGATAATAATAATATGATTATGGTAATACTATACATACAGAACATGTTAATAGAAATATGTTATAGAGAACATCATAGTAGGAGAAATATTTCTCTTCAAATCTTATGAGATGGCCGCTTTCATTTGGGCTCAAGGCTGTCTTGTCTTCGAGGGTTCTTTCTTCCTTCAAAATTTCTATAACAATGTAGCTTTATTGCCGTTGGGTCGACAACCAGTTCGTTTATTTTCTAATTGGTCTATTGTTCACCCAGTCCAACTCCAAGCTTGTCCAACGCTCATTTTGTCTACCGTTCATAATGTTACTAATAACCATTTAGATGATTATTATTATTAATGATTAAATGCTATTTATACTGTTTTCACACTGGCACAAAGTTGCTTAACCCCGTACAATAGGTGGGATTAAGGGGGGGCCTTACCCCACCTACAGTCCGGGGTGCGTTATGTTTTTTCGGCGGCACAGATTGGGTTTAGGTGCATTTTGAGCCTATGGGAAAAATTAGGGTTAAGGTTACGGTTAGGGTTAGGGTTAAATCAAGACCTTTTTTTAAAAAAAGCTCCAATCTGTGCCGCAGAAAAAAATGACGCGTCCCGTGTTAAGCTTATTCCACTTTCTGTTCAGACACGTATTTAGCAAAGTGGGCTAGCCCCACCTATAGACCATATGGATATAGTCGACAAATGGGCACTAGACAAACCAGGAACTATACCAAACGAACAATAGACCGAATGAATATTAACCTAAATGGTCATTAGACCACATGAAATGTATACGAAATGATTATGAGACCATGTGGATTTTATGTGTTTGTGTGCCTCAAATGAGGCGTTTATTTACACTCAAGCATCAAAATAAAGTTGTGAGAACAAATATATCTGAAGTACAGTGTTATCATTACAAATCACATATTTTTCTCGAATGTACAATGTTTTGTTACTTTTCATTTAAAGTACTTTTAACAGTTAGTCTGGCAATCTTTCATCTGTTTTTGTTTAGATTCTGATTTACAACAATTGCGTTTTTTTTAATTTCTCTTTCAAATACGTATTGTAGTTAGAAACGTTTTTTATTAAAACCATACTTATTCCGGCAGACTAACATTTTGTATATACACCAAAATGCAATCGTTATTACAAGGTCTATCTCTCTGTCAATAGTAACTGTGAACGAACATGAGGTACGTTGAATAAACACAAACAAATTCTGCGTAGCTAGACTTTCAGAACAATTCTTTCGTTTATTGCTCCATTAGCTTCATGAACTCCTTTAGCTCCCTTTCGATTAGCTTCTTAGTTACAGTAGCTCTGTAGCTCCGTAAAAACTGTATGAACAAAATGTATATTGAAGCATCATCAATACATGTGCATAATAATTTATGGCAAACAACCATACCATACATGTAACGTACTGTCAGATATCAAAGTTACAATGTCGTGTAATCTTCACTGGACAAACATCCAAATTAAAGTACTTAATTTCCACATTTAACATACAATGTAACATACAATGTAGAATTGGTATGACTGACTAACCGCTTAGCCTCTTTTAACTGCTTAAATGATAACCCAAGTTTCCAGGATGCTCCGGATTTTTTTTCTAACAAGAGCCTCTCAGTGCATGGAATATTTGTTTACTAACCTCAACGAGTAAACAGTTTGTTTAACTCATTATTTTATGTCAACAACTCTCTTGAGATGGACACAAGCTATATGCCAATAAACTTTCCCAACAATAATCTGAAGTAAACAAGAGATATCCATGCCAAAATTAATATTAAAAGTGTACTCCACAACATGTTTGATATAACACATTTAATAAACACATGTACTTTGTCCTCTATGGCGTGGCACTGGGGGCAGTATCTGTCGTCTTCTAATCCCCATTTGGAAAGATTGTTTGTTACAGGTAGTATATTGAACAGCAATTTAAAATTCAACTCTCATAAGGGATGTTTCCTTGTATACGTTAAATTGCTTTTGAACAGGGAAGACTAGTATCTTTGTAGAATATTTTCCCAAAAAAGAAAAAGAACCTGTTAGTGAGTGTCTGTTAAAAAAATATAAGACTGAAGAAACGTTTTCTCCTTACGTCACTGATATGTAAAGACACTCTTCCAAATTTGAAATAAGGAATTTCAAGAGAGTGAATATGATTAACTAGTCCAGTTTCTTTATTTGTTAAGTCACTGTATATTTGGAATAGCTTGATTTAGTATAATCAAGACAGACTTTGCTTGTTTTTCCTTGTTTCAAGGCGTACTGACAGGTCTTTCAGTCAAAAAATGCCATGGACCTTTACTGTCACCCAATAATCTACCAAGCCATCTTAAACGAAAACTTAGTAATCTGTTCTCAGTGTTAATCATATGTAATCCTGCTTGGCTATAATCTTGAGTAGGGATAAACCCTTTTACCTTGTCGATTTTGGAATTCCAAATAAAATGGAATACTAATTTATTAAATTTATTCAGACTGGTGGAATCGTGTCTACTATGAACTATTTGACCTTATGCAAGTGATTTAACAGCTGTGATTCTTCCGAATAATATGAGGTTTCTGCTTTTCCAGTTGTTCAAGAGTTTGTGTAGTTTGGTCAATTATTTTCCCAACTCAATTTTGTAGCATAGTATAAGTCTGCAGATATGACATATATAAGTACTATACAGGTTCTTTTAACCAACTGAGATCAAGGTCAGAGAGAGACCACCTTTTTCATGTAATCTCTAATCCAGAAAGGAACAGTATTATTTTTATATAATGTCGGGCCTGCGACATTTCCAAATAAGTCTAATTCATCTATTACATTCTCTAGATATGTTTTTATTTTTAACAAAAGAATAAGGTGTCGTCAGCATATTTTTAAAAGTTTAAGTGTAGAGTTGCAACTTTTTAAATCAAATTTCTGAATGGTATTAGTTTTCCTATTAGATATGAATTCAGCTGCTGAAATTAACAGTAATGGTGAGCGGGGCATCCTTGTTGTATCCTCTCTTGATTGGGAACGTTTCTGATAACCATCCAATTACAATGACTGAACTTGAAATGTTAGTGTTAAGAACCTCGACCAATTTCGAAAACACGGACCGAAGTTCAATTTTGTTGAACAGTGCTTGTGCATAAATGAATAGAGATTACATAACGTTCATGAGCACGTATCCAGTATTGTGTCTCTGTGTATTTCACAATTTGTTCTGCAATGACCTTTATCTGCTCACTGGGATGAAGAAAGGTATAACAATGAATGTCATGAGTCCCTATTCAGTGAAGGATTAATCATTTTATCCAGAAGGATTTTTGACCAGGACGTGCGTTTCAAACTCAATAACAGCCGTGTTCACACGATGGTAATTTTGGTAGGCGTAAAGTCGTGTTGAGAGCTAGTCGACGTGAATTGGAGTTGTTGTTGGAAGCTTAAACTACATAAACCCACACTCTCTCCAATTTTATACAACAACATGTTGTTTTGGGAACCACTTCTAGGTTTACAGATGGCGTGAAGGGAAAGAGCCTCTGCCGGGAGTCTAGGGGTAGAGCCCTAGGTAGTTCTTGAATTTCTTTTAGATATAGAAAATTATAAATAGTCGTCACGAGCGATAGGTTTTGTAATGTCCTCCTTGAAAGTCACATAGCCCCTTTCATTTAGTTTTAGAACTAACCTCTCTTTCTCTCTTCAAGATAATTTTAACGAACTTTTTTTTCTCGTATTGTTGTACTTCAATAGGCACATGTTGAGCCGACTCATCAGAAATGTAAGTTGTAAGTGTAAATTTAAGTTTCATATTCTTCCTTGTATAATATCTTTCTTTGATTATCTCTCTTAGATAAACATAAATACAAACATATAAAACGCAAAATACATGGCAATTAAAGCATAAATGTACTTCAGAGGTATGACAAATTCAGATGAAACTTTGTAAATGTAAAATAACATAAATTGGCTATAGTTATTGCGATATCATTATAGATTGGTGTTGCCGTAGGCGGTTATCAAATATTTGTAATGTGGGTGATGTTTGAACATGCATTGGTAGTGAATTGAAAAGTTTGCTTGCAGTATATGAGAAGGAGCCTTTCTTATATTCAGCTCTTGGTTTCGGTAGGTATAATTGGCAAATAATAGGGACTTTTAGATTCGCACGAAGACAATGTGGATTGCTACGATCAACGTCCTTGTAATGCACTTGCCTTGAATGGACGCCACACGTATCAGTCCACGCAAATCTAAAAGTCCCTAATGGTTTATCGAGTACGATAGGTTGTGCAGTAACCTGTACACCATAACAAAATAATGAAAATGTTTTTCTTTGTTCAATTGGCTGCCATTTAAAGGAGAATGAAAGTCATTTGAAAAATATAATCAGTCATTTGGAAACACTAAGAAAATCTCAAATCTTGTTCATCATTTTGTTGATAAATCAAATTATGAAAAGTAATTTCATTACGATCCTACCGGTATCTGGCTGCCGCCATTTCTTGTCAGCATTCAAAATCGAGCGTATTTGCCCGGGGGTCTAGGGCGTGTTTATGCTTCACTTTTTCAGGCCAGAATCAGGCATCTGTTGCGCGTTTAGTTTAAAACACGGTTGCGTCCATGCTCACTTTTGTAGAATCACCGAAAAACGGCGATCACGATCGCCGATCGTAAACTCACAAAAAGATGCGTTTACAATTTGTAAACGCGTTTAAATGGGGTCAACGCACTGACCTCTAGTGGGTCTACGTAGCATGCATAGTGAAGGTTTGCGAATCCAGCTGGAAGACCAATTAAGGCCACACAGGGAAAATTGCCTGGAGGAGCCTGAGAAGTGAGCATAAACAGTACACAGTGGAACTGCGATTACGATGAGCGTTTACGATGAGCGTTACAAATCGCTCATTCTGCCTTCAAAAGTGAAGCATAAACACGCCCTCAGTCATGTAAGCACGCGTGATACTGTAAGCATGCGTGACCACAGGTTTTCCAGACACCCCCTAAACGAGGATTTCTTCTGAAGCCAAAATACACCCTAAATTAGGATTTCTTCTGAAGCCAAAATACACCCTAAATTAGGATTTCGCGTGTTTTTCCCCGAATTCACACCTTAAACGGGTATTTCAGAAAATGTGTATTCCTAAACAAGTATTGTTAAATTACTATTTATGTTGTTGACAATGTAAAATAAATCAGATTGTGCTTCTGATGTAAAATTCGCAATAATAATAATAATAATAATATGTCTTGTTTACCCAGGGTAGCCTCATCAGTATTCATACTGTTCTCCCTGAGGGCTCTGCAATCATAATTACCCCGGTCAAAAATTTATGTAAATAGAGAAGCAATAATATCAACTTATGCACTTCCAAAAGAGTTTAATGCACAGCCATCATAAGTCCTTTCTTTGAAATAAATTACATTTCGATTTTGATCTATTTTATATAAAGTACATGTAGCCATGGAGTGTTTACAAAAAGTACACATGAACAATGAAAAGTTACTATTCTACTATGCATAATAATATAATAAGACTCCCGAATTCGCAAAGGAGGTTTATGTGCGTAATATGACGGGTTTTGACGCGTTTTTACAAACTACACTGTCGCTCATATAGTTGGAATATTTTTGTTTTACCCCAATTTATGGAATTATTTTTACATTGATTTATTCATAATAGAATAAAACCGGGGTAAAATGCAATGAATTATTGATAATTTATTGCATTTTCTTTGTATTTTTTTTATTTGAGGGAACTGCCTTTACCCTAGCCCCCGCTGCGTACAGGCATGGTTCAGTGGCAAAGCAATGGCCTCGTAACTGTGAGGCCCCAGGACCAAAACCGTGTCGATGTGCCATATTATAGTGCCGTTTTGTGGGGGCATTAATCCCTATTATTGTCATTTATGACTTAAGGGCGTAGGTCCCCTAGTTGAAAAGCATAGTAGCATACACATGCTTTAGCAGTCACGCAAAACAAACACTGGCAAATTATTATTCAATAAATTCTGAGAATGTATATTACCTAGATCTATTAGGAATAAATCATTTTCAAAATAATTTCATAAATTGGGGTTTAAAAAAATATTCCAACTATATGAGCGACAGTGTAGGTTTGTAAAAACGCGTTGCCACGCGTCATATTTTGCCCAGTGGTATTGGTAAATGTAAGTACCCTACTTCATACGTGCATAATTGTTTCGTATTTTGACAAAAATTTGGGCAAAGACATGACCCTTCAACTGCCCTACTATACAGTAGCCTACTTTTGGGAAATCTTGACCAGCTGTTGGGCAAAATGCGAAACAATTATGCATGTGTGAAGAAGGGTAGGGAGATCAGGGTCTGCTTGCAGTTCAGCGTCTGGTATCTCTTCGAAAGACACCATATAGAATAGAAAACAAAGGATGGATAAGTGAGAGCATTATTGCGAATACAAAAGAGCAATACAAAAGTTTCATTAGAGGTCGCGCAAGACAGACAGCGCAAATCGATTTTTCGTGCGTTTCCGAAGCTCGAGGATACTCTATTTAATTGTATTGACTTCGAAGCTTGAGGATCCTTGAGTGTGCACATACATCATACGTATATGCACTCATGTGTGAAAGAAATTTAATGTGATACATGTACATATCACATTTGATGGACAACCGATGCGAGATACAAGATTGATTCTAGTTTTATCCACTTTGTCATTCGTTATAGATGGAGATTCGTTATTCTTATCAGACTACTGAATGAAAGTACTCAATTAAATCTTCGCCATGTCATCAAACTTCATTCCAGGGTGTATATTCATCATCTATCTGCTCATCGCCTTGCCCTGTTTCATACTCACGCAGAAATGCCACCATAAACCTCTTCAAATCACCCCGGTGAGTATCTGATCTTATTGACTGATTGATTGATGGATTACTTTGTTCAGCACAATGGCTTTGCGAAAATTAACAATTTCCAGTCTTGATTAGCTCCATGACAACCCTTTTAACACTGTTAATAGATTCATCTTGTACTGGAAACAATATAATAATGTTGAAGCCTTTGGTATATCTTTCACATGATTAATAGAATTTGGCACAGGTTTTTTTTTTTTTTTTTTTTTTCTTCTTCTGATATTTATACAGGGTAGCACATATCACCAATTTGGTGGTCTTCCAAGAGGCCCTGTTTGGTGAGAATAAGACAAATAACAGCATCAAAAACAAAATAGATAAATACACAAGCATATAAACAGGTAAAATACAAATTAATTGGTATCCCCATGAAATAACTGATCATTCAAGAATCATCCTTGATCATTTACAAGAAATAGGTGAATGGAATTTTCAAATTAAATTTTATTTATTTTTTATTTTTTTTTATTTTTTTTGTAAATGAAAAAAAGAAGAAAAAAGAAGATAACCGCGTATTCAGATGAAAGGGGAAAAACGATTGACAACATTCATTTAATAATCTGATATAGCTTAACGCACGGGATACCAATATTGTTATATACATATTTACATCCAATTGCTCTTTAACTAATACACTTAGGTTGTTTACAAGATAGCTGAAAATGGATGAATATATGATACATTGATAACCATGTCAACCAAATTTCATAATTTTGCATAATAGGAAAAAATGGTTTAATAGCTTCGCATGAAACCCCAAAAAGTTCACTTACACGTCATCTACAGATAACGTCTGTAGATGGGCGCGGCAAAGCCCAGAACGAGAAAAGATGACCGAATATATAGTTTTACATTTTATATAATGAACATGTACTATTTCGTTGCCTAAATAACAAACTTTGCCAAATTAAAAGTGCATTTTTTCGCTCGCTCTCATTCAATATTTTGGTATTCAAGAAATGACGGAATTTTTCATGGAGCAAATGTCGTCGAAGTGTGAGTCGTAGAACCCCGACCACATCCCCTCTTGAATACTTGAAAAAGTTTCTTTTGAAACACTAATAAGTGTTTTTTTTTCTTTAAAAATTCAATATAAATAGGCTGCGTTCTACCCTTTTATTAAAATGTACTTGCTTGACATTTTATGAACTTAGGATGCGGCACCCTCTAGCTCTCTCTCTCTCTCTCTCTCTCTCTCTCCCTCTCTTTCTTTCTCTCTCTTACCCCTCCTCCTTCCCGTTCTTTCATATTTTCTCCTTCTCCTTCGTCCTTGTCTATTCTATTCTCTTCCATTTCCCTCTATGTCCTAAACTCGTTTTGCCCCCTGTTATCATTCTTAAGTACAAGTTGTAGGTGGGGAGAAGAGAAAAAATTGCATATTATGCGTCCAAACATTTAAGGCAGCGGTTCCCAATTGCAAACATAGACACATTCCGCCAGGCAACTCCTGCAGACCCTCTCGAGCGAGAACGCCCCAGCAAAATCCCAAACCAAACAGGGTTTGAATGAATCCAGGTATGTCACGAGCTGCAGCAGAAGCAGTTTATATTCATCGATTTAATTCCTTGTCTGGGTTTCACCATCTTAACACAGGAATGTAAATCATCATACAAAGCTCAGAGTAGCGAGGCTCAGCTACCAAAGGGGCACTGAATCACTGGCGTATACTGGTATAGGGGCTTGGGGTTGCACCCCTGCGCCGGCCGGCCTCCCGCCCTTCCCCCAACAAAGTTCCACGATCAAAAAGGGAAAAGTACAGAAGGGAAAGAGGGGGGGGGGGGAGAGACAAAGAGAGGGAAAAAATAAATAAAAAAGAATGAAGAGGAGAAGAGAAAAAAAAGAGCAATTTCTAAGCTTTTTCAATCCCTGTCGCTTACGTTAGTAATACATGTACATTTTCATTGGTTCCGGCCACCAAGGTAGGTTTCGGGGACCCATTTAATATAGCTTAAAAATCCGATCATATACAGATCGCATGTTTCGTCTTTTATTGGTCTATCTATATCTATAATTCTAAAAATGTATGAGTTCTATGATTATGTATAGATTTATCGAAGAAAGATGCATTCTTTATAATTACAGGTGTAAATCTTTTAAAAGAACTAAATTGCCTAATTGTTTAAATATCTCCCCCTCCCATTTTCTGCGAATGCAAGAAATGTTTGTTTTTCACGATATAAAGGGAAATCTCCTTCCAAGGTAATCTAACTTGGTCTGTTGATTTGATTAGAACTCACGGATCATTATCTAACAACATGAACCATGTAAATCAAGTAATGTATTACTAACAACGATGTGATTACAACGTTTCGTTTAAAAGAAATAATTTCGATTGATGGTCGTCATGTTTAATAAGGAGCCTACTGAAAGCAGATTTGTTTGGTTATCTACAGATTCCCGTTTGAAAAGAAGAACCAGAGTAAAACATAAGGAAGATTTAATAAAATGAATGCGTGTGAAAGAGAGAGAATGAGAGAGAGAGAGAGAGAGAGAGAGGGGAGAGAGAGGGAGGGGAGAAAGATAGAGAGCGACACAAAAAGTGAGAGTAGAAAAAAAGCAAAGAAGTAAAGTAAATATCTATTTAAAAAAACAAGTTAAGAATGTAGAGAAGTAAAACAAAGTAAAGTCTGCGAACCATGCATTGTTATGAACATTGAAATATGTTATGAGAAAACATATTTTATTAACATGGAATGATTATGACTTGTACCAGGACGTACATCATTTTCTTGATAATTATTATTTTTATTTTATGCACTTTTTTTGTCTTCTTCTAGAACAACCGAATCCATGTGGATAGGACTAAAACACAGTCTCGAATTCTCAGTCAAGATAAGAGAATGAAATTTCACATTGAGTATCACTCGTCGGTTATGGAACGCCCACAAGCACGAGAAATTCAGGTAATTTAATGGCTTCGATTAAAACTGCTCCATAATTGAATTAATGCACATGTTCTGAAACCATTTAATGGAGTATTCAAAATGTTAACATCGTTTAACATTTGTTAGATGATTTTGTTGATTCGTTTGTTTTGCAATGTAAAAGAAAGAACATCCCTTAAAGGCTTATCATTTTCTTACGTTTGAAGAAAATGATAAGCGTTTAGGCAAAAATAAGAATTAAGATTTTAGATGAAGATTATGTGCTCCTTATTCCCTGATTATATGGGCCCTTACAATCAAAATCAAATTAAGGTATATATATTTAACAATATGGACACTACCCATATGATCCTCCTTCGGATAAAAAGTTTTTTTTCTTCTTCTTCTTGTTCTTTCAATTATTAGTTATTAGATGTAAAGTAGTAGTAGTAGTAGTTGTCGTAGTAGTAGTAGTAGTAGTATCATCATTATTGTTTTCATCATCATCATTATTATCTATTTATCAAATTTACAACATGGCAGAAAGGTGTCGCGGATACAAGAAAGTTTTCTCCGTGAATGGATCACAAAAACTTTGAACGATGTTTGTCCCCTTCTCTGAGAAAACATTTCGCCAGGATTCATTTGACGGTATTACACTTTAAAAAAAGATACCCAATATTGGGTACAATTTTACATTTTACGAGGGTAAAAAGGGAACATGCATGTTTGTTGGGTAAAATTTGACACAGGGGTGGTTGGGTAAAAATTTACCCAGCAAATGTTTAATGTTTTACCCAACTGATGTGCAATATATTTGACCCAACGTAAAAGGTAAAATGTTACCCAACGACAACCATGTTCCCTTTTTGACACAACATTGGGTAATTTTCACCCAACTCATCCTGGGTACTCGTTTACTTTGTTCTTGTGTAATTTTTTACCCAAAAGTCGGGTTAAATTTTAACCCAACCTTATTGTATGATTTTTTATTTTTACACAGATTTGGGTATAAAAGAAAATTTGTCCGAGGAGTTGGCTGGAAAAGTACATGCTATATATAGTGTAGTGTATAAGTAGCAGACCTCTCTCTCTCTCTCGTGGCTAGACAGTCTTTCTCCTTGGGTGTGTAAAGTAGCATTGTTATGCAAGGTAGCCATCTAGGCTGTTATGCAAGGGTAGCGATCTAGGCCAGTTGAATATTTTGAACTCAAATGAGATTAAAGGAGACAATTGTAAATCAGACGAACCCCAGTGATTATAGGAGAAATGAGGCCAGATAATGTCACAATGAGCTCAACGAAATCATGAACAATAGGGAACTCCAGGGTTATAGGCTGTTACGTTTCAAACCGCTATTCAGGTCGGGGCCGTTATATTCAAAGCTGGAAAGGCAACCGGTTAAGCCGCTTTATTAATGGTCGAATCGATATTAGTCCCCATTCACACCTAAATGTATGTGTATGATGTACAGTGAGAGGGAGAGGGGATGTATTTCAGCGGCGTGAGGTGTCACGCCCCCCCCCCCTCTGCCCTGTGATTATGATGATACACTATTAATAGTGGCGTAACGTTGATCCAGCCAGGGGGGGGGGGGGGGGGGGGGGGGGGGGGGGGGGCTAACTAGGCGTTGTGTAATCCAGCTAACAGTGAAAGTTACAAAATGATTCAGCCGAGGACGCAGGTTCGAAAGTGAGTCACGTCTTTCGGATGGTGACGTTTAAAGGTCGGTCCCTGATTGACACACGTCTGTAAAAACACAATACACACACGGGAGGGGGGCTGTCATCACAAGGGGGGTGCACCGGGCTTACTCCAGACTATGAATGAAATGAGCCGCAGTGTCTTCTTTTCAGGTTATCTTCCGTCTATCTCCTTATGTCTGTCTTAACTGTTTCTTTTCTCCTCATTTTCTTCTCTTCCCCTTTTTCCCTCTAGACAGTACCATGTCTACATGTTCTTCAGAGCAAATTTGAGTATTCATAGCGAGGTTTCTTTTAAAGGTACTATGTCCCATTTGCAGGCCAAAAAAATGAAAAAGTTAAATTCCAACTGCATTTGAAAGATAATACTAATTTAGAACTTCCCTAAAAAAGGTGGGGCTTGAAAATGTCTTCAAGTGGGAAAATAACGACTATTAGTTGTCAAATCGACTTTAGGGCTATAGAGCCCAAAAGTAATAGTCTTGATTTTCAGACAATTGTACCGAATGATCATACGTTTTATGCTGGGCAAAGATTCAATCAGTTTAATCTTGGCCATCACAAGAAGTGGGTTATTGACGTAGACAAATGCTCATGTACCCTTTACAACTCTTTTCATGTATGTTATTACCAAATAAGAAAAAAAGCCAGTCAGTCACTCAATAGTGTCTGACAGTGACGTCTAGCAAGTAAAAGGGTTTCCTTGCATAATTTGAATATTAGGACACTGCTAACGTTTAAATTTCACAGATAGGACATACATGACATATTCATAATTCCTGCAAAGTTCTACAGAATTTGAGGTTGGCTGCAAAAGGGACATAGTACCTTTAAGCTAACCATATATATATATATATATGTAAACAAAATAGCGGAGCTCCTTGAAAACCCGGATCCTGAAAATCGCAAACATGGATTATGTACACATCCCTGGGGCCAGTCCAGTGGCGGATCCAGGGGTGGGCCGAAACGGCCGCGGCCCCCCCCCCCCCCCCCCCTATTGGCGGCGCAAAAAAAAATGAGAAGGAAAAAAGAGGGGGAAAAAATGGGGGAAAAAAGAAGAAGATAAAAGAAAAGAGAACAAAAAAGTAAAGAAAAGAGAAAGAGTTCAAAAAAGAGGAAAGAAAAAGAAGAGAGGAGCCGGGGAGAAAGAAAGACAACGAAATGGCACTAAAAATTAGTGACAGTAACGACGAATAAGGGAAAGACAAGGGGAAGGGGGGTGCGTGAAGGCGGATGCATTGAGGGGAGGGGGGAGGGGTGACTGGCCGTATTCTTATTTTTAGGTTATGCGAAACTGAGTCGAAATTATGCTTCTTTTCAAAAAAATCTTAGCATGCTTGTTTATGTTAAGCCGGAGTGCATGAAAAGGTTAGTGTAGAAACACTTCTGAAAAGGCCGCGCCCGGCCCTTCCAAAGAACGGCAGAATGGTAATCTATAAATTATGGGGTCATTCTTGATGGCTCGGGAGTCGTTAAAAGGAGGGGGCCGGCCCTACTAACATGGTAGTGACGGTAACGATGGATAAGGGAATAAGGAGGAAGGGATGCACATGCAGGCGCGTACGCAGGGGGGGGGGGGGGGTGTCGAACCCCCCTCAAATTTTTGTCAAGTTGTCAAGTTGGTCCTGATGTGTATAATGCGTAGACCAGGGGTTCTCAAACTTTTTCTTTGACGGTCCAGAAGCGATTTCTATGAAAGCTGTAAGGTCCGAAATAACACTTGTATACTGAAGATAATGAGGCTTGTTTTTGGTCTATATCTGATCCAAGGAGAATTGTTACAGTTTTAAAAAAACAGAACCGCCAGTGCTTCCACTCGTTTAAATAGAGTTTCCTGAAAAATAACATCCAATATCCTGGAATTTGAAGGAATGTTCTTAAAATTTTCAAAATGCCTCTTACGTGGATTTCTTATTTTGATGAATCGCTATGGCGTTTTAATATATATTAATTATTGAGTGGGCTTATTTTACTTTCTAATGGATCCATACAACATGGCAGAGCTTGAGGGGCCTGGCAGAGCCTTTTCAAGAGAGAAATTGTCTTTAGGAGAAAAAAAGAGGTTATTTCTAAAATGAAATGAAAGGGTTATTGACTTTCAAGAGAGAAAATTGTCTATAAGAGAGGAAGAGAGGTTATTTCTAAAATGAAATGAAAGGGCTCTTGTCAAATAGCCCTTTCATTTCATTTTTTCTCTCGAAATAAACTCTCTTTCTCTCTTATAGACAATTTTATGAGATGGAATCTTCAATCTGAAGCCTTTTTGTGCTCTTTGAAAATGGCACACTGAATGGGGCAGTGCAATTTAAATTCCAAGGGATGGATTAGAGTTTTTATCGCTCTTGAAAGTCAAATAGCCCTTTCATTTCAGAAATAAGGCTCTCTTTCTCTCTTATAGACAATTTTATGAGATGGAATCTTCAATCTGAAGCCTTTTTGTGCTCTTTGAAAATAGCACACTGAATGGGGGCAGTGCAATTTAAATCTTAAGGGATGGATTAGAGTTTTTATTGCTCTTGAAAGTCAAATGTCCCTTTCATTTCATTTTAGAAATAAATTCTAATACATTCCTTGATATTTAAATTGCGCTGCCCCTATTGTGTCCTCTTTTTAAAGAGCACAACAGAGCCCTCAGATTAGGCAGCAAGTAGCAAAACAAACCCGTAACACTGGACACAACATTCAATGGGAAGATGCCCACATCATTGAGTTTGAAACGCACTTCTGGTCAAGAATGGTAGAAGAAGCATCTGCATAAAAAGGATGAATCCTTCACTGAATAGGGATTCTTGCTATACACTTTTACCTTTGTGTAAATAATAAAAGGTCCACGGGCGTGGTTGTTAGAAGCTTAAACTACATAAAACTCTCTCCAATTTTGCAGGGGAGAGCCTTTGTCGGGAGTCTTTAATAATAAAAGGGATAAATCCTTATTCTTGCTATATGTTACCTTTCTTCGCTCCAGTGATCTCGAGGCAGCAGACAGCAAGAAATTGTGTAAATAATTTGCTGTTGCCGGGAGTCTTGCATGGGGCGGAGGCCAGGAAGTTCTTGAACTTTAAAAAAAATTAGGAAATTCCAAATAGTCGTCATGAGCGATAGAAATTTTTAATTTCCTCCTTGAGAGTCACATAACCCCTTTCATTCCATTTTAGAATTTAACCTCTCTTTCTCTCTTAAAGATATAGACAATTTCATATAACTTCTGTTTTCGTATTGTTGTATGTGTGTGTGTATTGGGTTTCTACAGACGTGTATCAATCAGATATGATTATTTACGTCTGGGACCGACCTTTAAACGTCACCATCCGAAAGACGTGACTCAGTTTCGAACCTGCGTCCTCGGCTGAATCAGTTTGTAACTTCCACTTTTTAGCTGGATTACAGGCGCACGCCACAACGTATTGTTGTACTTTCGTCCGCAGACTACTTAAGCACATGTCGATCCAACTCAGTCGGAAATGTAATATGTAGGCCTAAGTGTAAAGTTAAGTTTCATGTTCTTCCTTTTTTCTTTCTTTCTTTCTTTCTCTCCCTCTCTCTGTCTCTCTCCTTTTCCTCTATCTTCTTTTTTAAAAACATTATTCTTTCTTTTCTTCTCATTTTTCTGTGTGTGACATGCGTTACGCGTACGTCTATCAATGTCTTAATATGGTAGATATACATTTTGATGTTTCCCTTTGTAGGTGCACCTTATATTCCAGAAAGTGCCCTATTTTGATGGTGCCCCCCCCCCCCCCCATGTATTGATCTTGATAAAAAATAACTTTCTCATTAATTCTATTTCCAATATATCTAATACTTGCACTAATCTCCAATTTAAAAAAAAATCGTCTACTTTCTCTCAAGACAACATTATATAAAGGATTCATTAATGCAAGGCTATCTCGCGAGTAATCTCTCAATTTCTAACTTCCTGCATTCCTCATCTCCCAGTCTCCCTTGCTTTAATATTCCTCGTTACTTCCTTCCAATTGAACTCCAACTTAATTGATGTTATACACTGTATCTATTCTTCAACTACAGGTAGATGCAAATGTTACTCAAAATCCATTATAATCACACTCAGGATACAGCCAACTGACGAGAATTGCTTCAATCTATATTTTACATGTATCATTAATATATGGTTTTACAATGGCTATGGTGATGAGTTGTCTAGGTAACATGTTGATGTGTTTGTTAAAATGTATTACCATGGTGCACCTTCTTGGTTGGGTATGTATTAACGTAAGTTCGTGCCTTTACATATCACAGTAGAAATCAATGTTTTATATTTGTTGCAGAATAATATTAATATTTGGAGATTAGAAACACAAACAGTTTCCATAACCGTTCAAGTGTTTCAAGAAAAAGTTAAGCAAACTTTCTCCTGGATGTAAATTCACACTAGCGTATAGCACTAGCGAGCTCTCCGATCTAGGCTAGACTCTTCGCGAGCGGTTTCATTGGAATTTTAAGCGGTTTCATTGGAATTAATCGAGAAATTCCCCTCGCTAGCGTGTAAATAAAAAAATACGCCGGCCGGCCATACGTAAATGGCAGTGACGGTAACGACGGAAGCGTATTGGGATGATCATACTATCATTTTAGAGTGTGCAATCTGGGTCGGAATCCAGCATAATATATTTATAAAAAAGAAGTTCACATAAAAGCACTCATGATAAAGCCGCGCCCGGCCCCTACAATATCATTTTGGATTTTCAGATGATGGGCCGGGTGGCAGGGGTAGGGGGCAAAGTTCGCCCCACTCTTTAAGTACCCCCCCCCCCAAAGGGCCACTTTTACTTTGTAAATAAGTGCCCCTTCCCCTTTTTAACTCGGATAAGCGCACATTTCATCAACACATGTGCCCCTTTCCTATCTGATAAGGGCTATTTAGAAAAATGAGGCCCTTCATAAATAAAAAGTGTCCCTTTTCATCTCTGGTAAATGACCATTTTCATATATGAGAAGTTAATTCTTTTTACTTCAGTGCGCTCTTCACCTCCGATAATTGCCCCTATTCAAATCTGAGAGATGCTCGTTTTACTTTGAAAAGTACCCCTTCCCCTCCTGATAAGTACTCTTTTCATCTATGATGGGTGCCCATTTTCACCTTTGCTAACTGCCCTTTTATTTTGAATCGTGCCCCTTTTCCTTTCTAATAAGGGACCTGTCCCCTTTTCACCTCTGATAAATCAATTTCTGATGGATACCCCTTTTCCGTCAACAAATGCCCATTTCCCATACTCATAAGTGCCCTATCTCATTTCTGGTGAGTGCCTCCTTTCAGGTGTAAGAAGTGCCCCGTTTGAACCTTTGATAATTACTCTTTGTACCTTGACACATGCTCCTTTTCTTTTCTAATAAGTGTCTTTATCCCTTTCGCACGTAGGCACGGGGGGGGGCACGTGCCCCTAACCTGCTCATCATTAGTCTTGCACCTAATTTAAAGCGACTAAGACTAATTTCCCCTAAAAAGGTCGCTCGCTCGCTCGCATTTATAGATGATACAATATGTCACTTTAAAACAATTTTTTTTCAGTCTTCCGTGATGCTTATAACCCCATCATGATTTGGTTTTTTCCTCTTTATAAGATGTAATTTTTCACTCTGCGACCTCACAGATCTTACATTTTTTCTCGCTCGCTTTGCTCGCTCGCAAATGAATATTCAGACAATCACACCCAGCCGAAAGTGTGATGCTTAAGCAATATCTTGTATGATATATAAAGAAAAACAAATATTGAAATCGTCCCTGATAATGGAATCACAATGAAATGGTATATACCAATGTCTAAAAAAATGTAAATTTTCGCTATGAGATTTCGCTTTGTAGGTGCCCTTTTTTGTTGGTGCTTTCCACTTCGGAAATAGCTCCGCCGCCCCTGCTTACGCAATAGCGCCAGCGTTATATTTCACGCTTGCGTGCACAGGGGGTGTCTGTGTATGTGTGTGTGTGGGGGGGGGGTTCCTCTCTAGCTCTGAAGCTGATTTTTTTTTTACATGGATTCGTGCGATTCGGGTAATACTTTTGGAGGGAGTCTGAGGGGTGATGTGCCCCCCTCTGAAGCTGACATTTTTTGGATTTTTGAAACAGGATTCGTGCGTTTTGGTTAATACTTTTTTGGGGAGTCTGATTTGATTTCAAAACACCTGCAGTTAATGCGGGATGGGGTTGCAGCCTCTCTTTCCCCGAAAATTTAAAAATTACCAATATGCATTTGTTATATCTTATCTCGTATATTTTGGTAACAATTAACACTTTTCACAACATACATAAGCTCAAATTTCCGCTCACTCGCCAAATTATTAAACCAGGAAATAGATATTGGGGCAAGAGGCTTCAGCCCCCACTGATGGAAATGTCAAAAAAATTGCGCGCGAGCATAACTTGAAAACGGGGAATGTTGATATCGGACAAGAGATGTGACGTGAGCATGTCCCCTTTCCAAAATAATTGTGTCCGCGTGTAGGTACCAGTACACTATTAAAGTACAGTGCTTCTAATATGACCTTGTCAGTATTGGTAAGTTTAAATAACGGTCTGCGCGAATTTCGAATTTCCGGCCCCTCCTATTGGAAAATCCTGGATCCGCGCCTGCCTGGGGCAATATTGATATTGACAAAGTTCACATGAACGTGGGTTAGACACACATTAGTCCCGAGATTCCATGTGAATTTGCTTATTACTCAGCAAAAATTGGCAGACGCTGTTGAATAATATGTAAATATTTGAATTTGATGGTTATTGTGTTTAAATCTTTTAAGATTTATATTTGATTGTTACAGAAAACTCCTTATTATTTTCAAAGAATTAACGCTGCAGGCTTCTCTTTTAGGCCTTGGGCAACACATGGTTAATAATCGGTTAAAGCATGGACCTACTACTACTCTACTACTACTACTACTACTACTCTGTAGTAGGGTCCATGGTTAAACAGAACCATGCTTTTATATGATATTTATGTTTTTAACGAACTTCTTTCTTTTTATTCTCTATTTATTCCTGATAATAATCATAAATATTGTCATTTTATATTAACATTTTCATAAACGATACATAATTTTGTCTACTTTTTTAGATCTATTTTAGATATTTCTTTGTACATTGTTTTTATCTTCTATATTCGAAATTTGTCTTCACTTCAAATATTTTGAATACTTTTTTTTCCTTCTTTTTGGTATATTTTATGTTATTTTATGTTCTTAGAATTTCACATTAATGTATGTTTAAAAAATTTCCATTTATATCTTTACTTATGACACGCTACATCTAACACGTTTCAATATTCAGGAGATAATGGTTTATGTCACTGTTTGAATTATATTGAAAACAGAGTGTTGTAGCTGAGGTAGTGGATCGTGTTTCTAGAACGCTCTCTGTAAAGCAGGAACCGGGCAATTTTCTCTTTGAAACGTAAGTATCTTTTATTCCCCCTCCCCTCTATTTTGTCCTCCATATTATCTACAAATTGACAAATACGCATTTTAACCAGGTGAATCTAGGTATTTGTGCTAATGTATGAATACAAATTTCCTCATTCCATTGTGTTTTAAATTCCTCCTTTTAATTATGTCTTTTTGTACTCAAAACCCCTTATTTTGTACATTTTTTAATTCCTTTTTGATATGTGCCCCCTTTTCTTCGCACCATAAAATGTATTCCTAGTTTAAAGCGACTAAAAGCATCTTTTTCTTTAAATTCACCCCAAGCTCGCATTTTAAATTATTATGATTTTGTTTCTTATATGCCCCTTTTTACCAGAAATCGCCCTTTTTCGTTGATGCCCCACCCTCCCTAAAAAAAATTGAAAGTCGCTCCGCCGGCTCTTGTCCACGGTAAGAGGTGATTGTTAAATCTCGAAGAACAAAACATAATCCCTCATGTCTATACAATTCATACATATCCATAATTTCCATTTGGTGTTTTTTAATTCTTGATGAATTGCTTGTAATTTGCTCTGAAAAATGTCATAAAATGCACTAAAATAAGGCTAATATTGCACCAGAAAGAATCTAGAATCCCAGAAATTCTAGGGCGCTTAAATGGGACCCTGGACCGCGGCCTAAAGGGACTTTGATGTGCACTTCACGCACATTTAGATTTTCAGGGGAGTCCTTCAACGCCCCCCCCCCCCTCCGCCCCCCGCAAAAAAGCTTCCTACGCCTATGATCTACAATGTCTATTTTATTAGGAACCTATAATCTACAAGCACCGCTTTTCAATAGGTTCCTCACATTCGGATTGCTTCGCCACCTCGCGCGGTCACATTACATACAATTTTAACCCCCCCCCCCCCGAGTGAATTCTGCGTACGCAACTGCATAAGCCTAATTGTTTCCTGAAAAGTTCATTTCAATTTTTCACTCCACTCCAATCTAATCCACTTCATCGGCACAATCATGATCATAGACCGGTTTACTAACATATTCAGATTTATGTATGATTCTTTCCTGGGAACCTTGTAACGAGCTACCCATTAACCTGTTACAACCATACTTGGAATACAGTCTCCATACATTATTTGTTGCTATGTCGGACAGGCTTCGGGAAAGGTTTCAGAATGTGAATGACAACCTTTGGTTGAAATGTATTCTTAAAATATAAATATTTTAGTAGACCTGTCTCTTGGGAGTAATTCATCAGAACTATTAATTCAAATTACTATATGCAGCATGCCACTCTAACATGTACCCATTTATTTAGAAATTGTGAGAAACCTCGCGAAGCTGTGACTCTCAACGGTCAAGAATACTGCACTGTTGATGCCTGCTACTACTCTATCTGTGGCGAGATTACGGCGCCAAAAACTTTATCAGAGGTACGTTTATTTTTTTTCATTTGTTCTTATATTACATATAAAACATGTATATATATATACGAAGAGTTTAATTCCTAAAGGACAGTCACGTCTGGAAATTCACGGCTTTCATAACTACTGAATGATGAAATAATCACTCTGGTTGATATTCAATCTAATTAAACTTGAATAAATACGATACAATCTTAGAAAACAGTACTTTACGCGCATGATCCTATGACAAAATGATGCAAAGAACATCAACCAAGAGGAATTTTCCAAACATCTTATTTGTTATTGACCGTTTTGCTCCTTAATGGCCATAGGGAACAATCAAGGGATAAAGGTTTTATTCTTCGGTAGTTTTCGAGGTTACACCATGTAATTCCTTCAATGATTAATAGGTTTTTTTTTTTTATTTGTCGGTAGTTTTCGAGGTTACACTTTATAATTCTTTCAATGATTAAGAGCTGGTAAGCTCCGCTAAGATCTCTTTGGTTTGTCAGTCTGCATGTTTGTCGGGAATAGACTTTCCGGGGGAAAAACAATCAGGAAATATTTTTTTCACTCTCCCCATTTTAACAGGTTAATATAGGCCTACAGTATGTTTGTTAGAGAAAATGTTGAGTTCTTGTAATGATGAATTTATTTGTGAGATTTATCATTCTTTGCTAGTCAGCGCGTTGGACGAATAAAATAGAAATATCTCCTGAAAAGGATATCCCTTAAAATGCCCTCATGGTCGATATATGAACACGAAAGCCTAAAAAGTTTGGTCCAAACATATTTGTGTAGTCCCATATATCCCTTTCCATGTGCAGTGCATGTGGGGAAGACTGGGTCAATTTCTTCGTGTATTGGTGATTCCAACGCCCGACAGTATACATCAATAAATTCTTCTGAAGACTTCTTCATAATCAATCTTTCTTATAACTACTTTAAGACAGTTTCTTCCCCATTGCAGTTGTATGACCAGTTCTCAAATTTATATTTAAACGATTTAAACCGAATCTAATCGTATGTATAACTTTGATATTATATTTGACAGCCATGTTTCGACTGCAATAATCGTGGCGAAAACTGCACGAAAACAGGAGGCCCGCCAACAGACAGAGAACCTGTTCATTATACTTTATTTGTCGCGTCACTGACTGCATCGTGTAAACAGAATTATATCGCCTATGCATACGCTTGTCGGATTGATGACACGACGGATAGGTATGAAAAATTACTTCTCTCTCCTCTCCCCCTACCCCCCCCCCCCACCCCCACTCAGTGTTATTTAGGGTACGCATATGCGTGTTCCCTCCTTTTGAAAACACCCCCTAAGTCCGGTGTGTAATTTCAATTTTGTGAACGTACGAGTCGGACTTTGGTGCGTGAAAAGTACCCCTTTACCGGACATTTTGGTAACACGCATGCGGTCATTCCGACCCCAGAGTGGGGGGGGGGGGGGCGGGCCCACTTCCTCTCTTTTCTTTTACCCCTTTACTCCCCTCCTATCCCAGACTGACATCCTAAACTCTTCTTCTCCTCCATTTTAAATAGCAGAGATTGCATCACAGTACATTTGATAAAATGCGTAATTTAGTTCAAAGTTTGTATAAGTAAACTTCCGTAGAATCACAATAAGTCCAAGTCACTTTCAGAGTGGATTACTCTTTCCGCCAGTGGCGGGGAGTAGTGCAATGACCCTTCCATCAGAAGACCACGTAGCGAGTACCTTGCGACAAGCTTTTGTCCTCTGAAGAAATGAAGCGTTTTCTTTGGTGTGATCCTCATCAATGGGGACTTTTAGATTTGCGTGGACTGATACGTGAGGCGTCCATTCAAGGCAGTGCATTAAAAGGACGTCGATCGTAGCATAGACCTATTGTCTTCGTGCGAATCTAAAAGTCCCGAATGCCCATGTTTGAGCCCTTCAAAGCGCTTCGTTTGGAGATAACGAGCTTCCTCATTCGCAATGATGGAGCGAGGTTTTGAATTGTTGCTCATTGAAGCGCGACATCATTATCATCATAATGATTCATTTATAACTCTTAAATTCATTTTTAATGACTGATTCCGAAAATGTTTCATTCTCTCCTAGGCCTGTAGCAGGTGTAATTAACATCTGCCCGATCGGTTTCGAGCTGGGTAGGGAGCGACTGCTGGATACTGTCCAACACGAGATATTTCATGCTCTGGTAAGTTGGATCCTTGAGCAGATTTAAAGCCCCACTGCACTACTTATAGCTACTTTTGCCCTCAATATAGCAAACAATGCCTAATCAGCAGCGACCATTGGTTCCCCATGGTCCCCTTTTTCTTTTTTCGTTAATTGAGAGCTGATTTGATGAGATAATCACATATCGGGGGGGGGGGGTATTGAGCACTCTTCTTTTTTTTCTTTTTTTCTCCCAAAAATTTGAAAATCGCGCCGGCCAAAAAGTCGCTCAGTGGGAGGGGGGAGGGGGGGTAGTGAGCACATTTTTTTTTTGGGGGGGGGGGGGTCCTCGAAAATTTGCACCGCCCCCCCCCCCCTTGAGCGCCAGGGGGGGGGGGGGGGCCATCCCCAAAAAAGCTAAAAATCACGTGTTTTTACATGATTTTTTTTCCAGGGGGGCCAGGCCCCCCGAGCCCACCACCCCCCCCCCTCCCCCCTGGATCCGCTACTGCCTATCGGTGACCCTGCAGGGAGGTCTAATCCCTCCTGACCAAGCTAGTGCAGACGTACTTAAAAGTGAACCAGATATCTCAAAATGTATTTGTGTAAAACCAGAAAGTATACAAAACCTTAGGTAATTTTCTATGGATTAACAGATAAGAAGTAGGCTATGACAAAAATAAAGAAGAACATAAAATCGCGCTCAAGGAACGGAAGTCGGACCAACAGGAAACCGTTGAATTTCTTCTATTTTTGTTTCTTTCAGGGATTTTCTTCATCAATGTATGGTCTCTATCGAGATGCGAAAGGCAAACCCTTGACACCCCGAGAAGCAAATGGATTACCAGCTCTAAATCCCAAGTAAGCTACATTATCTGATAGCGAATTAAGATTTTGTTTAAACAATAATAATGATTATAATAATAATAATAAATATTTTTTAAATATTTTTTACTGATAATGTTAATAATCATTATTATTATAATAGTAATAATGATAATTATAATATTAACATTGATAAGAATAATAATATGATACCACTACTAGAACTAAAAATGATAATGATAATAATAATAATGATCATCATCATCATCATAAAAATACAATAATAATAATGACAATTTTTTAATTTGTTAAATGATAATAATAAAATAACAATAAAGGTAATAACAAGAATGGATATTTTAAGTGCACGTATCCACCAAGCAAGGTTCTCAAGGCGCTGCATATAACGCCGGATCTGCTTGGCTACCGATTTCGGTGCTCACATTATTTAATATGTTCAAGGAATTCCTTCCTACCGGGTACCCATTGAACACCAGAGTGGAGAGTGGCAAATGTAAGTTAATATCTTGCAAAAGGACATTAGTGCCGCGGTGGGACTCGAGTCGCAAACCATAAGATCCCCACTCTGACGTTGTATCAACTAACCCACCTCTACAATTAAATGTGAACTCTGTCATTTCTGCCAAACTTTGTAATCCAGTGTAATAAGCCAGTTCACGGTTGCAGTCTGCGCATGAGCAGATAAAGGTCATTGCAGAACAAATTGTGAAATACACGGATACGAAATACTGGGAACGTGCTCATGAAAGTTATGTAATCATTATTCATTTATGCACTCCATGATACACAGGTGGAAGTATTCTTTGAAAAGGGGAAACAAAGGCTATTTATGTAGCACCTCCATCGCTGTAGGAGTGATTATTTCAAAATGTACAAAGTGGGACCTCTTCATGTTTTGAAGATCTGTGGATATTCGGGGTCATTGCAGTAAGGTGCTAACCGTGAACTGGCTTATTAGAATTAATGCCTCCGGGTTGAAAGATGTGCTTTCGAATTCCAGTTGAAATATACAAATGGCATTGTTGTGTTCTAAATTAATTATTCACATAACCTCTGTGGCCAACATTTTCCGATAAGTGACAGTCTGATTCAATACTCAGAACGTTATTTCAAGAAAATTATTCAAAGATATATTATATCATTTACTAAAAATGAATATAACTTTCAATTTTAAAAATGTTCTGGTTAAGAAGAATACGTCATCGTGTTTGAGACCCACCGCGGCACTGATGTCTTTAATTTTGGCAAGACATTAATCTACATTTGCCAAGTGAAGAATGTGTGTCCATGGCACATTCAATCCTATAATTATTTGACCGCCTGAGGGAAGCAAGGGGTATAGCCTGGGTAGAGAGTAGACCTTTGTAGGCGCACCGAGTATACCCCCCGATGAATATATGCGCCGTGTATGTAGCTATTAATAATGTTAGAATTATTAAATGTTCTTTATATCTGTGTAGAACGTTTGTGTTCGTATGGAGTGATCAAGTGATTCAGAACTTCACCCTGGATTGGGAAAACATTAATGGTACGACAGAGCGTTCTATTCAGGCATTTGTTACGCCAAACGTCCTGGTAAGTTTTAAGCGTCAAAGCCGGATTGGCTGAATTGTGAAAATGTTTTACAAATGATGAAAAAAAAACAAGATTAACAATATACCAAAGTAAAATTCAATTTAATATACGGAATCAATAAATACCGATATAAAAAAAACTTTAACAAAGTTTTACCAACTCTAATTATGAATACATTTCTGTACTTTCATTTAGTTGAATACAAAAAACTCCACACCTACCCCTAACGGCCCGATTCTTGGCCGTTCTAATTAGATTACATGTTTGGTCTGTTGTCGATCTTGTTGGTATGACTGTAATAATAATAATAATAATAATAATAGCCTAAAAGTCCACTCCAAATTTTATTAAACGGAAATTCTTTTTGCCCAATTGATCGTGAGCCCGGCAGCCACTGAGCAGCGCCAGATCGACGTTGCTCTATCCCCTATTGTTGAACGCCAAACAAGGTAGCAACAACTCCCATTTTATAACGTCTTTTGGTATGACGCCGGGGTTCGAACCCACGACCTCCCGGTTGTGAGGCGGACGCTCTACTGACTGAGCCATCACTCCGGTATGATGCAATTACTGTGGTATGAGTTGATTTGAGACCGAGCTTAAACCCAATCACACCCCCGACATGACCGAAAACAGACCGACAGCAAATCGGGAAAAAATGTCATTACCGCGAAAAGATGGGGATCGATCGGTTTGGATTCAGTGTGGAATTGGTTTGGCGGTGTGACTGAGTGGCCTTTGATATCTTGTTGATATCTTTTTTCTTTGACAGAGGGAAGCCAGAGCCCACTTCGGCTGTCCTAGTCTGATGGGTGTGGAATTAGAAGATGGTGGTGGATACGCTACCGCAATGTCTCACTTTGAGAAAAGAATCCTGGCGGTAAGTCATGTGTAAGAGGTGTCGTGGTCGAGTGCATACGTCGCCGGACTGTCGATCGCAAGGTCCGCGGTTCGAGTCTCGCCGTGGCACTAATGTCCTTTGACAAGACATTGATCTACATTTGCCACACTCAACCCAGGTGATGTAAATGGGTACTTGGCAGGAATTAATTCCTTGAAATGCTGGAGTGCTGTATAAACAGCAGCTAGGCTAAAGCCAGGGTAATAATAAATGCGCCTCGGAATAGAATTATCTAGATAGACGGCGCTATAGTAATGCCTATTATTATCATCATTAAGAGGAATGTGTATCCAGGGGTATCCAGGGTCAACTCCACTCAGGTGACTAGGGTACCCGGTAGGAAGAAACTCCTTGCATGCTTGAGTACCTTTTAATGGTAGCTCGGGGTAAAGCCGGGGTAATAATATGATTGCAGGGCCCTCAAGGAGAACAGTATTAATACTGATGAGGCTACCCAAGGTAAACAAGACATATTATTATATTATTATTAACGCTAGAATGAGGAGGGTCAGAAATACGTCACCAAAAGGCTCACTGGTGGGTAAATATCCAGCTGAAAGTTGAAGGTACTCAGAATTGTAAATGTCGCAACACGGTTTAAAGTAATACAAGTTACACATTTACAATTTTAAGGTTCCCGATACCAACACGGGGCTATGTAATTTGATTTTATTCAGTAGTTTTTTAATATGTCGATAGCATTCGAAGTCATAATTGATTATTTTTCCTGAAATGTTTATTTGAGGTACTATTGAGCTGTATTTCAAGTGATCTTGATGGAGATTTCAATGGAATCGGTTAAGTGGGCAATCGGGAAGAATTTTGCTTTTGTGAACCCTATAGCTAACCCACTTAGGCCCGTAGCCAGAGTTTGATGTTTGGGTGGGGGGGGGGGGGGGGGGGAGGCACATACATGTAATTGATCGACGTCCTGGGGAGGGGTCTAAAAAAGTTCAACCGATCTTGGAAATTTGTTGGGGGCACGTGCCCCCCCCCCCCCCCCCCCACATGCCACCCACATGCCATTCCTTACTTTATTATGTATCGTTTTATATATTACTTTGTATTTGTATCTTGCATTTTATCATCAAATAAATAAATAAATAAATAAATAATAATACTAATGTTATAATAATGATATTGTCAATAGCGATAGCAACAACAGTGATAATGATGATAATAACGATAATAATAATAATTATACAAATAATAAGAACAATTCCCCTCCCCCATTTATTTGTACATATTTTCTATTTTGCAGACAGAATCAATGAACGGTATGTTGACTCCAGCTCGGGTTTTCTCACGTATAACCCTGGCCCTCATGGAAGACACTGGATGGTACATACCCGACTATGAAATGGCTGATATCATGAACTGGGGGAAGGATCTCGGATGTGACTTCGTCCAGAAGAGCTGCAAGAATTGGATCGACACAAGGATAAATGGGTAAGGGAAACCTCAGGCAAGCTGCCTATTCTAGTAATATAGTTTGTCGACCTTACTTACAGCCTCCTTCCTTTCCCCCCGTTCTCCCGTCTTTGCATAAAATAAAAAGTATCGTTTCTGCATTGCATAGTCGACTCCAAACATTGATGTTTGGCAAAGTGGAATTTTTAGACCTTTTTAAAGATCTAAGTAATTCCCAAGACAACCTTTTGTTGCTAACAATTCAGTGTCCTTAGGAGAGAGAGTGAGTTTTCTGTAGTTTAAGCTTCTAACATCCACTCCTGTTCACTTTTTATTATTTACGCAATTTCTTGCTGCCTGTTGCGTCGAGATCGGGCAGAAAGGTCACAATGTATAGCAAGGGTCCCTATTCAGTGAAGGAGTAACACTTTTTTTTTAAATCCCATTGGATGTTGTGTCCACTATTAAGGGCGTAGGGCTTTTTGTGCTCTTTGAAAGGAGCACACAATGGGGGCAGTGCAATTTAAATTTCAAGGGGTGGACTAGGGTTTGTATCGGTCATACGGCTACCCAGGGGCCTAAGGTGGACCATTGGACCCCATGTCATTGATACAGATAGAAGTGGTTCCAAAGACAACCCGCTGTTGTATACAATTGTCCTTAGGGGAGAGTGTGAGTTTCCATCGCTCAAGACGGTCATCTTGAAGGCTCTGAATTGCTAAAACTCGAGAGCATCCTGGGGCTCCACCCCTGAACCCCCGGCAGGGGCTCTGCCAGTCCCCCAAGCTCTTCCATGTTGTACAGATCCATAAGAAAGCAAAATATACCCCACTAAATTATCCATATACATATACATATATATATATATATATACATGTATATTCAAACGTCTGTGTGCTTTGCCCCTGGACCCCACCAAGAAGGGCTACAGTTTACACGCTATTGCCTATCCATTGTTGCATTATTTTTTTTTTACATTTCATTACCCTTTAATTAGACACATAAATACCAAAAAAATATTATTACTGATCGCAAAAAAGATTACGACCTTATTTGTACAATATTATACATTTTGCTTTTTGTTCCATCTCTCTCTCTCTCTCTCTCCCTCTTTCTCTTTCTCACGTTCTCCTGTTATATCTGGGTAACTATAATTCACTGCATTTCTCTCTTTCTCTCCCTTCAATCCATCTATTCTCTTTCCCTCTCTTACCCAACCTTCTCCATCCCTTTCAATCCTATCTCCCACACTTTTAGTGGCCTGTCTCCAGCCCCTTGGTGTACCAATGATCATGAGGCGGGTTGCCACGCTGAAGGAACAGATGTGGCATTCTGCAAACTCAGTAAATACGATTCGCCCGTCCCGGAAATCTTCCAGGTAAGAGTTCCCATTCACGGATACATTGTAAATGCTCATGTGATATAACCTTGTATTCCTACATATAGCTTTACCATAAGAATATGCTTCATATGTTTCCTTTGGCTTTCTGTCTCACGGAGCATTTTTTAACTGGGCCGTAACAAAATGGCTCTCATTACGTAAAGAGAGAAATAAAGAGCATCAATGATAAATATTCTAATAAAATATATCAGCTGTTCAATTGTTGATCAATTCGCAGTGTCCAACTTTTCCCATACTCAGATGTGCACGTGACCGATGGACAAGAGCGTAGGGCTTGGTTGGTTGAAATAATTATGCTTGTTTCAGTCCGAAGAAATCTCTATAGAGTGGTGAAGTGTGACGTCATCAAAAATCTATTTTTAGAATTTAAAAAAAAAAAAATTGTTAGGAGCCAGAGCATATAACACTGAGTTCACATAGGACATATATTTATACAGATGGCTATATCTCAGCCAATACTTAACATATTACATTTGGACATTATTTTTGATGCTCTTTCGGAAAATGAAGAAAAAATCGAGAAATTCTAAAAATAGATTTTTATGATGTCACAGCTTCGGTACTCTATGTCATCTTGTTCTGGTCAACTCTATTTATTTATTTAGAAGACTATCCTAATTGTTTTATCAGGTATTTACTGCGATAGATGGAATTGAACCTGCTGAACTTTCTAATATTGGAGGCAACTTATTAACCGACTACTGCCCATTTTTTGAGGTATGTCGTAGAATCATCAAATCGGAAGCAATAAAATCATATTCACATCTCATTATAATCCGATCTTTACGCTCTCAAATGTATGTAGTACTAAGCTAAATACAAAGTGGAGTTAGAGAACCTTTGCTCACACAGGACCTTCCCGTTGGATGCTATCCCTCCAGATATTATTTATAGCAGATCAATATAAGTATTCCAAAAAACAAAAAATTCTTTTAATGCGCCTTGAGCATTATTGATTTCAAGTGGATTACATATTATTCTATTATACATGTATATCTAAGCTCCCCACGTTTTTAATTATTGTAATATTGCCTTTCGTATCAATACTCCCCTCGAAACGCTTTACATCTACCGCACTTTAAACTTTAATTATGTTGTCTTTGTTACTCTTCAGCTGATTTAAATTTATCATCATATTGATAATCATATTATTCATGTATCATTACAGGTTGATAGATATTATTCATGTATCATTACAGGTTGATAGATATTATTGGCCGAACCAATCTACCACTGCCCTCCTCTGCAATAATACGGAAAGTATGTTCACGTGACACCGCGTAATGTACGATGCACACGAGGCGTCATTTCATTGACTCTTTATTTATATTGTATTTAAAAAAAACTATGATCTTTACTTTACTTTACTTTGTTTTCATGTTAATATTGTGATGTGATATTTACAAGTTATACTGAACTTTTGTTATATTTAACCACATTTTAATTTTCGTGTTGTTTTCCCCTATTCATATATTTTTTTTGCACCATGTCATTGGTTTTAAAAATATTTGTTATATTTCATGAATGTTTTTTTTAATGGAGATATGGAAATAAATCCTATTCAATTCAATTCAATATTTTTTTTTCTTTAAAGTTGGTGCAAGTGTATTTTAAATAATTTATGCAGTATAATGTAGCCACATATATTCTACAACTAAATATCTGATATAAGATTATATTTCTCTTGTTACCACATCCAGTAATCGATGATTGCAGAAAAAGTAACTGCACGAATGGTGGAGTGTGTCGTGACGTCATCAATGGTTACTATTGCAATTGTCCAGCCGGATATGCAGGCGCACTCTGCGACCATGGTATGTTTGTGAATTAGCTTTGGTACAATTTTGCTTCATGTATCATGGAATTAAGTACTATGCAATGAAAGTATTTATATTGTTGACACTTTACGGATAGACACAAGTTATCTGCCAATTTTTTGATCGCCACAATATGCCGTTTGGTAATCACCACGTCATAAACTGCCACAGTAGTTTGATACTTGTTTCATGTGTCGGCGAACTTATTACCATTAACTCTAGCCTGATAAACTTGTTCGCCAATTCATGAATTATTATTTTGTTTGGCTTTTTTCCTTTTGCAAGAAAACGCATGATTATCGGTATGGCATCAATGAAAATCTTATTAATATATAAACATAATATTATGTATGTGTATACTTACTCTTCATCGACATTTTCCAGTTAGTAGGGAGAATTATACAGGCCCATAACGGGACTATCGTACCTGAATCGGTATAGTGCTCTATAGCTTGCATTATCAACTCATTGCACGGGCTAGCCCCCTGCTGTCGAATTTTACTCTTCAATTCAATTATTTATTATGTTTTCCCTTCCCCTTTTCCCCTTTCTAGTGAACGTGGAATGCACTGTGAATTCGAACTGCCAAGTCAACGAGGTTTGCACTGCCAACCGGTGCTTATGCGGACGAGATAGAATACGAAATGCGAATGACGAGTGCATTGGAGTAACAGGTTACTAATTGATTGTACTCTCTCAGGCCATTCACTATTTACAGGGGTGGACACAGGACTTTGTGAATAGGGAGAGGGTTCAACTTTCCCAAAAGTCTGACAAGCAAGAAGTGAAATTGGCTATAAAAAGGGGGAATTGCCAACCCCCCCCCCCCCAATCAATAACAACAACTAAGGGGCGGAACCCTGTGACCCCCTCGATCTGCCCCTAATTCAGCATAGGCCTATTTCATTTTGATATTCAATCAATTTATCGAAGTTTGGACGCGAAAACCAATATTCATGAATTGGTGACAGTTTTGCCGGGAGAACAACAACAATTTGTGACAACGAAGCAAAACAATAATTGATCTTTACATTTAGAGGTGTCGTGGTCGATTGGATACGTCACCGGACTGTCGATCACAAGGTCCGCGGCAGGGCACTAAAAGAAAATTAAATGTCCTTTGGCAAGACATTGATCTTCATTTGCCACACTCAACCCAGGTAATGTAAATGGGTTCCTGGCAGGAATTAATTCCTTGAAATGCTAGAGCGCCATAATTGCAGCCGTGCTAAAGCCAGGGTAATAATCGGGAGCGCCAGGCGTGTCAAATCTGACAGATATGAGCGCTATAAAAGAACTCGATGTTCTTCTTATTATTATTTTTACATTCGACAAGTATGAACAATAAAGTGAACAATGTCATCAATTGACAAGAATTATGGGTCTTGCATTCAATCCATTTTACATTACGGAGAATACGACAGATAACATGTTGATAACGTTTATCTTGTGAATGTAATTCTTTACAGATGTAAAAGAATACACAATAAGAATAACAGTAACGGAGGTGAATGGAGTCCCTGCTGTATACCATCGATCATTGATGCGAGCTTCCGGAGACTCATTTAGACATGGAATCGAGTATGAGGTAAGAAATCGTGGAAACAATCTGCGCTTGGGCAGATAAAGGTCATCTGTACAAAATTGTAAGACCCATCGAGCCGAATAGTGAATCCATGCTTATTTAACGTATGGACTCATTCATTATACACCGACAGTATTTTCTATAATACGCAGGTGGAAGTATTCCCCTCAAGAAGGCAAATAAAATGTATTCTAGTGAATATTACGGGTGATTAATGTGCGAACCACGACCTTGTCTATTCCATGCTCTTCTTCTACTTCCCCTCAGGTTCGCCAGATCATACGGAGCAACCCAATTCTTCACGACGCCCTTGTGAACGTCGTGACCAGGAGTATATCTAGTGGGAACATCGTAGTCGACCTAGCTCTGATCTTTCAGAAGAGCTCGTTCCATAACTCTTCTACCATTACAATGGCTTCAGTGGTAGCTGCTACTGCCATGCAGGATAACGTATTGAGGAGGAGTGGCACTGCGTACACGGTGATGGCAAGTGCAACAGTTGTTCAAGGTGAGAATATACGTATATCTTCAAATAAATAAAACATTTCCTTTGTTTCGGTTACACGACTTTTGCTCCTTTGACAATTGCTCCATGTCACTATCCTACACTAACTTAATTCTCCAGTTCAACCCTGGACCCAACGCAATACCTAACCGTAACACTAACCTAAAAGTCTTAATTGGTGCGTTTATAAAGCGCATACGAATCGATGATGCAGTCCTGGGCTAGGGAAGTGGCGTATCCTGTGCAAAGGATATTACTCTTTTTATTTATTAGATATGAACGGTTAGTCTTACTTGTCTTTCTTCTTTTTTCCAGTGGAAAAAAATAACTTTTATTAGTTTCAAATCAATTTGCGATGACAATACATCAGTTTACACATAAGATATTCAAGTTATACAAAATTTAGTATTTAATGACCATCCGAGGGATACAGAAAAAAGTATCTCTCTCTCTCTCTCTCCCTCTTCCTCTTTATTTCCCCTCAATCTCTCTTCTTCATTCTCTCCCACCCCCTCTTTCTCTCCCTCTCTCTTTTTCCTTCTCTTTATCTATCTCGTTGTTTTATATGCCTCCCTTAGTTTTTCGCTCTTCAGATGTAATTTTTTTGGCGATATATAGATATATACGTTAAATCTTAATAATGGCATTGTATAACTGCTTTTCGATTCCAATTTGTGATATATATATTTCTTTGTGGTAACCCTTTCAACTCAAACGTAATTATGTTAATCCAGGTGTTAAGGCTTTTATCGTTGCTTATTTTCAAAATATAATTTTCCCCTATATTTTTTATTGTTTGGTTACTTAACATTGTTATTGTCTGTTTATCTGCTACCATTACCCTATATCAGTTTAGTAATTTGATGATTTGACCACCACTTTTTCTTAGTTTATTTTGGTATTGTATTGATTGAAATGTATTATTTGTTTATCTTTATTTCCATCTTGTACTTTATTGTATTACTTGTAAACATGATCAGTTTTGGTCTTTGAATCATGTATATTTATATGTCTTTTTAAACCGAAATAAATAAATAAAAAACTATAGTTATCTATATATATATGGCTAAACTTACTTTGCTCTGGAATAATATTTATCATTATTTTATCATCAGATGCAAACGAGTGCGAGGATGGAGCCGGCAATGACTGCTCTCCGTACGCTCAGTGTATGAACACAGTCGGAAGCTACGAATGCACCTGCCAACCGGGGACTACAGACACCGGACCAACTGGGGTCCTTCCCGGTCGAGAATGCACAGGTATGGATCTACAAACATGTCTATGTAAAGCCTCGGTCACAAATGCCGTACGAACGATTTTCAGACAATGAAAATTCGGGAATACAATGAAAAACAGGGAGATTCGTACGAAATTATCGTTCGTACGAACCTTTGTGACCGTAGCATAAAGCTCCATGTACACTACCGTCAATTAAGCTTTTCAGACCAATTTCGAAACCGTGCACCCTGCGCCAAGGGAATGTGTATGCCACTAGAGATTGTACCTGTGCCTGTTAGGTGAATGAATATGCTCGCATGTCCTTGAATGGCGCAAGGAAGATAACGTCTCGTGTGCATCGGGCGTAATGGATATTTGGCATGAGTGTAGTCCTGACATAATTACAACTCCTGTCTCGTACATGTCGTCATTTTGGAATGCGATAACTCATAGCCTGCCATGAGGGTGCATGCACACTATCGTTACATTGCTTTGTACATGCGAGCAAACTATTGCTACGCTGTCATGTGCGTGCGTGCATACTTTCGTAGTAGCAGTTATTGTTTATGCTCATTGGACTGTGATATGTGTTTAGCACTCGCTATTCATAGAACTATCGCGTTAATCAGATTATCTCAATATAAACTTGGCACTCCGTGATTTGGGTCTTGGCACAATGGGGATTAGCCATGTGGCATGATAAGAGTTAATACATGCGCGCGCTAATCGAGTCTGTTATGGCAATTATCCATACGCCAGTAATAATGCAGGCAAATTTCATTCGGCAACAATTTGTGCGTATATGTGTGTATGTATGTCCGTAGTCACTCTCATAATAGGAACTTTTAGATGTGCGTGGACTGATACGTGTGACGTCCATTCAAAGCAGTGCATTAAAAGGACGTCGATCGTAGCAATCCACCTTGTCTTCGTGCGAATCTAAAAGTCCCTAATGGTGCGTCAAAGATTGCGCCAGTCGCTATTAAACGCAGTCCTACGTCAGGCAAATGACGTCATGGCTAAAACATTTTACATCATGCTTCATGCTTTATCCAGACGTAAACGAATGTTCGACAACTTTGGACACCGACTGCTCAATCGATGCCGACTGCGTGAATATGGTGGGGTCATACACCTGTCGCTGTCGTGACGGCTACGGTGACGATTCGCTCGATGCTAACAGGCCTGGAAGAGTGTGCTCTAAACAGGGTGAGTATGTGAATGCGTCTATACCAGGTTTTATTTTTGGATTCGATTAGACTTGAAGCCAAGTCCTCTTTTCTTAAAACGGCAAGTATATCTGTATTTCTAATCAAAAGAGTTCGGATCGTAAAAGTGTACTTCGTTATTTTTTTGAAAAAGAGATATTCTGAAAGAAAGACTACGTTTGCACACTTTTTCTTTAACCACGTGGCGTAGTCACAGGGGGCACGTACCCCCAATCAAGAGAATAAACAGAAGAGGGAGACACTTAGTGAAAGATCCTCCCCCCTATAGTTTCTCCCTAATCAGAATTACCAGTCACTTACTGGCCGATCACCTTTTTTTTTTGGGGGGGGGGGAGTTGATTCAAAAGCAGTCAAACAATTATTTCTGTACATTAACGTACTACGGCATAGGCTTATTATAGTCTTACAATACTGTCTAACACTTCAAATTGGTTGAATCGGTAATGTCAGTGTGATGTAGTGCTAGTAAAGTTTCCCATTTATTTCAACATCCAAAATGACCCACCCCCCCCCCCCCCCCCAAAAAAAAAAAAAAAAAAAAAAAAATGTCCAGTATATGAGAATATTCTGAGGATATAAACAGAAAATAATCATATTTTTGTATACGACAAATACGTATACGACAAACGACAAATAGGACTACGTCACGATCCACTGACCAAATTACCCATTTGATAATCAATGTAGCTTCAGTCATCTCTTATTCAAAACATTTATAATTCTCTTATTATTGGCCCAATTTTCCTTTACAAAAATGTTGAAAGACCTGTAAATGAAGACCCATAGGCATCACTGTATATATCTCTGGTAATGGTTCGCTCTGATCTAATTGTACTTGAATTGCATTCAACGCATAGAAGACCAGTTTAGCTTTTGGTGACGTTTTCGTTTTGTTTTAATCTTTTTTCAAGAATACTTCGGATTACGCATAAAACATGAACAGAAAAAGCATAAAAATAACAAAAAATGTTGAGTCTAATTCTGTCAAAGTAAATTGTGACGTTAATGAATAGGGACGATGGAATTGTTAAAAAAAATGATAAATCCATTGTCTCTATCTTGGCATATCCGGAGTAATAGTTTTTATCAACATTTTCATACATCTAAATTGAAAGTTATTTGTGGCATTTGTCATTGTCAGTCACATAGGCCCGTTTGAATTACCTTCTTTTCTTTTTTTTTAAATAATTAGTTAAAGGTAAAAAAAAAACGTAACAAGCTTATTCATTTCGATCTTGTGAAAACTCTGTACACCAGTATTTCAAACATCTTATCTACATGTATGCATCATTTTTCTTCCAGCACTTCCAGCGATTCCATCACTTCCAGGGCCATCGGCGCTCCCAGGACTTCAACCTGGTGTCATCATCTCCTTGTCCGTTGGCCTTGGGGTTGTCCTTTTGCTAGCCGTTCTCCTTTATATGATCATCTGGAAAACGGTGGAGCGAAGAAAGAGAAGCCTACCATACAAAGATCCTTACAACTCTCGATCTCCGAATCATCTCCCTCGTCACCACACCCACACTTTTGTCAAGAGCGTCAAGACAGTTGATCGCGAAGTGGGTAGCAACCCTTATCCTAAGCGTGATAAGCCCCGCCAACATCGTAACCTTGATGAGCCCCGCCTACATCGTAACCATGATGAACCCCGCCCACACCGTAACCATGATGAGCCCCGCCTGCATCGTAACCATGATGAACCCCGCCCACACCGTAACCATGATGAGCTTCGCCCACATCGTAATCATGATGAGCCCCGCCTACATCGTAATCATGATGGGCCCCGTCAACATCGTAACCATGATGAGCCCCGCCTACATTGTAACCATGACGAGCCCCGCCCACACCGTAACCATGATGAGCTTCGCTCACATCGTAATCATGATGAGCCCCGCCCACATCGTAATCATGATAAGCCCCGCCAACATCGTAACCATGACGAGCCCCGCCCACACCGTAACCATGATGAGCCACGCCCAAATCGTCAGCATGATGAGCCCCGCCCACTTCCTGGAGCGCTGTATGGTGACCTAAATAGCAGTTGGTATTACGGTGAAAATAGAGGTCACATGGATTCACCATTTATGTCGACGGGGTCTGACATTTACGAGGCAATTTGACACGATTTTGAGGCAATAATTAGAGATTCAGAATGATAACCTCATAATCATGTTTATGTATCCAGGGAAGCCTCATCAGCATCAATGCTGTACCTCTTCAGGGCCCTGCAATTTATTATTATCCCCCGAATCACCAGGTTCACATAGGTGTAGAGGTGTTGTGGACGAGTGGATAAGTCGCCGGACTGTGGATCACAAGGTCCGTGGTTCAAGTCCCGCACCAGCACTAATGTCCTTTGGTAAGACATTGATCTACATTTGCCACTCTCCACCCAGGTGTTAAATGGGTACCCGGTAGGATGCGAAAGCTAATGTGGTTAGATTAGCAAGTGTGCGCATGTAAAAATGACGCCTGGCTGGAATGCTCCCCAGGGAGTGGAGAATGTGCATACATTATGTGCGGGTGAGCCTGAATCCAATGACCGGGGTAATAATATACTTATCTGTAAAGCGCTTTGTGAGGGCCTCCGGTCCTGAAAAGCGCTATATAAGAACGAGCTATTATTATTATTATTAGGCGGAGAATGGAAAATATGAATTAATGACTTGCTTACGAACATTAGTGCCGGTCTTGGATTCGACCATTAGTCCTTGGATTGGGGGTAAAGTGAATGAACCACGTTACCACGGCAGTCAATTTCTCACTCATTGAAATAAATATATCTCGTAATTTAAATAAACTTTGCCTATCATGACAATCAAGTTGATAATTAAATGAATGTAAATTTCAAACTCTACTTTTTTTCTCTCTTAGCTGGCAAGAGACACTAGCCTACAACAATCCCGTTACCCCCGCAAACCAAGATATTCAACCCTTGTAGCCGTTACCCAGCATCGCATAATATCAACGTGTGATGCGACATTTGCTTTGGTGACATTTCGATGAATCTCTCCAAATGAGTCGGTTTAAACATGATAAAGTTGGATTGGGGGTATGACTGAGAAAAAAAACGTCTCCATGGTTGCAATAATTGGTTTATATATTTATGTAATTTATCGTAATTTTAAGTATGTATTAATTCCAGTTAATTGTATTTATCTAGATATACATTTATATTTCTCTTAGTGGTAAAGTAGAAAGCTCTTATAAAGGCCCCATTATATTTGAATGTTCCCTCTCGGTTCAGTCATTACTTTAATTTTTCAATACTATTATGACATCTCAGATATTTAGCTTAGCAGTGCAGTATAATTATTAGAAGAATGTTTTGTAGTTATATAGTAGGCTGGCCTGCCAACATGCCACAGCAGTTTTGACTTATAAATGGTTAATACATATTTTCCATAGATTTTACCTGAACTTAATCATTTACTATTCACTTGGTCAATATATTATTGAATGACCTTTATCGCCTTATGCTTATACATGTATGTATTCACTATTCAGTGATTTTAACCTCAATTAGTGAGTCGGTTCTTTCAACGTTCACGTAATTTTCCTTCAATTGCATGTACATATGCGGGCAAGCACTGAATCCAATGACCGGGGTAATAGTATATATTTGTAAAGCGCTTAGAGACATTTGTATTAAGCGCTATATAAAAATTAAATATTATTATTATTATTATCTGTGCAACATTATCACTGTCACATTTTGCATGTTTTTTCATATATGTTTAATAAATGTATAGGCATATAGATTTTTTAAGGGTTGAATCACACTCCGGAGTCCGGATATAAAATTTCCCTAATGAAGATGATAACTCAATGTTCATATTGTGCCACTATTTTCTGCTGGTGTGGTCATGAGTCTCCGGCGTGTGTAGGCTTTGTCTTGACGCATTTTATTTATTTGAATGTGGTACATGTATCTCTTAGATTGTCCTTGTCACATGAATCTGCAGCACTGGTTGCATCTGGTTGGGATATACATGTAGGTGAGGGCGGTCTGCAGACTATAGTTATTTGGTTAACTTTGCCCAAGGCCTGGCAGCACAACCGGGTGCACCCAGTGTTCATGTATTTTTGTGTGATTTGCTATTAATTAATTATTTTCAATTCTGTATTTTGATATTATGTGTTTTCTGCCAAATAAAATAATAACAAAATAATTTTTGTTTTTAAAGCCTGATTTAAAGGAGGATTTATCTTACCCCAAGTAAATCAGTTACACCAAAGAGACCGACACCAGACCGACTGCAGACTGAAAAAGTAATTTCATTAACCCCCCCCCCCCCAACCCCCTATACAGTGATTTTAAATAATGCAGAACAATTTGTCATCAGTTATCTACTACTTTAAATTCTTTAACAAAATATAGAACTCGGTGTCTGCTCTCAGTCACCTTGCCATCCACAATGTTTTTTTTTCTTCACCGTAGCCCTTAAAAATAACTTGTTGAAAGACAATTTTTACATTTTTATAATAAATAGTTATATAAATGATTGTAGTTAGACAACGTTTCTATCTGCTATGTAATTCGAATTTGTATACTGTATTCATGTGCAATTCAGCTTTTTGCTACAAACCATGTTGTTTACTGTACTATTTTTAAATGAATGAATTTAATTGCTTTTGCTCTTTTGCCTACGAATGTTATTATGATTATTAACGTTAGAGCAACTATTTTTCATTCCAGAAGCTACTTATGTTATGTCGATGTCTTTCTACTGTGGTTGGTTGTTGCTGCAATGTTTTCTGTTGAATCAGTCGAAAATATATTTAATATGATATGATCTAGTAGGCCTAGTACTGTTCCAAAATTTTCTTCTGTGCTGAGTAAATGTATAAAAGTATGTGCATGTTGACTTCTGTTAACCCTAATAAGGCCCCCTCCACGATTTTTATGATTGTTCGGGAACGCATATGGATGACGCCCCGCCGCTCGCTGACCTTTTTCTTTCGAGTTTTTGCGCATCTTTAAATTTTTTTTTTTTAAATCGGACCTATAGTTAAAAGGTCACGTGACCTTTTGTCTTTGCATGTCAGCCCGAAAATCGCTCATTTTCGTGATTTGTGTACAAAACATATGGAATTTTTCCTTTAAAAAAATAGATCAAACCATGAACTCAAATAGCCCGGCCTTTTTAGGGTTAAGTGTTTTCTCCGGTGATGAACTTATGAGAAAAAGAAAGGAATGAGATCAAGAAAAGAGAAGGAGCAAGAGCATGTGAGAAAGAGGGTGGATTATTGAGAGACAGAGAGAGAGACAGAGACAGAGACAGAGAGAGACACAGATAGAGAGAGAGAGAGAGAGAGAGGCAGATCAAGTCATATACATGTATATCCAGGTTCAGATTAATCGGGATGCTAGGAGAAACAAAGTAAAGACATATCAGGATGGTCATATTCATATAGATGGCTCTCTTTTACGTGTTTCATAAACACGATACTGGTGACATCAGTGACAGTGCAATTTGTTCAATGTGATAAAAGAGAGTGAGAACATGAGATGAAGATGTCTCTATGAAGCAAGAAACAAAATTAGATAGTCATTATTTATTTAAAGTTATCGCAAGGAACTCCTTGTGATGTTTAAATACATGGTTAAACTGTAAGGAATCCGTGACATTAGTTGATTTATCTTCTAATGCTATTCTGCATGATTATCAAGTTCAATAGGATTCATTTACAAATCACGTAAAAACTACAATAATCGACAGTTGTATACCAAATCGAGTAGTTGGTCAAACTCACTTTATTGGATACATACATTTTCTAAATTAACTAAAAGTTTGTAATGAAAGTATTATATACATTTCGAACGTGATCCCAAATCGATTCTCCAATTACAATCCAGACAAAATTAAATAGAAAATTGTATATTTCAAAAATCTCATAAAAAATCAGTCCATATTGACCAACCCTCTATCACTTGCACGCTATATAATAATATTGTAACCACAATGTAAATTATGCACAAATCAACGTTATGTTGCGACGCATTATTTGTTGATAAATATAATATCCAATTGAATTGAATTGAATTCTCAGTAATTCTCAAGTAATTCTTCTTGCTGTCTGTTGTCGCGAGACCACTGGAGCGAAGAAAAGTAACAGATATGTGGAAGACTGCCCACTTCAATAATTAGTTTTAAAGTTAGAAGCTTACATTACAGGTTATGACTTCCAACGGTTGATTTCTATATCATAGTCGTCACTCGATGTATATATTAACTCTTGATTTTGCTTTGCAATGCATGTAAGGTATAACTACATTTCAGATCACACTCTTCATTACAATTACCATAACATTATAACTAGTGAAACATTGAAGAACAATAGACCAGTTCGTAGTTAGCACATTGTACAAAAGACTCCAAATATTCACAGATATGTTAAATAGAGGAGTCCCATTTCTTTTTGTGCAATTTAGAGTAGTTCTCTGCCAAAGTCATGGATGCGCTTCATGAACGCCTTTTGTTTGCACTCTTGAGGAGAATACTTCCAACTGTGTATCATAGCAATGTACCGTCGGTGCATCGGTGAATAATGATTACATAACTTTCATGAGCACGAATCCAGTTTTCGCGTCGGTGGGTTTTACAATTTTGCACAAATGACCTGACCATGCGCAGATTGTATCTTCATCTACATAATTTACGAACTGGCTTATTGTAAACTTTTGCTGAGTGGATGGCGACTTAACAATTGCATATTATATTTTCAACCTCACCTCTGAAAAAAAGATAACTTGCCTATTAAAATAACTTTCAATTGTAGCAAATATAGAAAGTAGTCAGTCTAGTCCAAAATGTGTATGGTTTTAAACATGTGTCAAATAAAATCACATTGGCCAGGAAAAATTTAAATCTGTGGCATTCTTTATTAACTCTTACAAAAAGTAATAAATTCAACTTTCACTTCGGAAAATAAGTGGTAGAAAGATAAAGGGGAAAAGCTAAAAACCTCGATAATTATGAAATCATTAAAATATAAAATAAGAACAGATATTTATTCATACATTTCATTCTTTTTAATAAAACATGTTAAAGTGAAACAAGTTCCTCGAGTATTAAAATGGAGGGCAAATGTTCATTCTTTGTTTAAAACAGATTATGCATAACAGTTTCTACAGTAAGTTTCTAAGATTGATAACTTCGATTTTTATATTTCAATGCAAGCCCTGCAGAATACTCTTGCTATTACATAGAGACAAATCAGTAAATAGCTTCTCCAGAGACATAATACGGGCGATGGAACTCGTCGTCCTCTTCGAAGTTGGGATCATAACGTCTCGAATACGGTGGAAGGGTGTCTTCGAAGTCATTCAGAGACGGTTGAAGGCGATCGACAGGAGAGGCCGAGTATCCATGTGGGCGTTGACTACCTCTATGGGAAGGTCGGGCGACACTGCCTCTCGGGGGTGACTTGTGGGTAAAGGGAAAGCACAGTGGGGTTTTTGTTATGAGGAATTGTATTATGAAATAAAGTAAGAAGTACAATTAAACACAGGAATGACAAAAAGAAGTATCACATTTAATTATCAGGGGATTGAATCAATAAAACAAAATGTGAGAAAGAAAAAAGAAAAAGGAAAGATGAAAGACGAACTACAATCACGAGATGGAAAACAATGGTTTCAAATGTTATCACCAAAAAGTGGATGGATGAAACAGTTTGGCATTTAAGCATATTTTACAATTTAAACAAAAGTTGAAATATATGATTATAATTACCATATGATAGTCAGGTCCTCTCGACCCAAATGGAGAGTCCATATGTCCTCTCCCGTCGCTCAAGTACCAGTTTCTAGTGCCATCACCATACAGAGCAAACGGGGGTATAGGGCGGGGAGCAGCGTATTTCCCGTAGAGGTGCGCAAAGTCCCGGTCCACGTCGGTCTTGAAGGCTCGACCTCCATCTCTAGTGCGATGAGTAGGATGACCGCGGACATTATAGGGCGATCGGGCGTAGTGCTCCTTGTTAATTAAGTTTGCCCTGGACTGCATGAACACGCACGCGGTACACGTGAGGATAATGAACAGCAGAAAGACGACGCCCAGACCGACTGACAAGGCGATGATGGTACCCGTCGAAAGCCCACCTTGGATAACAAAAGATAGTAAAGTTTCGCTGTGAGATATCTCAATTCGTTCGATTTGATTTGAATCAGGCTTACTCACATACAGGACAGGTGTATTGTGTTATAAATAAAATTTGCTTATCTAAACTTATCTAGAAATAGTCACTAAACACGACCGCAACTACTTTTTAGAATCAGTAGGCTTGTTCAAACAGGACAATAAGGTATTACGTAATCAGAACATGTTTTCGATGGGATCTACAAAATGGTAGTGAAAATGCCCTTGAATTTATTTTCGAAAATAGTAGCGATCGGGTTATAATTGAAATGACTTAAATGAGGTGCATTTTTTTCTACATAATGATATTTTCATGGCATAATTACGAGTCGCCTGTGAAGTGCAATTACATCACGGGATGTTCAAATAGCATAAAATATCTTTGTATTCCACACCGAGCAAGGGCATTCCTACATTCTGTTACGGCCATAATTTTGTATTATCTAGGATGAGAGAGAAGAGACCTTACCTGTGCACACCCTACCAGGCCTGCGGGCGTCAGGTGACCGGTCAGCGTAACCCTCACGGCATGTACAGTTGTAAGACCCTTCCACGTTCACGCAGTCGGCATTATGCGAGCAGTCGTTGTCAGAAGCCGTCAGACATTCGTTGACATCTGAATAAAAATGGACTTGATTTTGAAAATGTCGCACACTCAATATCTCAAAGACAGTGACAAATTTAGTGCTGGGAAGTACATGTAAGCCAGGAAATAAAACGCCATTGGTGTTCATAATTAACCCGCATAAAAACGAAAAGTAATCATGATAACAGTTTACTTACGACGACTTACAGGACTTACACGTCTTATGATTAAGTCAAAGAATAATAATTTAAGATTTGTATTTGTAATTAGCATAATCTATTAAAAACCATAGATTTCACTGTTTCTCACATGTTTTTTTAGGGTTAAGAGGTTAAACAAGAGAAATTCAGCATAAAATGGGGGCGAATCTTTCTGCGTGTACTTACGGAATTACAAATTGGTTTCAAAAGGGATTGTGCCACCCCCCCCCCCCCCCAAAAAAAAAAAAAAAAAAAAATCGCCACTGAATAGTAAAATCGCGTTCTAAAATATTTTTGACTCACCTGTTGCGACCAAAGAATCCGGATCAACACCTATGGAGCTGCCACCAGATGTGATGTTACCATTGCCTAGATCTGATAGGATCATTTGTTGGAGGTCGTTCGGCGACATCGGTTCGTCGGTACCGATTTCGAACGTGGCAATGACACTTCCACTTGTGAAGATGATACGGGCGAGGCGTCGAAGAATGCGTACTTGAAGCAAAAGCTATGAACATCGGAAAGCATATTAAATATATGATTATGATTATCCTTCTTAAAACTGATAAAAGTATATTGAGTTATTCAATCAGCTAGACCAGTGAATAACCATGGTAACAAAATCAAAATTTGGGTTTCAGATACGCAATCATTGAAGAGTTTTAGAATTTTAATATTGATTGACATAAGTAGAAACTGTTTTATCAACAACAACAGGTGGCTAAATCAAATTCATGGGCCGTAATCAATTCAATAGCCGCGTCCTACACTACGCCTAGTCAAGCATGTATGCGGTGCCACTGTACCTACTTAAAATAAATTTGTTTTTATCATAAGTTGGCACAATGTAAGCTGGTAAGTATTATTTTGTGACAACTACTCCACAAAACCTACTCCTGTGATAACTATTTCCCGGATAGCTACCTCCCTGATTACCAATCCTTAGGACAGTCCCTGAGAAAATCACCCCCTGATAACGAGCCCGAAACAACTTGTCCCCCGGATAACAAAACCAGCGGAACACCTACTGGACATCTATTTATAGCACAACAAGTCCCCTAGGATAACTGCAATCGGGACAACATCCATGAGGGTAATCGTCTTACGAGGTAATTGTATCGGGGAAAGTGGTCCATAGGGAGTGGGCACTGACAAGAAATGTTCAGGATTGTAATCAAAATCTTACCAATCTTCTCAGTATGAACGCTAGCCTAATGTACTCTGAACTCGTGACGTCAGTAAGGGCAATAGTAAATGATATTGACCCGCCATTCAATGACGTGATGGTGAGCGATACCTCGAAGGAGTATGCAACTGTATCAAAGAAAATCAGAAAATGTAAATAACAGTCAAAATGAGGAGTCCACGGTTTCATCCAGTGGCCTGAGCAAATCATGATACATTTTTAATATGCCCCAAACCGCAGTTATATACAATGTATACGTGGGTATAAGAGAGAGGGTGAATAAGATGAATTTCAACTGATTATTTCCCGCCGCCCCATACAAAAAGGACGTTCTTGAAAAATTGCCTCATGAAAATCGGTGTTAGATATGTTTTCGCTTTTAAAAGAAATGTCAGAAAAATTGAAGTTGAAAATCCGCTTAAATCTAGCCACTCACCCTCACACTGGCCACTTGCGTTCTCTACATAATCAGGACCACATTCACACATCTCTTCAGTGTTGCAAACCTTCAGCTCACCACAGCTGTTGCCACTAACACAAGTCACCGGTTCTGTGATACAAGTAATATAAATACACACGACTTCAAATAATTAATGGAGAACTATGATCGCAAAAGTTTTCAATAAAGTAACCTACGGCTACGTCTCTGTTTAAATGGACCGTAACAGGAAAACGATATGTTACGTAATCCAAAGTTTTTTCAAACATGATTTCTATACGCCTACAATAGATTATTGAATGCCCTTACGTTGGTTTTCGAAAGTCTTTGCAATCGTGCTAGAACAATATTTATCATCAAAGATAAAACTGTGTCTTAATAATTATTCAACACTAAAGACTTGAAATGCTTAAGTTAAGAAATTGCTGAACAATATTTTAAGTATAGATCCTTTCAACATGAACACGAAGAAGTTTGTCAAGAAATGAAATGTAGTAATCTTGAACAAGTTGAAGGTATTTTTTTCCCATACCGACCAAAGCTACTATATAGCTACAATATAGCTTATTGACCAACTAGAGTTTGAATTTGATAAGATATCAAATGAAATTATATCTAATGTAAAGTCATGTTTACGATTCCATAATGCAATTCTGTAATACACTGTACCTGATAATGTAAGTGACGTGATTGTTTTGTGATCTTAACTTACCGATCTGGCATCGGTCTCCCGAATAGCCTGCAGAGCATTCACAGAGAAAACGGTTCGCTAAACTACTGCATGCTCCACCATTCTGGCACGGCGATGCAATGCATTCATCTTCATCTATAAGAAGAGACAAATATAATGAATAAATCAACAAAATATGTTAGTTAAAGACTTAAAGTAACTGAACATAACGGTAATTTGTTCGTTACGTTTTGTTTTCGTTTGCGTTTGTTTCCATACGGTGTTTAGTGTTTAGTATCATGAATATTGTTGTCATTACCAGATTCTCTCGTACATAAAGTTTTCCTTTTAATCTTAGTTGGTCTACAAGAATATTCACTATTCACTATTTTTTTCTTTTTCATTACATTTTATCCCATTGTAAACAACATTCCTACATCCGGAACATCACCATATGCATGGTTTGATATAAAATAATAAAAAATAGCAAAGAATATATGTAGTCCAAGTTTCTCATTTCGTCAAAAATAAGATAATTATATTATCTCAAGGCAAACCCTGTAAATGTACACCGTCGTTAACAAAAGTTTACACGAATCTTTACCTGTTCCACAGTCATCTCCGCTATATCCGTCAGCACAAGTACATGTATAACCATTGACTCCGTCCGAACAAGCCGCACCATTGAGACAAGGATCTGAGCTGCATTCATTGATATCTGTGTCGGGGGATACAAATACACATGTTGGATATATATTACAACAGAAAAGTAATAATATAATGATTAAAATGATCTAACCTCAGAAATAACCTCGGAAATTAGCATCTATTGTTAGTAAAATCAAAGAATTAAAAGAATACCTGTTCTACAGTCATCTCCGCTATATCCGTCAACACAAATACAGCTATAACCATTGACTTCGTCCGTGCAAGCCGCACCATTGAGACAAGGATCTGAGCTGCATTCATTTATATCTGTGTCGGGGGATAAAAATACAAAAATGTTTGATATATAATGGAGCAGGAGAGTACTATTATAATGAATAAAATGATATAACCTCAGAAATAACTCGGAAGTAGCATTTATTGTTATGCCTAGGTCAAATATACACCGGGCCTCGTACGCTTTTCCCTACCCGCGGCGGCTTGCCGTGGATTTTAGAGACCGTACGGAATCCTTCCGAATTTCATTTTTGCGGCGCCCGTTAGGGTGCCCGTCGGGTTCCGGTCGGATTCCGGCCGAGTACCGGCCGATAAGCTTACGGGCTCCGTCCGATGAACATGTGCCTTTGACATCCACGCCTCCATTAAGAACTGACAGAAAAAAATCGTGAGAGACCTGTCCCCCCCCCCCTTCCCCAACTACGGGAACGGAGGTACCTATTCATGTTCCCAAGATCTCCAGTAAAGGAGTACTTTTCACGCAACAAAGTGCTCGTAATACACACATAATCGGCCCATAATGACGTTACAGACCGGACTTAGGGGGTGTTTTCAAAGGAAGGGAACTTGCATACGCGTACCCTAAATAACACCGATTGGGGGGCCGGGCGTCCGGGCACCGACCGGACCCCGCATGGGACCCGTATTGTGCCCCACGGGCCCTTCACGTGCTTTCTACGGCCTTAAGTTCAGATAAAAACGTCGGGAGAATTGGCAGCAGCCAACTCAGCACCACGGCGCCCGTAGGGTGAAAATATCTCGGCGCCCTTAGGAACTGTACGGAAGCCAGCCGGGCATCGGACGAAAATTTAAAAAAAATGTCTGTTTTACTCGCCGTACGGGCCCCAGAGTGTATGAAAGCCCCATTAGTAAAATCAAAGAATTAATAGAATACCTGTTCCACAGTTATCTCCGATATATCCGTCAACACAAGTACATGTATAACCATTGACTTCGTCCGAACAAGCCGCACCATTGAGACAAGGATCTGAGCTGCATTCATTGATATCTGTGGCGGGGGATAAAAATACACAAATGTTTGATATATATTACAACATAAAATTACTAAGTATAATGATTACAATTTTATAACCTCAGAAATAAACCGGAAATGAGCATTCATTGTTAGTAAAATCAAAGAATTAATAGAATACCTGTTCCACAGTCATCTCCGCTAAATCCGTCAACACAAATACAGATGTAACCATTGACTCCATCCGAGCAACCCGCACCATTGAGACAAGGATCTGAGCTGCATCCATTTATATCTGTGTCGGGGGGGGGGGAGGTAAAAATACACAAATGTTTGATATATTGTAAGATTGTAAGATTTTATTGACTCTATCGACCCCCTCTCGGGGTATGAGAGTACAAACATATTTACAACATAGTATCAATATAACAATAGTATAACAATGATAAACATGTGATAACATGAAAATTGATAAACATAATAAGATAGTATAAACAAAGACAAACATGTGATAATATGAACAATGATAAACATTTGATAATATGAACAATAATAAACATGTGATAATATGAACAATGATAAACATGTGATAATATGAACAAATAAACATATTTACAAATCAAGGCGAACTGGGCAATTCACCCTCCTACCGCTACGAGTGTGCCTAACAACATTGCTTATTTGTGAGCTATCATTTGCAGTATTACCATTTACCCTTGAATCTTTTGAAAAATATGACATAATGATTCTAACAAATTTTGCTAATTTCTTTAGCTGGCAAGCGTGAGCTGTATTAAAAACCTTTCCATGTGCAACGCACTTGGTCTTAAGCTACTACCACACAAGTTATTTGGTATATACATTTTTCTTTCATTTTGAAAGAATGGACATACAAAAATATAATGAAATTCATCACCAATATCTGTTGGTGTACAGAGTGGGCATTGCAAATCATCTACTACATTTGCATCAAATCTACCTTTATTAACTGGTAATCTATGTGTTCTGCATCTAAATTTACTTAAAGTTATTGCTTCCTTCTGACATAATATCTGCAGGTATTTTTCATAAACCAACTCATTCTTAAACATCCTATAGTTCGTGCAAATACGATTTGACCAGGTAGCTGCGCTCCATTCCTGAATAGACATGTCAGAAAGCCTGGTTTTCATAGTATTCATAATCCAGGCAGCACTATATCCTTCTCCTTGAGCTCGCCAGACGTTCCCAAGTCCTGCATAATCAAAACTGTCTGCAAGAAACTCGACCCATTGTGACTTTATATTAACTAAACTTTGTCCTTCACTTTGCAACTGCAACAAAAACTTAAAAAGAATTAATGAATACTTTGATTGCTTTCCTTTAACTAATCTAACCCAATATCCAATCATCCTACACTTAATTTTATCGAGTATTTTACCACGTCCAGTTTCACCATAAACCATGCAGTCAGGTGTGCACTTATTTACAAACAATATCGTTCTTAAAAATTTTCTTTGGAAAACTTCAAGTTGATCTATACACTCATAGCCCCAGACCTCAGCACCATATAATAGAATTGGCAAAACTAAGTGATCAAATAAATGACATTGTGTATCAACAGATAAATGCAACCTTTTTGCCTTTACTAACATACTATACATTGCCTTTCGAGCTTGTGTGACCTGTTTAGCAATTGCTTTTTTAAAGTTACCATTATAATTAAACGTCACTCCTAAATATACAAAGTCATAAACAACTTCCAGTACACCACCATCATAAACAAATTCTGGAATTCTTCTAACTTTCCCACGTGAAAAAACAACAATTTTCGTTTTGCTGGCATTAACAGTTAAGTGCCAAGTGTCACAATAATCTTTCACTGCGTTTAGGGCTTTTTGCAACTCTTCAGGAGTTTCTGCTAGAATAATTGTGTCATCAGCATATAACAAAGAAAATAACTCGTAATATATTTCAATACCATCAAAAGGCAATTTATTTTTAATAATAGTATTCAAAAATTCCAAGCCCTTGTACGAGTTTCCTATAGATTGTTGGAAATCGTTGAAATAAATAGCAAACAAGAGAGGTGAGAGGTTTTCACCTTGACGCACTCCAATATTGCATGTAAATAAACTGGACATACCTCCCTCGTTAGCAACACATGATTTAGCACACCTGTACATGTTCCTTATAACGTTAAAAATCTTGCCTTTTACTCCCATTCTAAACATTTTAACCCACAATGCTGCACGGTCAACCAAATCAAAGGCTTTCTTATAGTCAATGAATGCACAATAAAGGCGTTTAGAATTCTTTAAATAAACATCAATAATAGACTTTAAAACATATACATTATCTGTGATTGAATAGTTGGACCGGAAGCCAGCTTGCTCTTCCCCTAACAAACTCTCATCCTCAACAAACTGAGTGATCCTATAGTTCAAAATTGATGTAAACAGCTTACCTAAGCAACTCAATAAAGTAATGCCTCTATAATTATCAGGGTTTGTATTCTCTCCCTTATTCTTAAATATAGGAATAATTATCCCAATACACCATTCTGTTGGAACAATACCAGAATCCAATACAACATTAAAGAACTTAACTACAACCTGAAGAATCTCCAGGGGGCAACTTTTAAGGAACTCATTTCTAATAGAGTCCCTTCCACAAGCTTTAGTATTTTTAAGCTTCTTAATCATCATGTCAACTTCCTTCAAAGTAATCGGAACATCGAGACAAACATTTTCCTGAGATAACTCTTGCATAACAATTGGGGGTTCTGGCTCATCAACCTCCTTATAACTTAAACGACTAAAATGATTTAAAAAGTCCTTTAATGAAACATTTCCAATATCTTTCTCCTTACGTTCATTCTTACCATTCAGTAGCTGCCAATATTCCTTAGGATTTTTTGTCCGCAATGAACGTAATGATTTGTTCAAGTCCTGAAAATATAACCTCTTTTTACAACGTAACAAATTCCTATAAGATTTCCCTGCATCATCATAATTACTTGAATCAACAGGTACATCAGAGTTCCTCATCACTTTTACTTTCCTCTTCCATCTATTTTTAACATTCAAATATTCCTTCCGAGCATTTCTACATTCAGTATCAAACCATGGCTGTTGACTTTGCTTACTCTGACTGTTACCTGATTTACTTCCATCTTTTTTATGATGCTTTAATTTACACACTCCAACTTCCTTTGCCGTACTCAAAAACATATCGCACAAATGTGAATAAAAAATATCAATACCTTCTTGATTAACATCAGCTTCAAGTTGATATACAAATTTATGCATTACCTCGCTATAATCTTTAGTATGCTGCTTAAAGTCTGACATACTATTACTATTCCATTGAAAGACGAGATAATTTGACTTGTCTGGCCCTGTGCGTGCTTCCCTACTTTCATTTCTCAATGAATCACTGTTCAAAATATCTTCAGATTGCAAGGTTAGCATAATAGGGCAATGTACATCAGACAAACATCTATCAAAAATATCAACATCAAAATCTTTTACTAATGGAAATAATCGTTTTGACATAATAGCATAATCAACAGTGCTACGACCACCATTCTTATTAAAACAGGTATACTTTCCAATAGTGTGATCACTACCTGCTCTACCATTCACAATTCTTAAATCAAAACTTTGGCACATCTCAATAACTTTCTTACCATTATTATTAACAACTGTATCATTATTAAAACGAGAATTAAAAATATCTGTATCATACATGTCCAAGTCACCATCACAAGCTCCTAGGCTGGACTGGTCCACAAAATCATCTTCATCCAAAAAATCATCAAGCATCCCTGTTCTGGCATTAAAGTCCCCTAATAAACAAAATGGTGCATTGTGTTTACTTTTAATATCAACGATGTCATTACATAAATCATCGAACAGTTCATGAGAATAATGAATGGATCCCTCACATGGGAGATAAATAGCAACAAGAATAAACGGAAAGCCTAGAAGCTCACTCCCGACCTTCCCCCATATGACGGATTCTGAGAGAGTAGGCTGAATTCGTGTAGAACACTCAAAAATAGAATTTTTCATTAAAATACACATACCATGAAAACCACCATACTGCTGCTTATTCGAGCTCTTTTGTATGCTATGACATTTATATTCGGACAAGTAAGTATTTAAAAGATCAGGTGTATCTGTTTTTGTTTCAGTGAGACATATTATATCAAAAATTTTAGAGTATAAATCCAAAAGTCCAATGTCAAGTTTACTCTTTAAACCATTAACATTAAGGCTGAGCATTGAAAGATTTGAAAGATTTGAAAGATTTGAAAGATTTGAAAGATTTGAGAGAGGGCCGAATACTTCCTAGCTGGAGACTTCAGTAAACAGGCCAGACTGTTTCATTCGATCTTCTGACCATCCTAGCCGACGGAAAAGGTCATCCGGTCCATGAATAATTTGTTTCCTGGGATCACCCTTCAGGATACAGTGCACCTTTCCGTCAATTGTCCACACCCTCTCCACCTGGTCGTCCTGCTTGACGGCGTGTAGTAACTTGGCACGGCCAGGTGCCAAGTGCTCAGACACCATAATGTCTTTGTGTTGAGAGTCCCTCAACTTCCTCTTGTTGCGGAGGATGTCAGTCCGCAGATCCCGGCGGACAAATCTGGCGACGATTGGCCTTGACCTGTTTGGCTGGGGGCGTCCAATCCTATGGCTGGTGCTGATGTCAGCCCCCACCACCTTAATGCCGGTAGACGCGGACACCTCGATGACGACATCATTGGTGTTCTCCCCTTCCTTCTCCGGCACCCCCCGCAGCACGATGTTGTCCCTTCTGGAGTACTGCTCCATCTCATCGAGCCGCACATCATGCTTCTGTAGGGATGCCTGCACCTTCTGCACCGAAACCTTGGGAGACACCTGTGCAGCTATCGACTGCATCACTGGTAGCAATGCAGCAACCACCGCTTTGACAACATCTCCCACTAGCTGCCGGTTAATGCCCCCTTCAGGAATGTGCTCCATCGCACCCTGTACTACATCATCAAGTCTAAATGACACGTCCCCATCGCGAACACCTTCCACCTCCAGCAAGTCAAATGCATTTGCAACAGACATGGTGATAGTTGAATATCGTTGAAGAGAATGACAGTAATACTCAGTGATAGTAATACAGGATAGTACAAAGCAGACAATGCAGTTTTGTACTTACACTAATGTATATAGGTGGGACAATACAAAGCAATATCCAATTCCAGTTCCTGCTGAAGCAAACCAAACTCTAAATTTTACCACTTAATAGTCCCAGTATATATCTACAAGGATGCTCGCTGCTGCTATAGAGTAATACCTCCACATTACTAGCAAAAGATTGTTGGCAAGAGAGTGTAAAACTGGTAAAATTGGTAAAATTCTGAGAGAAAAAACGTAGGTTGACGACTCACATGTTGTATCATAGTGAATCATGTATTGCAACAGAAAAATACTGATATAATGATTAAAATGATCAAACCTCAGAAATATCCTCGAAAATTCATTGTTAGTCAAATCAACGAATTAAAAGAATACCTGTTCCACAGTCATCTCCGCTATATCCGTCAGCACAGGTACAGGTATAACCATTGAGTCCGTCCGAGCAAGCCGCACTATTGAGACAAGGATCTGAGCTGCATTCATTGATATCTGTGTCGGGGGATAGAAATACACAAATGTTTGAAAGGTAATACAAATTTTTGTTATGGGGTCATGAATTTGGTTCAAATAAACATATTGGAAGCATATGCGATTTTACAATATCCAATGATCGTTGTCGCGGTTGAAATCGAGTCTAAAGTGATGAAATTGTAAAGAATAAAGTCTTTATGTTGTATAGCTCCCTCTCAAGACTGATATTACTTAAGCTTTAAAACAATGTTTTTTTCAATACAATCAACCGATTTGCTATTCCCGTTTGGAAATTATCATAACTGCATATTCTGATATTGTCATGGTCGCAGCTACCATGGAATAGCCTTAGGCGCTATTTGAAATATTTGAAGTTTACCGGGAGCACCGGTAACTTTTTAATTATTGAATTTCTCGAAAACAGAAGTGTTTTAGGGGCTACATGTTCTAGTGCTTATAAAACATCTACAGGGGCATCCAAATATATCTAAATTAAGAACTACTATCCATTCAATTTTCAAAATTTCCCCAAACTTTGCATTACCTTTAATATATATTGCAACAGAAGAGTACTGATATAATGATTAATCATTAAAATGATATAACCTAAGAAATAACCTCGGACATTATAGCACTCATTGTTCAGCAGTAAAATCAAAGAATTAAAAGAATACCTGTTCCACAGTCATCTCCGCTATATCCGTCAGCACAAGTACAGGTATAACCATTATAACTGTCCGTGCAAGCCGCACCATTGAGACACGGATCTGAGCTGCATTCATTGATATCTGTGTCGGGGGATTCAAATACACATGTTTGAAAGGTATTACAACAGAAAAGTAATTATATAATGATTAAAATGATATAACCTCAGAAATGACTTCGGAAATTAGTATCTATTGTTAGTAAAATCAAAGAATTAATAGAATACCTGTTCCACAGTCATCTCCACTATATCCGTCAACACAAATACAGATATAACCATTAACACTGTCCGTGCAAACTGCATTATTGAGACAAGGATTTGGGTAGCATTCGTTTATATCTGTGTCGGGGAGATACAAATACACAAGTGTTTAATATACATATTACAACAGAAGAGTACTGATATAATGATTAAAATGATCTAACCTCAGAAATAACCTCGGAAATTAGCATTCATTGTTTAATAGTAAAATCAAAGAATTAATAGAATACCTGTTCCGCAGTCATCTCCGCTATACCCGTCAGCACAAATACAGATATAACCGTTGACTCCGTCTGAGCAATCAGCACCATTGAGGCAAGGATCTGAGCTGCATTCATTGATATCTGTGTAGGGGGATAGAAGTACACAAATATTTGATAAATATTGCAACAGAAAATACTGTTATAATGAATAAAATGATATAACCTGAACAATAATTCGAAAATAGCATTTATTTTTATGCCGAGGACGAATATACACCGGGCCCCGTACGATTTTCACTACCCTGCGGTTTCCCGTGGATTTTAGAGACCGTACGGGACCCTTCCGACTTTCATTTTTGCGGCGCCCGTAAGGGTGCCGGTAGGGTTCCGGTCGGATTCTGGCCGGGTGCCGGTCGATAAGCTTACGGGCTCCGTCCGATGAACAGGTGTACCCATGGCTCCCGGGGCCCGGCCGGCGTCCTCAAGGTACCCGGGTGGGTGCCGTGCGGTGCACTGAACTATGTGCCTTTGACATCCACGCCTCCATTGAGAATTGACAGAAAAAAATCGTGAGAGACCTGTCCCCCCCCCCCCTTCCCCCACTACGGGAACAGAGTGACTGCATTCATATTCCCAGGGTCTCTGGTAAAGGGGTACTTAACGTAACAAAGTGCTCGTAATACACAAACAATCGGCCCGTATTGACGTTACACACCAGACTTAGGGGGGTGTTTTCAAAGGAAGGGAACATGCATACGCGTACCCTAAATAACACTGAGTGGGGGGGGTCCGGGCACCAACCGGAGCCCGCAAGGGACCCGTACGGTGCCCCACGGGCCCTTTACGTGCTTTCTACGGCCTTAAGGTCAGATAAAAACGTCGGGAGAAATGGGAGCAGCCAACTCACGCCACGGCGCCCGTACGGCGAGTGAAAATATCCCGGCGCCATTAGGAACTGTACGGGAGCCGGCCGGGCATCGGACGAAAATTCCCAAAATGTCTGTTTTACTCGCCGTACGGGCCCCGGAGTGTATATGTGAAAGCCCCATTAGTAAAATCAAAGAATTAAAAGAATACCTGTTCCACAGTCATCTCCGCTATATCCGTCAACACAAATACAGATATAACCATTAACACTGTCCGTGCAAACTGCATTATTGAGACAAGGATTTGGGTAGCATTCGTTTATATCTGTGTCGGGGAGATACAAATACACAAGTGTTTAATATACATATTGCAACAGAAGAGTACTGATATAATGATTAAAATGATCTAACCTCAGAAATAACCTCGGAAATTAGCATTCATTGTTTAATAATAAAATCAAAGAATTAATATAATACCTGTTCCGCAGTCATCTCCGCTATACCCGTCAGCACAAATACAGATATAACCGTTGACTCCGTCTGAGCAATCAGCACCATTGAGGCAAGGATCTGAGCTGCATTCATTGATATCTGTGTAGGGGGATAGAAGTACACAAATATTTGATAAATATTGCAACAGAAAATACTGTTATAATGAATAAAATGATATAACCTGAACAATAATTCGAAAATAGCATTTATTTTTATGCCGAGGACGAATATACACCGGGCCCCGTACGATTTTCACTACCCTGCGGTTTCCCGTGGATTTTAGAGACCGTACGGGACCCTTCCGACTTTCATTTTTGCGGCGCCCGTAAGGGTGCCGGTAGGGTTCCGGTCGGATTCTGGCCGGGTGCCGGTCGATAAGCTTACGGGCTCCGTCCGATGAACAGGTGTACCCATGGCTCCCGGGGCCCGGCCGGCGTCCTCAAGGTACCCGGGTGGGTGCCGTGCGGTGCACTGAACTATGTGCCTTTGACATCTACGCCTCCATTGAGAATTGACAGAAAAAAATCGTGAGAGACCTGTCCCCCCCCCCTTCCCCCACTACGGGAACAGAGTGACTGCATTCATATTCCCAGGATCTCTGGTAAAGGGGTACTTAACGTAACAAAGTGCTCGTAATACACAAACAATCGGCCCGTATTGACGTTACACACCAGACTTAGGGGGGTGTTTTCAAAGGAAGGGAACATGCATACGCGTACCCTAAATAACACTGAGTGGGGGGGGGTCCGGGCACCAACCGGAGCCCGCAAGGGACCCGTACGGTGCCCCACGGGCCCTTTACGTGCTTTCTACGGCCTTAAGGTCAGATAAAAACGTCGGGAGAAATGGGAGCAGCCAACTCACGCCACGGCGCCCGTACGGCGAGTGAAAATATCCCGGCGCCATTAGGAACTGTACGGGAGCCGGCCGGGCATCGGACGAAAATTCCCAAAATGTCTGTTTTACTCGCCGTACGGGCCCCGGAGTGTATATGTGAAAGCCCCATTAGTAAAATCAAAGAATTAAAAGAATACCTGTTCCACAGTCATCTCCGCTATATCCGTCAGCACAGGTACAGGTATAACCATTGACTCGATCCGAACAAGTCGCACCATTGAGACACGGATCTGAGCTGCATTCGTTTATATCTGTGTAGGGGGATAGAAGTACACAAATGTTTGATATATATTGGAACAGGAGAGTACTGTTATAATGATTAAAATGATCTAGCCTCAGAAATAACCTCGGAAATTAGCATTCGTTTTTTAGTAAATTCAAAGAATAAATAGAATACCTGTTCCACAGTCATCTCCGCTAAAGCCGTCAACACAAATACAGGTATAACCATTAACACTGTCCGTGCAAGTCGCAGCATTGAGACAAGGATCTGGGCTGCATTCATTTATATCTGTGTCGGGGGGGGGGGATAAAAATACACAAATGTTTGATGTATATATTTTGCAACAGAAGAGTACAAATATAATGATTATAATGATATAACCTCAGAAATAGCCTCAGAAATCAACATTTATTGTTGGTAAAATCAAAGAAATAAAAGAATACCTGTTCCACAGTCATCTCCGCTATATCCGTCAGCACAAGTACATGTATAACCATTGACTCCGTCCGAGCAAGTCGCACCATTGAGACAAGGATCTGGGCTGCATTCATTGATATCTGTGTCGGGGGGGGGGGTATTTAAAACAAACACAATTGTTTCTGTTTCAAGAAATCTTAATTCTCCCTGTAAATTATTTTATAGAAAAGTATTGTACATAATATCAATGTAATATGCAAATGAATATGAGGAACGAAAGACGATAGTCCCCCAAACAATAGAACGAAATATTCCAATACGAGTATTATGTGTGAGTGGTATACAAATATTTACTGCTTCCAGGGACACGGTAAGATTATTACCTAAGGTGATCTCGAAACTGTAATTAGCTTCGATAACTCACCTCCTACGTCAATCTAAAACAAAGAATTTTAATAAAATATGCCTGTCACTGTAATGCATTTATGTGTAGAGTCTAGGGAGGAAATTTACTGGTCTAAAAGCATTGAGCGTGTCTCAACGCGCGTCTCCGTTGGCGAGTTCATGTGGAATCATTGCGTTCTTGCATTGTATACAAGTGTTGAGGTTAAATTCCAAGCCCGGCATTAACGATTGCGGTGAATCGGTACCTTGTAATGTTTGGGTAATAATAGGTGCAGGGCCCACAAGAAGAATAGTATAAATAGTGATATGGCTACCCTGGGTAAATAATTGAACATGATTAGAATAATCTGCTTTATCTGACAACACGCATCAAACTTGTCGTAAGCAAGAAAAGTGAATTGTATGATAGGTTATTCGGGGTGCTGTACCTGTACAGTTTCGACCAGGAGGAACCCCTGATGGTCCGGTGTTTTCATACCCTGGTAGGCAGGTGCATTCATAACTGCCATCTGTGTTCATACACTGAGCGTACGGAGAGCAGTCATTGCCGGCTGAATCCTCACACTCGTTTGCATCTGAGAATTAGAATCAAGAAGTCAAATCAGATAATAGTTGAAGATTTTTTTCTTCAGGCAGGGGAAGAAATATTTTGTTAATATATAGGAGAATGGGGAGAGTAAGAGAAGATGCAGATCGGTAGATAGATAAAGGGATAGACAAAGATGAAGAAAGAATAGGTTTATCTTGGAGCTCTGACCGCTTCTGTTTAAAAAAAGTTTATATTCATTTATGTATGTTTTAATGTAAATACTGATGTTTTATTTATTCAGAAATGGAAAAAATTGAAATAAGATGAAATGAAATGAAAATGAAATGAATGATTCAATAGACAGTCGTGTTCTGAATCAATACGATTAAGGCCTTTTCGATTGGTTAACAGCGATAAAGATATCCATGTGGCCGTTTCAATATATCATCTTCATGTTTAAATACCATATCTCTAATCTGCTGTCAATATCCCACACTAATCGACTTCCTAACTTTCAAAAGCTGGAACAAACTCTTTTGGGAACTTTTCTAGGATTGCTCTCTTCACCTTTTACCTTCATTCGTAACATATTTTATGGTATCTTTATCTCTGATCTCTAAATAATGAAATAATTTAGGTCTACATAATACAGATCTCGCGTTGATTAGTAAAAGAGGAATGAAGATGGTATTGGAACAAATTAGTTGATCAATTTGTACCTTGAACAGCCGATGCGTTCCACACGATTGTGAATGCCGTGCCACTCTCCCGTAAGATATTCTCATCAGTGGTAGTAGCTGCTACCACTGAAGCTAGATTGATGTTTGAAGAGTTATTTGATGAGTTCTCCCGAAATATTAAGGCCATTTCCACCACGATACTTCCACTGAATATATTCCGTGTCACTACATCTACCAGGGCAACACTGAGGGAGGCGTCATTTCCAATGATCTGGCGAATCTGGAAGGAAATTAATTAGAGATGTCCAGGGTAACCGTCTTTTCGGTTTGTTTTATGTTGGACTGATGTAATAGTTATCACTTAATGCGCATTATGTGCACTACGGCGACATCCCCATCAAAACGATGTTAATCATCTCATCTTCGTCATCATTATCATCATCACTATAACCATCATCACATTACCACCACCACCACCACCTCTTCAACCCCATCACCATTGCCTCTTCCATCATTACTATGAGTAATACCTCACCAACTACACCACCATAACCTCCATCACTACTATTATCACCAACACTGGTACTATACCAACATCATTATTACCGTCATCGCCACAATTACCACCACCACAATCACCAACAATTTCACCACCAGCACCACCAGCACCACCAGCACCACCAGCACCACCAGCACCACCAGCACCACCATCATCAACATCACCATCATCACCATCTTCTTTGTCACCAATTCCAGCTCCTCCATCACAAGTTCACAACCATCACCAGCACAACTACCATAATTCACCTTACCAGCACAATTAGTTCATATTAGTTATTACCTCGTACTCGATCCCTTGTCTAAATTCTTCTCCTTCAGCCCCCATCAGTGAAGGATCATATACAGCTGGTTGTCCATCCACCTCTGATACTGTGAGAGTCATCGAATATTCTTTAACCTCTAAGAATAATGATCATATGTAAACGGAGAAAAATGTCATTTTCTACAGTCTGCTAGAATATTGCGGTGTCTCTCGAGTTCTAACGTATTGGTTCTACGCACTATTGGGGTAATTGGTTGTTTGACCACTGACTATTTAATCCAATTCGTCACAAGTCCCATTCTGGTTAGAGCTAGGATTATAATTAGGATTAGTATTAGGTTTGAGGTTAGGTCAAGTCTACCTGAGAAACATAGGGCCAACGTTGTCGTTGTAAATCTTGTAATCTTTGAAAATACTCATACGAAGAAGATTGTACAAAATTTAAGAAGCAAGACAGAGGAATGGGACCGAGAGAAGGGAGATAGAAGAGGGAGAGAAGGAGGAGAGAAGAGAGACAGAGAGACAGAGAGGGGACAGATGGGGGTGGAGAGATAATAACTAAATAAGGGGAGGGGCAATATAATATCCAACCGTTATATACATGTATATTATACAATTGGCGATGACTTTAAACTATTATGATCAGCTATCGTACACACGGAAAGTGATATAATTAAGAATTACATCGAAAATAGATTGACAATTTAGATTAACACCGTCAAGACTCTGTTTTTTTAAACCATCGTACCTGTTACTCCGATGCATATATCGTTTTCACCTCGTATTCTATCTCGTTCGCATACACACTGGTTGGCAGTGCAAACCTCGTTGACTCCACAGCCTGTGTTTACGGTACATTCGCTATTCACTAGAAGCAATTTGAGAGGAGACGAATCATAGAAAGAATCAAATCGGCAACAAAATCTAGCGTATTTTGAATAGTTGGAAAGAATGAAAAAATTAATGTAAAAATTATGACTGAATAGTTTTAGAAAGATGCAAATAGCTATTGGAAAGTTCATGCTTTTGAATTATGCAACCAACCAATCAATGAATCATGTAACTAATTAATATTCAATCTATTAATCAATCATTTGTTGATCATTCGTGTCAATAATAATAATATTAATAATAATATGGATATTTATATAGCGCCGGTTTCCGCCAGGCTCTGACGCTCGTGGCGCTTTACATCTTTATGTAGGTACTCTAGTTACCCTGGTTATAGCCGAGCTGCCGAAGTAACTAGCGCTCAAGCATATCAGGTACCCATTTACAGCTGGGTGGAGAGTGGCAAATGTAGACTAACGTCTTATCAAAGGACACTAGTGCCGCAGCGGGACTTGAACCCCGTACCTTGTGATCTGCAGTCGGGTGACTTATCCGCTAGACCACAACACCTCTACAATAAATTGAACAAAGTGCCACTCGATCATCATGTGACCTACCTCAGTTGTCAAAAATATAGCTTTTAAATATGTCCGTATTGAAAAATAAGAAGGAATTTCTATTTGTGTATTTTCTTACCATGGTCGCAAAGAGCGCCAGCATATCCAGCCGGGCAATCGCAGTAGTACCCACTGATGACGTCACGACACACTGCACCATTCATGCAGTTACTAACTCGACAGTCATTGATAACTGGGGGAGAAAAAGAAGTAAACATGGACTAGGCCTATGTGTGTAACATCCATTGAAAGGAGTCGGACGTATAGTGATGTTATAGACTTATTGTCGAAAACGCTTCAACAAAATATAACATGTTTGCAAAGAAACCAGTTTAAATGTCATTTGAAACTTTGCCGACTGCGAAAAAGTTGTACGCTTTGTCATTTCTCTGTGCAATTTACTTGTCAATCACGTAAAATCGTTAAAATATGTCATAAGCAAATAAAACAATAGTAAATGATACATGTTGTTTTCAGAACGACAGGGACAAATCCTGCATTCGTTTCCATGCACAAGAAGAGGGAGGTTCATAACGTACCTACCGTTATAAGCTGATAATACATTCGAATAACAATGAATATGATGTTTATCATACTACATGAGACTGGCAATAAATAATTGTATTAACTATTTCCTTGCCGATTGTACAAAAGATATAAACGTTTTCTTGGGCGCTAATGTCTTTATGTATATGTATGCTTCATTTACAGCAGCAATCATATTCATTTTTTATTATGATATACAATTCCTACATAATCTGTGCGCGCTCTAGTACGAAAACTTTCATCGAGTAATTTGCCTTCTTACTTTCCTTGTTGGTACAGTAGAGGTCATTGACAGTTTGGTTCCGGGGCACAGACGTATCTGCCTGTAAGATTCAAGACGGAAAAAAGTTAGGATGATAACATTTCATTTTTGTCATATCATTTTTTTAATTTAATTACGGTAAACTTCCTTCAGCCTAAACGACTGTTTACATTATATTCTACATTTAGAGGTAGGGGTTCTAGAGGAGGGCTTTGGGGCTCAAACCCCCATCTCCAAAAAACAAATCATACCCCCATAAATAAATTGATTATAAAAGAATTTAAGCGAAGCAAATGTGTTTTTTTCCCTCCTCCTCCTCCTCCTCCTCCCATTCCTCCTTCCCCCTCTTTCATTATCTTCTTCTTTTATCTCTTCTTCTAGTTCTTCTTCTCCTTCTCCTCTTCCGCCTCCCCATCCTTTTCACCCCCTTTCTTCTTCTTCTTCTTCTTCTTCTTCTTCTGCTTCTTCTTCTTCTTCTTTATCTTCTTTTTCATCTTCTTCATCTTCTTCTTCCGCTTCTTCTTCTTCCTCCTCTTTTTCTTTCCTCTTCTTTTGTTGGCATTGTGCCCCCTTCGATTGTTACAATGTTAGTATCCTTGATGTATCCCTACAATTAACATAGACCGCCTTACCTTGTGGTATGGACAGTAGTCAGTTAACGTTTCACCTCCGTATTGTGGAACTACATCTGGCTGTACACCATCAATCTCCGTAAATACCTGGAAGACGAAGGATTCATATCACTTATTAGGCGAAAAGTAAGCGTAATCAATTAAACCTTTCATTGAGAGGCTCCGGTTAAAATTATTGCTTATCTGAGATATCTGGTACAGTTCTCTTACGGGGGTGGGGGGGGGGGGGGGTAGCCCCAAAGAAAATAGTCGGTATGCCAGTCATCAAAGATTTAACATCACGTTACCAGCGCCTCAAAAAGTGCATTGTACATTTGATTCATATCCTTCATAAAAAAAAGATAAAAATGAAAACATTTAAGTTATAAAGAAATACATTTCAAAATGATTGGCAACCCACACCCTTGTCCAAAATATCCCAGCAAAACAAATACACACTAATCTTGCGAAGGCCGCTGCCCATGCAATTCATGGCGGAAATATTTTATGTCACGTGAGTTGTCCGTGACCAATCATGGCATGGGATTGTTTGTATACGACAATATTTACTATTGACCGATACCTGGTAGATGGTAGGGACGCCGTTGAAGTACTGGTAAAATGAACAGTAGGCCACATCAACCCCTTCAGCATGGCAGGTAGTCTCAAAAGGCACGTTGCACCATGGAGCAATAGAGAGGCCTCTGTAACAAGAAAAATAGAGATTGATTGAAGGATTCATTGGTTGAATGGAGATGAGAGGAGAGAGGGGGCATACAGATAGATATAGCGTGGTGAAGTGTGACGTCATCAAAAAATCCATTTTTTTTTTTTTTTTTTTTTTTTTTTTTTTTTTTTTTTTTTTTTTTTTTTTTTTTTTTTGCTCTGATTTTTTTTTTTTTTTCTGCTAGAATTGCTCTTTTTTTTTTTTCATTTTCCGAAAGAGCATAACAAATAATGTCCAAATGTCGAAAACCAATTGGATATGTTAAGTATTGGCTGAGATATGACCATCTCAATAAATATATTTCCTATAGGAACTCAGTGTTATTTGCTCTGGCTCCTAACCATTACGAGCCAGAGCAAATAACACTGAGTTCCTATAGGAAATTTGTTATGATGTCACAGCTTCGGTACTCTATAGACAGAGGAAGCTAGAGAAACCACAGGATACAGAGAGGTGTCTCGAAAACCAAATTACTTTCTACTTTCTACTTCATTTGGCCTTTTTCGTTTAATATGGAAATACAAATATCTCAATTTTTCGTCTCCAACTCACATTTAGACTAGAATGAATGTCAGTGAATATCACTGAAGGCATGGAAAATACGTCACATGAATCGCGTGGGTCGTGCACATGGAGAAGCAATTTAATTTATTGATACACCATACAGAACTTTAGCTAGGTCTATTAGAAATATTTTATTTCGCTATTTGCTTTTTTGATTGTGAAGCATTGAATGAAAAGACATCTATTGTTTACATTATGTATGATGTACTAAATACTGATTATTCAATGCTGACTAGATTATATACACATGAGCACAGTAGACAAAATACAAAGAGATCTTCTCTTACGCATTCGTTTTTTGGTCGATCCAATTCTTGCAACTCTTCTGGACAAAGTCACAGCCGAGATCCTTCCCCCAGTTCATGATATCAGCCATTTCATAGTCGGGTATGTACCATCCAGTGTCTTCCATGAGAGCCAGGGTCATACGAGAGAAGACGCGTGTTGGTGTCAGATAACCGTTCATTGACTCAGTCTGTTAACAAATAAAGACAGCACATAGCATTCTTGATTAATCTCTATGTATCATTTTTTATTTTCCACGAAAACAAAACACTGGTGAAGGATAGACATTCATGGACTCCGTCTGTAAAATATTAGAGCGCTTTCACAAACACGACGGAAGCAAAGAGGACAGGAGGATTACGGGGATACAGCTCTTCCGTCGTGTTTAGAGAACAAACGCTATAATGGTCACGTACGGTCGTGAAAATCAACAGGACGGAGAAAACTCTGGTTCGTGCATGCGCAGATTGTTTTTAGCTCGCCGTACCGTCGTCTTTGCCTTCCGTCGTGTCTGCGAAAGCGCTTTAGTAACGCAGGCGAAAGACAACATCAAATGTTTCCCAAACGAAAAATCAACGTCACGGGGAAGCAAGAGGACGCATCGCGTGCGACGGACATGGTACAAGCCATGCATATCCTTGGCTTAGATGACGCACTAAAAATGACGTCATAAGACTGATTGACGCGTCACTTACCGCCATTATCCTTTTCTCAAAATGAGCGAGCGCCGTACCAGCTCCTCCGCCATCTTCTATCTCCAAACCCATGAGAGTAGGACACCCAAAGTGAGCTCTTGCTTCCCTCTGAAAGTCAAAAAGAGATCAAGATTGTGGTAAGTTTCAAGTTTTCAAGTTTCAATTTATTCATGTTTCCAACGAAACATTACAGATCAATTATAAGCATCTAAAACAAATGTAGAAATGCATGTTGGAAACAGAGGGGTCCACTAAAAAGCAATGCTTGTACAAGTGTGAACACCTCATATGATACTTAGGAATAATGAGTAATTCAATTAACTAATCCGTAACTACAAAAGGAACTACAAAATAGTGGTTGGGAAGTGGGATGCCAACAGAGACGAGAAAGGGCCAAGACAATGCTTTACATGACAAAGATAGAAGAACACGGTCATAATACTGAGTTATTAACTGACAATAGTGTAGATTCTTTTATAAACATGTTACACACACAATTTTGTTTTAAAATGTTACGAGAAAAAGTTGACGAAATCGTTTTTCCATATGTTTGTTAACTCAAAGTTTCATGATTCGTAATGTTCGAAATTATGAGAAAGAAATTATCGTTTGTAATTCAGAAAAATGAAAAGGATTTGTATTTGGTTCGTCATCCCGAAACGAAAAAGGGAGGATTCCCTCTTTTTTAATAATTATTATCATTATTAACCATTTCCCCGTTCAAAAATACGAATCCTATTTTATTTCTGGCACTGCGAACTCCTTTCACACTTCTTCCATATAGTAGGTCCATGCTATATCATACAATGACAATGTAATTTTGTTATCAAATTGAGAAACAAACATAAAAGGTGACGGTTAGCGAAATATCCGCAATTGAAAAAAAACATCACTCGGACAGGGTAAGAAAGGAATGAGGGGGCTGCCAGTAATGGCAGCCAACGAGGCCAAGAGACAAGCGATGGATTTACCACGATGTTTGGCGTAACGAGCGCCTGAACGGTACGTTGCGTCGTTCCACCGACGTAGTCCCAGTCCAGCGTCAATTCCTGAATCACCCGACTACTCCACAGAAACAGACCAGATCTGCGGTATAATAAAAAATAATGAAATCATTAATTGAACAAGATGTATCAGCATTTAGATAACAAGGATTTTGTCTAAAAATACAGAGGTAGAACTCCACTTCTTGACGAGTCATATATAAGGGATCATTGTGTTTCAGAGGAGAAATCCACGCTAAAAATTATCTGAAGAGAAATTCAGAAAAATTCTTTGGAGAGGATTCGATATAATTTGGAGAAGATTCAACTCTCAAAAGGAAGGAATTCCTAATAAACATGTAAATCCTGAAGGAGTGAATTTCTACTCTTTTACATTATAGTCGGTTTTGGATGTTAACAAACAAATGAAATGTCTACAAAATAGAAATAATTGCCTAATGTTCCCGCAATGTGCATAAACAGGCAAGTAATCCATTTGTAACGCGAAGTCTTGACTGAAACAAAATCAACTTGATAAGTAAATAATGCGGAGAATGGCAAGGGACACGTGTTCCCGCTTAATCGAGTGTAACGAAATAAGAAAAAAAGAAAAGGCGGGAAGAGGAGAGAAATGTCGAGAAAATAAGACGCTTGCGCCTCCTTCCCGTATCCTCCCCTTAATCAGTAGCCGTGTCAATCTGCATTTCATTTCAAATACGACCGGTGCTCTCCATCCCCATCGTTACAGTGCCCCCCCCCCCCCTCTTCAATGGGTAGATTCGTGCTACGCCACATTCTAACATGATTAGATTTGAATGTAAGGCCATGATATCATACCGGTGCGGTATTTTAGAAGAATACTAGTACGGGGGTATGGGCTTGAGGGTACTTGCATTTAATTTCTATAAATGCCTAGCTTTTATCCATTAAAAAAAATAAGATTTGGATATCTTAATGATTTAGGGAGCTTGAGCCCTCCCCCCCCCCTCCCCTCCTCCTCTAGAACCGCCAATGCACGATGCTACATGATTCTTCTGAGGGCGGGGTGGGCTTGCAGAGCTCCCCGAGCCTCCTCTACAACTGCTTTTCTATAATTTCCCTTGCTTATATTTATACATAATCAAGGAAAAATATGGGGACTGTGCTACGGGGAAAGGGGGGGGGGGGGCTCGATCCCCCTAAGCTTTTTAAAAAAAGATACTTTATACATGGTACTGACACTGGATCTACAGGTGGGTATCCATTCGCTTCTCTTGGTGTCAAAGGGTTGCCGTCTTCATCTCGATAGAGGGCGTAAAGGCTGTGAGAGAAACCCTGTAAAAGATTAAAATCATGTCAAATCATGCAAATAAAATCAAATTTATGGAATATAATCTACGATTATGGATTATCTACAAAATACCAGAGCAAAAATTCTTCTCAGCGATATTTCTATGATATTTTTGCAAACTAACATTTAAAAAATTAAAAAAGCTCGCATAATGCATGTATATCCTATTTTCCCTGAACTCTTTTTTTTACAACCGAGAGAAGAATTAGCACTGATTTCGGAGGTATCGTGGTAAAGTGGTTTATTCATTTGACTATCAATGTAAGGTTTGAGGTTCGAATCCCAGCCTGGCATGCACTGGCGTCATTTGGCAATATATTAATTCACACTCACCGCTGTCCACCCCCAGGAAGATCAGCTTTGATATTGATGTGACTACACTGAGTAAATAAGACCCAATTATTTCATTAATCAATGATTAACATGCGAATCACGTCGGCATTGATAAACTTACCAGAGCATGGAATATCTCGTGTTGGACAGTGGATAAAAGGCGTTCTCTATCCAGATTAAGACCAAAAGGACAGATGTTCATAAAACCCGCAAGTGGTCTAAGAAATGTAAAAACAATTTAGAATATATTGATTGAAGGAAATGATTATGAGACAATGAGTCTGCACGAGATAACTGCCCATCCCGTAAACCAAGACAATGCCTTTTGCTGAAATGATGCAGCTTATCTTGAAAATTAATAAGATCATTACAAATGGGGTATCGTTTCAAAGAAAAATAAAAACACTTTTTAATGATACTAAACATGGTGATGATTATGTCATAGCAAACTTGGGTTTGCAAACCTTTTTTGCGGAGTTTAGTTGCAAAGGTGTTTGCTAATGGAGACAAATCCTCAAATCATATAGGTATAACATCGCTATTTAACAATAATTATAGCTATTTTTGTCACTTGTGGAGTGTGTCTTATGAAGACTGTTTTTTGTTTTCACTGTACTGTACACTCATAGCAGGAACGGACTCTATTATAACCGAAACCCCTATCCTTTGGGGTCAAAATTTGAAAAGGGGCACATTTTGGTCGCTTGTGGCACATCTCTGAATCTCAGTTTTAAAGGAGATGCCGGTCGGTTGCCCCCCCCCCCCCCCTCCCACTAAAGAAAATGAGAAAAACAAAAACGCTTATACCTGTCAGTTATATCATCAATATAACATGCTGAAGCATATGCAATTAGGCCTTCGCCACATTGCGAGGAGAGAGACCCAACGAATAAGGTGAAATGGACGGCTTGAGATAGAGCCGATGTTTCATCAGTCACTCCTCCAAACTCTATACAGTTTGTCCCGTCATCCTCGCAGTCAAAACAAGGCTGTTGGTGCAAATGTTAGAAATAAAACCATTTAAAACAATACGTATCCTTAAAGTAAGTTTCTGCCATCGTTTTATGCTGAAATCATAACTCCTGATACGAATCAAACGATCTATAACTTTCTTTGGTTTCCTTTGAAATCAAAATCAATGGAATTCAATGATTTGCCATTTCAAATGTTGCGAAGGAGGGATTTTGTATTCATTGATTTTTTTTCCTTAAAATTCCAATTCTTTTTCGTTCCCAACGACAGTTTATACAAAACTACAACATAATTATAACAAAGCCTTGTTATCATTTGATAAACAAACATAAATACAACATAATTCATAAAATAAATCACAATCACATAATAGGAAAATATTAACGCACTATACACAATCAATCCATCCAAAAAACTAGAATAAGCATTGCTTTTTTCAGAAAAAGACTGAATACTTTATATGTTATTTTTTAACATACTATTATACAGGATTGAAATTATAAGTTTTTCTTTTATTAAAACACAATCTAGCCCAAAATCCTCTTACTTCCTTTCATCCTCTCTAACTCATTGGACTTACCCCCTCCCCCCCCCCCCCCTCCCCCTCCCGTCTACTTGTGTATAACATAATACTCCCCGATCCGTGGGTGGTGGTGGGGGGGAGGGGTTATCTTGGATGCCCAAGTAGCCTCATAAATGTTCATGTGACATAGACCCCGTGATTTTTTTTCGCTTATTTTTCTTTCTTGGCCATCAGAAACGTAGGGTACCCGGAAGCACGGAGGATTTACGGGTGCACTCCCCCTGACCCTATAAGGGGGTATCTCACTTTAATAGCGGCGAATTTTTGCGAACATAGGGAACTTGGGGTCTCGCCAGGGATAGTAAAAGGTTGTAAAAGTTTCGTAAAGGATGCAAGAAAGTGTACAGACAGTTTTTCTCGTCGCCAAGAAATGTTCAAAATTTGCGAATTTATTTTTCCGCAAAACAGTTACAAGCGTTTGCAAAATAGTCGTAAGCCTTTTCAAACGGTTACGACGTTGTCGCTGAAGTTCTTTTTGATTCGATAATGCTAGCGACCAGGTTATCATATGGTTTCTATATAAAATCGACCCATTGAGTACCAGAAGTTAGAGAAAAGTCCCAAAAATTCAAAAATAGTGGCAAAGGATTGGCAAATAGTTGCTAATATTCGCAAAGATTGTCGCTAACATTATTTTGCTTACAGTCGCTTATAGTCGCCAACTGACTTTCGCAAACATTCGCATTTTATATCACTATGATTATCGAAAAACTGTATTCTTATATGCATGCTGAAAAAAAAATCAAATTAAATCAATTCTAATATAATACCCTCTAACATAATTAATGGGACACCAATGAATAAATCAACCAGGAACCAATTATTTACCACACCTGGGTTTATTAAAGAATGGCAAATGTACACACCTCTGACAGATTTTCTGGTACTGTGACCTCTCCGCATGCAGCAGCGTAGCAGGAACCCAGCGTGCAGTACCACTGACCGTCGATATACACAGCGTCATCAGGGTTGACACAATCTCTGACAAAAAAAACATTCATCCATAAATCATTCATTCATTTATTGCTCCGGTGCATATTAAAAACATGGAAAATTGCTCAGTAACACATTGATAGAAAGGCTCAAGTAGTAAGATAAAGACCAGTTATGGTCATGCGACTGCATTGTGAAAGAAACGTTGTGGAATCGATCAGAAAAGGTTGATCATCTAGCACAGGCCTTCTCAACTAGTTTATTAGAAGTGCCAAAATGAAAAGAATTTGTAATTGAAGCGCCACCCTATATAGTTGACTGTGCTGCGAGGGAGCATAGCGACCGAGCCGAAAATGGGTGGGGTCAGGGGGCGAAGCCCTAACGGGGGTAGCAGGGGGTGGGGCCCCCTGAAGCTGGTGGATCTAGGGCTTTTCAAAGGCCCAAATGGGGCATTTTCAACACCATTTCATTCCACAATATATAATCAATCATAATTTCTTATTGAAAAAAAAATAAGTACGATTCCTGGGTACAATTACACCGGAGGTATATTTATATGCATTTTGTGTGTGCAATAAACACGGGAAATGTCAAAATAAAGTGAAAATCAAACAAACAAAAACAAGTTGTTTCCAAAGATTGGCAATGTTAAAATTGGTATCCCATCGTAAGCTAATTGTTGTTTATACCTTAGGTTTAGATTTGTATAAAATGGTAAAATTTGGGGCTCAAATTCGACTGCAACTTCTTGATTTAGCTGAGTATTTAATTCTAAAATAAATATTTTCTTTCTTTCTGTTTTTTGTTTTGTTGATGCAAAAGTCGCGCGCCACTCCGACTGACCGCAAGCGCCACAAGTGGCGCGCGCGCCGCCAGTTGAGAAGGCCTGATCTAGCATATAAGTATTGGTGTGTACTGCAAGGTTCTGGAATCATCAAAATGATAAGAAATTTGGCCCAGTCTTGGTAACGTTACAAGCACTGTACACAGAAAGATGTATATGGGACTACGCATGCGTGCGCGACACGTGCGTTTATATCTCTCACATACCAATAGATAAACTAATTTACCAAATATATCAATTAGTAGGCGGTTTCGCCCGGCAAATTTTTTATCATCATGTAATAGTCAAAACATATTCTTTCACATGATTGGTAATAAGAGCTTCCATTTCCTTTTTTGAAATTAGGGCGTTTCCAATACTGGTCTTTACATTTAACATTGCATTTGCATTCTAGAAACATCAACCAATCGATGATATTATGATACAATACTGAGATACATGATATGAAATATTAATTCTGGTTTTAGTTTGAATTGTTAAGAGGTAGTGTGGAATGACAGAATTTTTATTCTCATCGACAGAGATACGTATATTTACTTAGTTATTGCAATTTGTGAAAAAATATTCTTGTACTTTATTGATAAAGACATTTTGATTTTTATTCATTACACATCATTAATATACTATTTTACGTAAAAGCTAAAGCTTTTTTTTAAAGATTACTATTATCATAAAATCAAGGAATATATGCATGCACCCAATTTAATCATCGGAATTACAATTGATAGATATTCATTGCGTACATACAACTGAAATCCCCTATTATATACAAAATATCAGTTCTATTGTGATGATTACTGATACGTATTATTCATTATGTTTAAACCTTTACAGTTTGATTAACTTCGTTTATACTTTGTTGTGTAATCCTTATTCTGCCGTCTATATACCACTCTGTATTATATATAATTTAAGTAGTTGTGCTTTATAACCAGGCCCCATAGAAGACTACCCTTTGTTGAATAGTCTACCCATGTAAATTATGAATAAATGAATGAATGAATAACGTAATTAATACATAAATAGATTAATAAATAAAGAAATAGCCCCCATCGAATGTCAAAAAGTTCAAATGGAAGAAGAAAGAAAGGAGGGAAAAGAAGAGGGGGAAGGTAACCCCTCCCACTCATTCTCATCCATTTCATTCAAAGTAAACCATTGCCCCCTCCCCCCCCCCCCCCCCCCCCCCCTCTTCCCATTCTTTGACGTCACCAGGCAGGGGCTGATCCAGCCGGCGGCAGGGGAGGGGGCCCAATTCGTGAGATTTTTGTTGTTGTTGCTGCTCCCGAACGGCCAATAATTCGGTCAGTGGGGGGGGGGGGGGGGGGGGGGTAGGTAGTGAGACCTTATTTTTTTTGGGGGGGGCCCTCGAAAATTTGAAAAATCGCACCCCCCCCCCCCCCCCATTGAGCGCCAGGGGAGGGGGCCGATCTCCAAAAAAGGTGAAAATAACGTTTTTTGCAGGGGTGGGGCCCAGCCCCCCCCCCCCCCAACCTGGATCCGCCACTGTCATTGAGGGCCCCCTCTGTGGCTGAGCCAATGTTGCTCTTTCATATATTCACACTATACTCCTTAGTGAAGCCATTTTAATTAACCCGTTGGAACAATTAATATGCTGGTGTACAGGCAACCCGAAATAATTCTGACCTGAATATTATTAGATTTTTTTGTTTCTTCTTCAAATACTCACTTTGGAATTAGAAAGAATCCCGGGTCCTGCTTAACAGAAAGTATCCTCGAAACGTGTTCCACCACCTCAGCTACAACGCCCTATTTTAGCACGAACAGGAGCAAAACAAATTTGATTAAAACATGAAAGTAGTTGGGATTTTAAAAATAACATAATCATAATAGAACAGTAGAAGTGTTTATAGAATACATTAAGCGTTATTATTTTACAAATAAAGAGAATCTCATCATTTGACTAGTCAATTGCATGGACATCACCAGACATAGGTCATTTTTTACTATTCACCTATGAACGAACATATTTATATAATAAACGTCAATTTCTAGGCGTTATAAAAAAAATCCCCTGATACATGTGAAAGGGCGTTACTGGAATTCATTTTTTGAAGAAGAAAAGTGTTAAGATTCCTTTTTAATTCCAATTCGCATTCTGACTATACAGGTAAATGAAATCATTTGTAATGAGGCACTAAACAAAGATTTATGCATTAAATTTGATAACCTTATGAAAACTGCGTATTTGCCGAATGGCCTATCCTATTTAGGGTCAGTTTGGCGATGTGACAGGTTTTTTATAATATAAACTAAGCACCTGCGCCAACACCATATAGTTTACCTGAATTTCAGTTGCTACATCGAGGTCTAATACGGATTGGTCATACTCCACATGAAACTTCATTCTCTGATCAGGAATCAGGATTCGAGACTGGGCAGTCTTAGGCTTCTCCATGTGGATTCTATTTTTCTGAAGAAAATAATAACAAAGCGCTGGCAGTTACTATTCAGTTGCTAGAGTTCAGTGGTTATAAACACATCGGTTGCTGCCTTTGCATTTTTATGCGGTCGCTCGTTTGCTTCACGTGTAATTTTGCATAAAAAACATTATGCACCGATAATTATTGACGGAAGGATTGCTTTGTGCAACACAATGGCTTTTAAAAAATAACAATTTTCCGGTCTTGATTAGTTCCATGACAACCCTTTTAAGACAGGTACACTGTGAAAAGTTTGGGCAATATTTTTTCCAACACTTTGTCTAACGTTGTGCCAATAGTCAACCCAACCATTTATTGGGTAATATTTTGCCCAGTGGTATTCGTAAACGTAAGTAAGTGGATAATTGTTTCGTATTTTGCCCAACAGTTGGTCAAGATTCTCCCAACAAGTGGGCTACCGTAGTCGAGCAGTTGAAGGGTCATGTCTTTGCCCACATTTTGGACAAAATACGAAACAATTGTGCACGTGTGAAGTTGTTTGGGGTACTTACGTTTACCAATACCACTGGGCAAAATATTGCCCAATAGATGGTTCAGTTGGCTATTGGCACAACGTTGGGCAAAGTATTGGACAAAATTAATATTGCCCAACCTTTTCACAGTGTAAAGATTAAATCTTATACTGGAAACATGCCCTTGGCAGGTTGGTAACTATCCTATGATGAATAGTATGTGGCACAGGGAGAATATTTTTGTGGCATAAAAATATTTGGAAGATACTCGAGAAAAGTAATATAATAAACGGTTAAGAATTTCCATTTAAAATAAATGTAGAAGGTTGTTAGAAAGGGAGGGGGAACAATCAATGTCGCCACCCCCGTAGCGTACTGTTGATTGAATGTGGAGTCTGCATACCTATTCTGTTATCATACGTAGGCGCGATATCAAAAGCATTTTGCCATTTCTATTAACCATTATACTCGACACAGGGACAAAGTACTGGTGACTTTTCAACGACCATCTATATCCAAATGTATATGAATAGAATATTTTATATAAATACCCGGAGGCCATTTTTGATATAATTGCGAAATGCTTTGAATACAGGTCTGTAAAGGAAAGGGGGCATGTAATATTGTGTGGCATATTATATAGGCTACCTCATAGCCTAGAGTGTTTTCTTTTCTTCCCAATTTCCGTAAAGCGACAAGGAGCGGTTCTAATAGGGTTTTTTTTCTCGAGGGATGGGGGGGGGGGGAGTTTGGGAGTTCTTGTATGAATGTCCTCATGTATCTTGCAAATCTTTTGGCAGGAGGGCTTGATTCCCCCCCCCCCCCCTCCAACAACAAAAACTCTCTAGAACCGCTATTGAGAGCAAGAGAACAAAAATCAAGTTTTAGATACCAGCTTTGTTGCTGTATTTGATAAAGGATCTAGTTGTATCATCTTGACCTGCTTTCACGTAAAAGCATTCTTTCCCATATAATTGTTGACTTATTATTATGTATATGTGTGTACTGTGTGTGGGTGTGCGTGTGTGTGTTTTAAACAGGGCTACTTTGGAAATCTGTCCTAATCTAACTGATTCTAACAGAGTTTAAATTAAGGGGAAGTACACCCTGATATTAAGTTGGTTTAAGAGAAGCAGGAAAATGAGAAAAACAGGTCATTGAAAGTTTGAGCAAATTCCGATTAAAAATACAAAAGTTATGACTTTTTAAAGTTGCGATCAGTAAAACACAAATTGGCAAATCTGTGACGTATCTTATTTTTAAGCGGAATTTGCTCAATCTTTCACTATCAGGGTGGACTTTCCCTT